CGCGCGAAGCCGGTAGGTCCTGGGTTCGAGCCCCGCGTTGTGCGGGATCGTGGATGCGCACTACTGAGGAGTCCCATACCAGGACGAAACGGCCGTCCAGTGCTTCCAGGTTTCCAATGGTGGTCTAGCTTCAACTGACTCATGATTTAAATCTGTATTATTTTTTCCGTCACAACAAATAACTTTAACTTTTATGTCTATTAAAAAATTGATTGGTTCAAACAAATAAAATTTATAAATTCATACTTAATAAACCAGAGAGTTAGCTTACCGAACACATAATATTCGTAACTTATTTACCAATTTTATGCATTTGGCTTTGAGCTACACTACTATTTATGTATAGCTTAATGATACTACCTAGTTGTGCAAACCGAAATAGGTAGAACGAAATTTTAACTCATGACCTAATGGTAACAAGTTGAATGCTGTAATCAATAAGCTATCACCACTGTAAATAACAAAGATAATGTGGTGACTTAGTGTTAATTTCAACAACCACCATCATTTTTTTGAATGTTTACTTAAACCCCTTTAAATAATACTTAAAATGGTCATCATATAGAGAAGTGATAATTATATGTATTGCAAATAAATTGAAAAGTATTCAGTTCATTCTTCAAATTAATTAACTGTTACCTGAAAAACAACTAGTTGGTCGGAATTACTTCATTTGAAAACACACCAAAGCAATATATATCAAAAAGATACAACTGATGGAAAGAATAACTAAATTTGACTAAGTAAATCAACAACTTATTTTTCGGAAATTCCTCACTTATGGAACAGAAAACATTGGATACTACTTATACTGCTGACTATGATCTTTATCATAATGTCGATGATAATAGTAGTAACAAAAGTAGTACTACAAAAGAAAATGGAAGCATAATTGGATATGACACTGAACTTTTAGATAAATCTAATCAACAATTATTTTCATTGAATCTTGAATCTAATATTGATAACTTGACGAAAGAAGATTCCTTATTGGAATATAATGAAACGAATAATATTTTATCAAAGCATAAATTAAAATTCAATTTAATGCTTTCAAAATATTCTAATTCTATTCATTGTAAAGATTCCAATTACCATCAGTTAAATTCTTCTATTAATGAACTGGATACTACTAATGGGGAACTAGATAAAAGTATTATTCTTTTTCACAATGATTATGATAAGAATGATAAATGTAATGTTGGTATCAACCATGGTACTGTTAACGATGTGATAACTGGTGATATCGGTCATATCATTGCATCTATTAAAAGTGAGTGAATGTGTTTTTAAAAAAAAATTGTTTGATGACTATTTTAAGATTATCTGTCAGAAAGGAGGGGGGCTCAACAGCAAAACTACATAAATCATTGTTGCTCTATTCAGTTGACATCTCTAACTAGAGCATAGTGTATAAGTAATTATTCAATATCATTCATTCAAGTAATAAACTGCATCATCATTATTCCCGTCATAACCAATTTATCTGTGATGATGAACACTATGTGTCAGAGTTGAATGGAAGGCATTGATGGTTATAGTGCACATTAGAAAGGTTTCGAAGATCTCATTAACTCCTACTATCGGCTAACAAGACTCCTTTAAAATACATTAATTTCGTATAGGAAATTAGCTTAAAAATTATAATTTCTTGCTATAGTGTTAAGATACCGATAAATTTGTTAAAAATCCAATCAACTAATTACCATAGAATGATGCTCTAACCTGAAAAATAAAATTTCCTGAATCCCTCATAATTCGTAATGAAACTATGAAATGTAAATGCAGCTTGATAACTGTAGCGTATTTCATCACTAGTAACTCCTCTAATTCCAAGATCAATAGCCTGACAAGAATTAACACATTTCCAAATTTCCAATCAGAGTATTAGAATCCCAGATAACTAGTCATAAGTATTCAATTATTCATTCGCATACATACCTCGCATGATGACGTAAATAAAATAAAAGACAATAATGGACAGTAGTTTATTGATCTTAAAAGATACATAACTAGGAGAGTTTTAATAAAGCTGAGTAACAAATTTATAATTGATTAATTTTTAATTTATGGACAGCAGAAGATGCCAATGAGTCGAAACGATAGTTTACAATGAAGACTGTTCAAAAATCATTTGTCAAACAATTAATCTATTGATGTGAAAAACTCATCTGCTAATCAATTATCATTTGCATTTCATTCATAATTCACAAGCATAGATCATACTTCATTAAAAACCTAAAAGACATGAAAACGATTGCATCACATCTCACTGTGTTTATCAGCTTAAATGCGTGTGTGTGTGTGGCTAAACATTCATAGGAAGGAGTGATCATGATCTCCAAGTTAAGGTATCTGAACATGTTGATAAAAACAAATAAAATTAAATGACCTAATAGAAGTAGACGATAAACATTCATCGTCCTCTACTCCCAAACATATAGTTAAAACAAAAGTGTATATTAAAATGTTACTAAAGCCTTAGCCATAGTAAAATCCAGACCCCTTTCATGAATCCAAAAACAGTTTATTCTCACCTTAAAACCTACACTGGTAATATCAGCTTACTATTCAGCATGGTGAGTTTCACATTGTTTTTCACATTTTCTTTATTACCTTTGTTTTCTCTTACCCTCCATTTGTCTAGTTGACCTATTGATTTTCACATGTTTGATGTTCTAAACAAGTATATGCGTGACCGGATTGTTCGAAATGTATTGCGCTAATATATCACATAGTTTTGATAATCTTCGTCTTCTTACTGCACTACATAAATTTATCGCATGGACTAAGTGTTTCGAATAACTCAGTTTTCTAAAGGTTAGACACCCACTGCCGAACCCAAAGCTTCTGATTTCACTTCCCGTCAACGTTGTGCATGGATGTGATAATGCCCACGATTCCTCACTTAAGTTACTCTGTGAGGGACATTTAATGAATTGAGAGGCGACCGGATGTATCGGTTTACTTTTTGTATTTATAAGAACAAACCTATAACTATTCAGTATCCATTTATCTCACGTTAATACTGTATGTACATCCAAATAATGAGCACCAAATTGTGTGAAACGTGCATATTGGATTCCACTGTTATTCACTATCCAACTCTGTTTAAAACTTTTTACCTTTGGCCAGAATTGCAGAAATGATATTTTCTTCTCATATAATTTTTAAAGCTCAAGTTTTTGAAAATAATGCTATTTTTCGGTTATGATGAAGTAACGGTCTGTGAATATCGAAAATTTGCACAATACTATTGGAATAACCTAAAAACCTTTTATGTCTGTTGCTATATCAAGCCGAAATGGATTATTCTAGATGACGGACACATCGATCAATTTATTCATTTTGAGTCACATTTTGACCTTGTCATTTATTCGCGTGTATGTGTATCCTTCACCTTATTTATCACATATTTTTGGCTTATTTTTGTCTTACCATAAACATTTAGTTACGCTTTGCCAAAACGAGTTGCAAAGCAAGTTGCCTTCTCCACTTTACTCTCCTGCTTTTTATTATGAATGTCTGTTTGGAAAAACAAGTGCTTGAAATAAATTCATCCTACGCAACTCGTATTCGGTTTCTTATTACCGCCGTCACACAAACGGAGTTAAATAGATTTATATCTATATGATATCTGTTCGTTCTTTTAAACTGAAGTCAAATCAATTGGTCACAAAAGACTTACTATCTTAATTTTCAGGTCATTAGTAAAACTGACACTTGTTTGATGCTCCGTTTGATGTAGGTATATGTGTGTCTGTTGTTTACTGTGTCATAGTAAGTCAGTTGTGACGAATAATCATCTTAACGAATGAAGAAAGAGAAGCGACCTAACGAGGAAAGTTAGATCGGTTCATGTTAAATATTAATATACCCTAAGGGCGAGGTTGTCCGCAACATTTCGAAGTTTAATAAGTGAGTTGTATCCAGCACTTTTGTTTACTTTCCCGTTTAGTTAGTTGATCATTCCTGTATATTAAGAGCAAAATCTACATAAGACATTCTATTTCAAACGTTTGGAGGTATCCCCAACTGTCTGCTATGAGCATGTAGGTGTAGAGTAGTTCAACGTGCCAAATACAAAAAATACAATGAAAGTTAGGGTTTGAAATGAAATCTCTTGTGAAAATTATGCACGTTATGCTCATTGAATAAACAGAAGAATTTCATACACATAGTTCCCTTTATCATTTTGAAAAGAGCAAGAACAAACATTCTAGCAGAATGGCATGAATTCCAACCAAACTCTTTCATGTAAGTAATTTAAACCCATTATGTAATTATGATTTTAAATATCACAGGTTGTAAGCAGCTGACGAGAGCCAACGAAATAAATTTGAATTCATGCTATTCTGTTAGAATGTTTGTTCTTGCTCTTTTCAAACAGAAAAATATCCGAAGATTTTGGATACAGTACATTTGAACATTAAAAATTTTGAGGATAACCTCAGCAATAAAGGATATTAATATTTATAATTACTAACCCAACTTTCTTCACTAGGTTGGATTTGTCTCTTTGGTCGTTAGGACAATTAGTTGTCACAAATGAGTTGTTTAAAAAAATAAAGATTACTACGCCTGACATACAAAGACAACACATGTAGTCTAATGGCTAGAACGAAAATAAGCTTTAGCCCTTGAAAGGTGATTTATTCATCTTGAGCAAACGCAAATTTGCATCTAGATAATGGTTAGAAAATAGTGATGCAAAAATAACTTGTCTGGTACACACAGCCTATGAATCACACATGATCTTAACATGTACTATGTCTGTGGTACGCAGATAAAAACGTGTCCGTAATCAAGGTCATCTAAGTGATTCATATGTCATAGCTAATGTTCGTCAATATTTGATTGGTTCGTCTACTTACGTACCTATATGACTCATTCAGGTGGGGAAGTCCGATGAGAAAAAAGCACTTACGTTTCATCTTGTGAAGGTAGAACAAGCGACAGTAGAAAATATTTTGCCATTAGCTGATTGGTTGCATACATTTAGGATTTGAAGGTCAACAGATCAACATGGTTAAACAGAGCACTTTTAGTTATAACGACAATTGGTTTGTCAAAAATCGAGCGTTTGATACTGTGGTTTTACTTTAACTTCCTACCAATGTTGACGTCCATCAAACGTTATCATGGTGAGTCTACCTTTAAGTAGTTCGTTTACGTTTGCCTGTACTGTTAGATCAACTGTGGTATATTCATATTTGTGTCTGCTAAAGTATTTGTCTCTAAGTTTTGAGGGAAGAGTCAAATATTCTAAATTATCAATAGATACTGAGTGAAAAAAAAGGAGTAACTAGGTTCGAAGTATCAAACTACTCGACACTACTGAAACAATAAAGAATGTTTGCACTACTGGTCATATTTCGGTTTTGTCACGGAATTTCCTTAATCACTAGTTATTGATATTTGATACTTTCTAATCTAGAAAGCATTTACTTCTACATACCACTTAAACCATTAATCAATGACTACAGTTAACAATCTCAAACTTTGTACTAGACACTGAAAATCTTCCTTCTAGTTTATACCTCCTTCAATAAATATGGAAAAACTCAGGTGATATTGTTCGTTGATTGAATGTTCACTAAAATATTGTGTATACATTGTTTTCCTGTCAGTAAAAACTTTTTAACAAACCAACCACTGTACTGTAGCCATCATCCATAGTGTATTCTACCTACCAGCATTTTCCGACACAACCCAATGGATTAGTGCTGATAATATTAGTTTCCCAAGCTCTAGGTTTTAGGTCCAAACTCCCATTCATAAGTATTCTAACAGTTGGTCAGCATTATTAACCTTCATACAAATCATGACTCAAAGTTTAATACAATCTGTATTTGCTTACAGAATTACGTCAAATTAAATTAATCATCAGTTGTGCTGAAACATGCAAGAGGTATGATGAAGTCGTTAATGGAAAAACTATGTGTATTATCTCTAAAATGACTTTGATTCCCACTGCCGTGTCGTCAGTCTGAGTGTTAGTGATTATGGATGTCTTTTCGAAATGAGAAAATACAATGATCTTGCGTGACTAGTGAGGTTATCATTGTTCTTTGTCAGTCCTTTTTGTCTAAAATCTAATTACCTGTTGTATAAGGACATGTTCATACGTTCTTACAAGGTACCTTTTCTGCAGTCTCCGGATGACTAAAACATTGTGTATGCTTTAGTCATCTACGTAGCATGAAATGAGGTATCCAGTTTCGTAGCTCTGTAAGGCGACCGTTCATTTTAAACCTAAGTCAAAACACTTTTTACGTCGTTAATGGATATTATTCAGTGTATACTTGTGTATTCATTTAAACACAAACATTGGTGCAAGGAGGCAACAAATACAGATGCGCCACATAAACCATTGGATTTTTGTGAGGGCTGGGATACTGCCTATGTGCCCAGACTGAAGCAGGTGATTTTCTTAGGCGGCCACACCAAAAGCCTTTGACCTAAAGGCCTAGTCCACAAGGTAGTGGAACAACGTCAGGAGATGGAGTACCCTGGTGGCCGGTGATCAACAATATGTTCATATGTCATTTGTTCCCTCAAGATCCTGGAGCCTATGTGCAACGTTGGTTTGAAATCAAGGTTCTCCCCTAAGTGGATCCGCCGTATCCACCAACCCAGTTAAAGTGCCGGACATTCGCTTTCCGTCCTTTCAATTTCGTAAACAACACCCCCGCCACGAGGAGTCATAGGGTAGGACTTCCCTGATAGTGGTTGTAGGCCGTGGCCATGTGAGAGCATTTGTAAAGGGAGATCTGACTCTCTCCACCCTCGAGTGTACCAGGGCATTTGGAGCAGGGTGAAATCTTATCGTTTACGAGAATGTAAATATGAAATTCTTCCAATTTTCCATTTAACATTATTGCGGTTGAAGCCAATAGAGTCTTGATGGCATTCTTTCGTAAGCTGGACGAGTCTAGATATCACTTGTCTATGCTCACATGCTATCTCCGGATCAAACTGCAGGGTGAGAAATTATAAACAACACATCATAATGTAGGTTGCCAGCTATGAACCTAGTTAAGATCCCAGCTTATTTGTTCACATCTGGGTCAGAATGATAGGTATATATATAGTTATGGTTTGTGTACACTGATTGGGTTTGCCAATAACAGTTTCTTAGTCATTTCTCATTCTTTTGGTTAGCATAAACGGTTGGGCGAGGGTGTAACAAGCCTGTGTAATTGTTGCTGGAACGTACGTTCTCAGAACATAACATGTCAATCAGGTTGTAGTGTAACTAACTGTCTAGTTCACTACACATCAATCAACACTATGGGGACGAATATAACACTGATCATTGACCAGTGATCAAATACTGAAAATGTTTATCATATAAACTGTTAGTCATAGCCTGAATAACTCAGTGGTAACGTTTCCAACTGTGATATTGGGTTCGAACCCCGTGGGAAGTCTTAATTTTCTTAGAACTGTAGATACTGTTTACTGACGAGTGGCAGTTATCATAAGATCTCGGACAAGCAAAGTTTCTTGCAAATTATCTCCAATCACGTGAATAAAACGTTAATTATTACACAAAACTTAACAGATTCATTATCCCCATATTTATGTTCTGTTAGTTATATTTTTCAATTTATAAATTTATCTAATTGAAAATTTCTTAATAATTCATCCATCTATTGGTGATTCTCAATATGGAATTTTTAATGCATCAAAGGTAACCAATCAGAATCATGATTACTTTTTGCCTATTGGAGTAATTTAAACAAGCAATAGGACTTAATAACCAATGTAACTATATAAACTTGACATTTCATTGGTACAGAAACAACCTTCACCATCCGTATATATATATTTTTTTCCATAAATATAAACTACTTTTACCTTTATTTATTTGCATAACTTTTGTAAAGTTTGCCGACTGATTATTTTTGTTGTTGTTGTGGTTAAGATTCTCAATGAAATTACAATTATCCAATGTGGATTGGGGTTCAGTAGGATGAATATTGAAAGCATTTTTGTTAAATATACTTATTTATCATTGATCATTTCTTCATTAATTTTGTATGATTATCACGTTAGAAAAAAAATAATTCTAAATTATCCCATTATATTAGAGAATTCAATGGATTATTCATATTTTAATAATGTTAACAAAACTTATATTTAATTGCTTGGATTTAAATTCAGAGGATTATTTAGTGATAAATCCTCCTCTCTGTTAGGGAGGATGAAAAAAGCTTCTGAACAGAAATCAACAGGAAATAATGTTAAGTCTAATATTCTCAGTGAGTTTTTTTTCTTTCTTCAATGTTATCAAATTTTATACATTTTTAAGAGGAAAAATAACGAACAGATTTTACCTGAGTGTTTACATTGTATTATCTATTAGGTTACAGTAATTTACTAGCACAGTTGATACATACGTTTATTATATACATATATTCAGAGTTCCTGAATGACTTTAAAGATTTTGTGATCTATAGCGAAGTCTTAATCACTGTCTTCTTTTATGGTGTCTTTAAATAAGTGTAATGGTGAGAAGCGATGTCTAACATATCAAGTCAGCTTGTGGATACAGAAGCCCAATCCAGAAAATCTGGGGTGGCTCAGTTATCTGGTGGGTTAAGCGTTCGCGCGCGAGACTAAAGACCCTGGGTTCGAATTCCGCAAGTGAGATCGTGGATATGCACTGCTGAGGAGTCCCACGATGGGACGAAACGGCCGTCAAGTGCTTCCAGGTTTTCAATGGTGGTCTAACATCAATCGGTTCATGATCTCAATTAAAAACTTAATAATCTCCATAACCCCTACACTGAAAATTTCGGGAATCCTGATTCTGAATCAGTGGTCTACGTGAACTCCAGGTTCCTGAGTGAATGTATCAACCTATTTTGAAAGATCTTTGTTTTCTAACTTGATTTTATTCACGTTATAGCATGATCGTCATTCTGATACTCATCATTATATTATTACTATGTTGATTTCTTACTCATCAAAGGCATTAAATCAAGTCACTATATATAATATACAATGTAAACAAATAAAACTATATTTATTTCACTAAACCATTCTTTATTGTTTCTTAAAGCTACATATTTCATAATCTTGAAGGCGATCTCTATTATCTTTGTTATCATACTTGAAATGAAACTAATTTGTTTTTAGAAAATGTGATTCGCTTGTCCATATTTAATTTTACATTTTCTTTGGAGTAATTTTGGAATATATTTTCAGAAAAGAAGTTCAATGACCCTTTCGTACTGTAAGCTTAGGTGATTATAATAAACTCGGATTAAAGTTAGACAGCTTTGTCGTAAGACTTATAATAAACTTTGGTCTTAACTACATTGTACAGGCAAATTTTTTCTGGCTAAAGAAGATAGGCATGTTATACATATTATCCATTCTCTCAAATGAAATTCATCCATTTCTTAGTATATTGTAGCAAATTAACTGCTTATCATTTTTTCTTAACCTTTTCCTGGTCATGTTTTCATTTCCACTAGTTAACCTATTTACCTGTTATCCGACCGCGAATAATTCATACTAGGTTCAATTTAGCAAGATTACCTTTATTAGAAGTGAATATTTTTTAATTATCACTATGAAAGTTTTAAATGAATTAAATATTGAGTGGATTGTTTATGATAAGAAAACAAATATTTGTACACATCCCAATGAGCGGAAAATTAATTTTCTGATGTTGAGTAAATGACAATGTTGTAGATACTGTATTTGGTTAAGATTTTTATTTATTATTTATTTCTTTATTTCAACATATAGATATTTGTACAAAGAGGCACCAAATACATATGCGCCACACAAATCTCATTCGATATGTGTGAGGGCTGTGATACTGCCCGGGTGCCCAAACCGAAACAGGTGATTTCTTAGGGGGCCACATCCGGAGCCTTCGACCTGAGGGTCTGATCCACAAGGCAGTGGAGCATCGTAAGGAGATGCAGTCCCATGGAAGCCGGTGACCAACAGTTGGTTCATACGCCATTTGTTCCCGCAGGATACTGGAGCCCATGTGCACCATTGATTTGGAATCCGGTTAAAGCGCCAGACATTCGTTTTTCGTCCTCTCATTTTCGTAAATAACACCCCCGCCACAAGAAGGCAGTGAGTAGGACTTCCCTGGCAGAGGCTATATACGCGTGACCATGTGAGAGCATTTCGAGAGAGAGAGAGCGGACTCTCCCCACTCTCGGCCGTACCAGGGCATTTGGGGGCTAAGGTTAAACAATATTATCGTTTCAAGGCTCTCTATTTTTTAATATAGCCGAATATGAGATATTACACTATCTCTAGAGTTACAACAAATGCTGAAACAAAGAATTAACCCTTTCTATAAAACATCTGAAACTTCGAAGTGGTTTATTTTCAATAAAAGTTCAAATTTCATTTATATAAACTAGACTGTCTATAGAATAGGTTGTATTAATTGTGACATATTGAAATCTTGTGTAAGAATACGCTCATACGAATGGACATCCAAACTGCACAAAAGAACCTAATAATCTTGCAGAAGTTAAGAATCTACAAATTAAATGAGCAGTAACAGTACATGATGTAATAAAGAACAGTCAAATTGGGGCTGAGGTTAACCGCAACATGTGCAGTCCTCAGCTCTTCCATTTGCTTTTCCATCAATTTATCGGGTTTTCGTTATGCATCAGAGTATCGTTTTCATAAAAGATTTAGGTTCAAAACTTTTAGTATATGTATGTTCATGCCGGATGTCAAGCTGTGCTACACTGAACTTGTCTGTAACAGGCAATTGTGGATAGATCCAGCCTTTCGTATATCACTAAATCCTACTGCGCTAATTAACAATCCAGACAGTTTGAATAATCGTTCATAACAGTCATATTAAGTCTGTTCGAAATAACGTGAACTCCAAAACGCTAGTACTATACTAGGAACCAGGCTAAAACTGTCCGTGTTTAGTTCTAAAAACGGCTTAGATCGATAAACATTTATGTCGTACAACTATGTGATAATCACTTTATAATCGTATTCGCAAAAAAATATGCATTTGATTATTCAAGCTTGACTGGATATCGATTCTGAAGGAAGATTGGGAATGCAAGTATATATTTGGTTTATACAATAACTAACCATAATTGCCAATGATTGAAGTGAAATCGTGCAATGTGATCTAGGAATTTTTTCTCATAGTTCATATAGATTACTAGTGAAGTTTCAGAAGTTAGACTTGAGGACGAAGTTGTACTACTGATGACTGAAGGTGTGATGGCAGCAAGGTTTCTTACCCAGATAACCATAATCTCCAGCGATGCTACCTCATAAAGATAGGAAAAGGCTAAAGTGGTCAACCCTAAAGTAAACACACTTCATATTCTCATATGGGTTCCCGTCGTCAGCGGTAAGGTCTTGAAAGTATGAAGCTTACGCATTTATAAGTACTCACAAAATGGCCATGTGTGATCGACCTTAAGTAATCGTCTAGTAGGTCCTGAGGTCATGATCCCAGGTTGAAAGTCACCAATACTAACACAGCTTCCTTTTCAATCACCTCAGGGAGGGAAGTATCTTTCAAAGATGTGAAAAGTCAGGAAGTGACAACCACCGGCACATTGTTAACATCACCTGAGATTGTACGAGTCATGTTGATTTATCAAAGAGTTTAATTATTTTCGTAACTAGATGATATATTTACACTATGAAGCGTTATTTATCTTTTAATGATTATTTTTCAATTGTATAATATTTATATTCATAGACGAACAACAACGTGTACAGAAGAAAACTTTCACTAATTGGGTCAATGCATGTTTGCAAAAGGTATGTTTAAAACATCGTTATTATGAATTTTCAAGGTTTTCTATTTCTTGAAATCAAAACATTTGTATTCACTTCATGAATTTTCTCCAGTATAACTGATTGAAACTAATTCTCGTGTGAATGTACAATATGAGGATACATGCACACTACCATTAGATGAAGATATACTGTGATTTTTACAGTTGAAATCATAAGTCGGTCTTAGTTAGACTACCATTGAAAACCTAAAAACATTGAAAGACCATTTCGTTCTAGTCCGAGACTCCTCAGCTATCCTTTAGCACGGGAATCAAACTCAAGAAGTTCGGTCCTGCACAACTGTATTAGTTTCACTGTATATATTTTGATTCATTGGAATAAAGTACTTGAGGTCGATCAGTCAGAAAAATTTTGGGTTTTCAGAATATTAAGACGTAAATATATAGAAATAATCACTTATGGTTCTATAATAAATAATATTTAGCTTGGGTTGCAAAAATTGTGATAAACTCAATTGCAACAACAGTCAACTGTCAGTAGAGACAAGCACAAAGTGACCAGTTTAATAAGGCCTCACAGAAAAAGTGTGTCAACTAGTTAGAAAATGGTGGGAGATGGCCGTGCAGTATAGTGAACTAATTAACGTTAGACATTGACACCGCTGGAGGCTGGTCTAGAGGTTGGACGTCCACATGGGAGACTCAAGGTCCTGGGTTCGATTCCCCGTTGTAGGGTCGTGGATCCATACTGCTGAGAAGTCCCATATTAGAATAAAATGGCCGTTCAGTGCTAGTCTAGCTAAGATCAGTTTGTGGTTTAAACGATGAAAAGTCTAGATTCTTCACAAATCGCCTTATACTAATTAGGGAACAGTTAGTTAACAATCAACCAGTGAAATACAAGGAAGAAATCATATGTTTAAAACTAGCTATTCACAAGTAATATAATTACCACAAATGGATTATATAAACTGTTCATATTAAAATTGAAACAAAAATTACTAAGTAATTTCATGAAGTTTATCATAGGTGGTTCTCACCAGAATTGTTGACATCGACAGAATCAATTGGAGTCTAGAAGCTTTGAATAACAGTGACTTTTTGTTTGACTGAACGTGAAAATCTGGAACATTAGATATTGACCTATTAGTTGTCTTTCATGTCCATTACGAAAATCTGTAATATTCAATTCGATCCCATATCTGGGATCATTAGTGCACTCCACTGAGGATTTCTAATTTAAGGTGAAACAACTGTAGTAGTACTGTGGTGTATGCTACTTATATCTAACGACATAGGTAGTGTGTAATAGCAATCAGAAATGGAATGCTTAGCAGCAGAAGGTTGAGAAGATTAAACTGAAGAAGATAAAAAGGGGAAATTAGAGGTGTTTAGAATAGAAAGAATCATGAACGATGTAAAAAACAATTGATGGAAGATTTGAAAATGAAGTATTTAATGTATGGTTTTCCCATTTTACCAAAGAACTAATTTTGCACTAAACTAGTAAATTGGTCTCCTCCACTTAATTTCTTGTCTCGCTACCGTAATCCATGGAGTTAAGCGTACCTGAAGACTGTTACTCAGAATAATGGTTCTAGCAATGTAGAGTTTTACGCAATTAGTTCCCATGATAAACTTTGTATAACACGAACAGCCAGCATAATGTGATGAAATGAATTCATTTCATTTTTTATGTTCTGATTCTTCTGCATACATGCACTGATTCGTATCAGTAAGTAAAATTTATTACAATGTAGTGATATGTGTAATGTGTATAAAGTTATTTAATTCATTATTGAGGAATATAAATACTTTTCATAATTATGCAAGTTTAATATATAAGTGAATGGATCAAACTAGAAAAGTAATATGACGTAATCTAGCTTAAGATACTAAAAGACAAGTATAAAGTAATCATTATAATGGTGATAATAACAACAATCGAAATAAAAGAAAAGAAATAGATAAGGGGTCGAAGATTCTATCAAATAATGTTGAAATGATGTGGTTCGTTGTGATATTTATAAATTGGGAATTAAAATATAACTAAAATGAACAATGAAGGTATGATTGTGATCAAATAAAGTTGAGTTCAAGCAAACATAGCATATTTTAAATACTCCGAAAACGTCAGAGTAAACATTGAAGAGAAGGCTATCAGTGAAATGGTCACCAAGACGGTGGCAGGTGAAGCACAATTTCTGTTTGTATATGTAAATTGGGACTGAGACGACTAAAGATAGAGATTACTTCTTGGTGACGTGGAGTTCTACCATTATTTTGTCTGTTTATCACTCGGAAAGCAGTATTAGGATTTGCTGAATGATCGGCGACTGACATATGCCTCCCTTTAGCACTAATAGATAGTTTGGAGCTATTCAATATAAATTTTCTCGTTATCATTACGTTTAAGGAATTTATTTTGTTCCGTGATTTAAGATGTTTGGAAACAGTTGGAAGAAACCCTGAACATAGGTTTCGTGTTATCTGGCACTCATCAACAAGGCGCACATGCAACATACGTGATATTGGTCATTACTCAGTATTTCACGCTTGCATTTAAATTCTAGATTTGAATAAGCCAAATTGAAACTTCTCAGTAAATGATTTCTACAGGCCGACTTGCGATGCGCACTGCTGAGGAGTCCCACACTAGGACGAAACGGATGTCTAGTGCTTTCAGGTTTTCCATGGTGGTCTAGCTTCAACTGACTGATAAATTCAACTATTAAAATACATAAATATTTACATTATTGCATCCTTTAGTCTAATGTTTTCTAACCATTCGATGTTAACTCTATGATTTAAAATCTAAGCATTCATCTCAAGGCCTGAAGATCTTAAGTTCGACCTAGGTATGAGTACACTCCACGAGTGTCTTATACTAGAGTGGAACAGTTGTCTAGTGCCTCTTAACTTTCATTAGTTCTCTAACTACGGTTAGTTTGTCATCTAAAGAATGAAATCCATCGATCTTCACAAGCCCTTCTACAGCAAAATCGTACATTCATTAGTGACTAATTTTGAGATATAATTCCAGGGATTCCATTAAGAAGCCGTGATTATTAAATTTTAGCCATGTTAGGTGTAGAGCATGTCACTAACAATGTTTGCTCACGTTCACGAATTGATCCAATTTGGGAATATAAACCATCGGATATCAAACTTGTTGATTTTATGGTTAAGCGAACGCCCATGTCTTAGGAGTTCTATATTAGAGCGAAACGACTGTTTAGTGTTTCTTAGTTTTCGGTGATTTTCTAACTAAAGCCAGATTTAAAACTCACCAAAAGAGGCTTACTAATAGATCTACAAGGAGGGTGATTGAACTCTAATATTGTATTGTGAATTTGTGATGATAAACCTTTATTTTTTTTTAAAAAAGTTTTGTGTGTAGAGTTCATTATAGTTAAACCAATGTATACGTGATAAACAAAATAATTAGTTATACACGGAATATCTGCGTTTCTATTCACACAATATTAAATTCGATTAAAAAGATACTTCAAATGATGTCATATGAATTGTACAATTTACTTAAATTATCAGAAGGGGTTTTGTGGATATTATAGTAATTTAATAGTTGAGACCATTAGTCAATTGAAGCTAAATCACCATAGAAAATCTGGAAGCACTAAACGGCCGTTTCATCCTACTGTGGGACTCCTCAGTAATGCGTACTGCTCACTAGTGATCGACTTCAAGTGGTATTTCTTGGAGCTCTGGTGTGAAGCAGTGACCGGTGGAGTTCAACCGGATCTGTTGTGAGATAGTAAATTCACTGAAGACGATGGTGGACGTGTCGCTCAATTTCGTGGATTAGTTGAAGTTAGACATTAACACCGTTGAATGTCGGCTCATTGGCCTGGAGGTTAAGCGTTCGTACGAGAGACTGATAGGTCGTGGGTTCGAGTCTCTTCAAGGCAGGATCATGGATGCGTACTGTTGAGGTGTCCCACAATGGGACAAAACCGCCGTCCAGTGCTTCCAGGTTTTTCATGGCTATCTAGCTTCAGTGAACTCATGATCTCAACACTGTATGGAATAATTACATAACTGAGATTATACAATGTACTTTTAGTCAAGGTGACGAAAAACCAAACCGGTCACTATCTTTTTATTGATAATAATATATACTGATAATTTAGGGTGAGACATCTCATTTTTTACTGTTACTGTCTACACTGTTTCGATGATTGGTTATGGGTGCTCTCTGCTGATGAATTCCATATTATGACGAAACGACCGTCCTTTGCTTCCAGGTCTTCAATGATGATCTAGCTAAGATCATTTCGTGATTTAAACTCCGGAAATTCTACAATGTTCACAAATTCCCTCATACTAATAATAAAATATTAACATTCAGAAAATATCAAGCAGGTGTTTTAGCTTAGTGCCATGGATGCCTTATCAGTATACACATCTATGGGATGACATATTCGCATGAACTAAGTCGGTAACAGAATCAAGGTAGTTTTAAAATAGATATATTGTGTCTAAGCGTAGAATATAGGACTTATGTCTTATGTTTTAATGACTCGTCAGCCGGATATCTCTTGATTCTCAGTCTTGATGTTGATATCGATACTCGACCCTTTCTAATAATTATATAAAATCGAATATTACTAACTATAATTGTCTGTATGGCATCTTATGAACTAACTGATACTTGGTGGAGTTTCATTCTCTAAGCTACAAATCTTAACCATCTCAGATACCTCTTCTTCTGACATAGGGAAGATACCAGAGATATTATGAAGTTTGTTACACTGATTTCCGAAAACATGTAGACATGAATAAATTGTGTGCACTTAATTCTTGATAATGTTCATTGAAAGTGTGCAATAAAGTTACTGAGTAAATCATGTTAAATTATAATCACTGGTTAAGTCAATTTACCAGAATAAAAAATGTCAGTTATCTCTAGTACCATTAAAATATTGATCTGAGTTATGTATAAAATTGTGGCACTAAGAAGTACGTAATAGAAGTCAGTATTATTGTGTAAAAAGTCTTTAATATTTCACAGGTTGAAATCATGAGTCAGTTGAAGCTAGACCACCATTGGAAACCTGGAAGCACTGGACGGCCGTTTCCAATGGTGGTCTAGCTTCAACTGACTCATGATTTCAACCTGTGGAATTTCTTAAACTCTCCACAAAACCCATTCTTTAATATTATTTATCTTGCCTTATAAAACGTCTAAATATTCTATATTTTATGAAAATACATTTTTTAAAATTTATATAGCTACCTGACCCAATTCATATCAATGATCTTTTCAAAGATATTGGTGATGGAACTACTCTTATCCATCTGCTTGAAGTATTATCAGGAGAAAAATTGGTATGTTCACTTTATATTATTATATGTATATTCAATAACTATGCTTTTAAAGTAAGTCAGAATAGTTTAGGGTTTACTTTCCTACCATAATTAACAAGTTTTATGTTTCTTTACACAACTCAAATCCTTCATTACACCAATATCGATCATTCTTTTGTTTATCTCTCGCATACTTTATTTCTCAGTGGATTCATCAATATATTTACTTTTGTTTTCTGTGCAGAAAATCAATTATTTAACATCTAGTTAAATTATAAATAAAAATAATATATTTACAATATCTCAATGAGTAGAAAAAATTTTCTTACGTTTCGTTATTCCGTGTAAGCCACTTCTTAGAGAATAAATAAACAAACTAAATTAACCTGAGTTTAAATAGTACAAAGGAACAAAGTAAAAATATTTAGTGCGACCAATCAATTGTGTATTCAATTGTATAATGTCTCTGAATGTGGCACTGAAAAAGTTAATTTATAACTTTGCTAGAAAATATCAGTATTTTTATAATTTGTGAATAAGTCTTCTTGATCATATACATATATATGAAAGTATCTAGAATATATTTACTTCTGTGACTTTTAATCAACTGAACTAAATGACCACTTTATCCATACGGAGTAGTGACTAAGGGGTTATATAATCTAACTTGTAACTAGTAGTAAGTCATGGGTTCGAAACTCCAATTCAGTTCAGATACTAGCAGTTTCCTTGAACCTTAAATAAATAATGGGATTCATATTTAATTATTTAAACGTCTATAATTCATAAACAACTGATGTATACATCTAAATTCATGACGATTGAGGTACGCAATTCAACCTACAGTTTTTTTTTTGTTCTTTTCTCTGTAACTAATGTATCATTGATAACAAAACACTGGCGGTAATGTGCTCAATATAGAGGCACTCATAATTTCTATATTAAAGCGCTAATCATAACAATTCTGACTTGATCAAACTTTTAACTTTCTAGTTTAAAGTCGAGTACTTCAAACAAAGTTGATGTAATACAACTCAAGTAACCATAATTTGTTATCTGCAAAAAAATCCCTTTTCTGTTCATTTAATTATTATTTCAATACTATTTTCTACAGTTAAACACTTAAAACAACTGAATGATACAAAAACGTATGTCACCAATTATGCAAATCACTGGTTTTTTTTAAAATCCACTATTTACAATTAATAATCATTTTAGTATTATCATTAATGACCGTAACTATTTATTCATCCAAACAGTGTTTACGCATTATTAAACACTTTGTGATAATTATATGAGAATGGGATAACAACTAATTAAGAGATAGCAAGTGTTGTTTTTTTTTCCTTTCAAAATTTGTAAAGTGTTTTATTTCTATTTGGTCCCCACCTCCCCTCCACTCTTCTTACCGCAATTGATTTCTCAATTTATTCCAACTAACCAATAACAATGTTAATTGTGTTAACATATTATACAAATAATAAATTATATTTTGATTTACCCGCCTACATTTTATTCGTTTTTTTAAAAAAAAACAATTAGGCATCGGTTTCATTTCATAATGGAAATTGTACATTAGATGTATGCTCAATGAATTTATTTAATTGTAATTTTTATTTTATTTAAAAAAAAATTTAACTGAAATACCCTGCTGACATCATCATCATCATCATTAACTTTATCTGAACAATGACCAGATTTGCATTACGGTAACGCTCTATCTCTCTCTCTTTCTACCTCAATTGCAACTGAATTATATGCGTGTTGCTTATTTTTTTTCTCGAGGAAAAAAAAACTAATCAATATTGAATGATGTTATTTGCTTTGATTGAATATAGAAATGTACATCTATCTATCTACTTAATCAACTACCGTTTATCCTTTGATTATACATATGCTCAAATATATGTAATGGTGTGTTGTTATTTAATAATTGGCTTTATTATTACTATTTTTTTTTGGAAGAAAATAATTCATTACATTTATTTATTGATTGATCAGTAATGAATTTGTGTTGTTGTTAATGTTGTTGTTACCTTAGGCAACGCCCTGTTCTGCATTTCTTCTGTTAAATGACTCATAAAAATTACTTCTTTTTTTCAGATCAGTTTTATGTATTACTGTTTGTTAATATGGGTATATGCATATATTACGCTACAATTAATGTTCTGTTATGATTGTTACAATTATTATGATGGTATAAACATATTATAAGTTAATTTTAAATATGTAAAATTCAAATGAATATTCTAAAATATTTTGTTTATTCTCCACGAAATAGATTTTTTTTTCTCTGTAATATAAAATTTGAGTAAATTTTACAATTCATCTATCATTTACGGATTTCTGTGTAGTGAATGAGAACTCAATTGGGGTAAACCAATTTATCGTTTAATGAAAAATTACAAAGTATGTTAGTAAAATATGAAAGCCATCCATTCAATACTTCATTTGCACATGTTACATCATTTATCTCATATAAACTTCATTGTTCCTTCATTCCTATTGTTAGTACAACTACTCTCTGTTTACATTCTTATTGTCTTGTCTTTAATTCGATCTTCCCAATTTTCTGTTTCGAGGCGTTCCAGTTGTGATTAATGTTACATATTACCTATATTTACAAACATAAGTGGCGTACACCACATATGTACTTAGTTTTAAGCTTTACTGTTTATGCAAAGACTAATGATAGTATTAATTTTCCCAACACAGCAAGTAAAGATGGATCAGATTTTGAAATTACAGTATACTAGTTGAAAGTCGTGTATTTTAATTATTACGCCACTGTTCCACAAAATTCAGATAGGAACTTTATTGAATTTGTCTAGAGAAATTAGTGATTTTAATTAAATTCCTAATGATACAAATAGTTAATCGTTTAACTTGTGTTTATTGTCCCAGCAAACATTTCTACAAAGATCTAGCTTATCCTTAAAACTGTACTGATTGAATTAATATTATTACATGATCTGACCTTAATTTCAAGTTGTCAATCACTTTATGGAAAAAAAGACAGAACCCTAACTACGGTTTATTCCGACATAGGTTTGCAACCTTCTTGTGATAACTTTAGAAATAATCAGTTTAATAGGATGCAAAAATTAATCCACTAATTAACACCTGTCATTGTTTTAGGTAAGCAGACAAATCCTAGTTGCCTTAATTGCTCTTCACAGGAAAAGTTTGAATCGTCTAGTCACTAATTCAGTACCTGCTATTTGGAAATAATTAATCTTATCAGCATTTTTATGCAATGATAGTCTTGTTCCCTAGACACAATAATTAAATGATCTTTCACGTAGGTGTTTGTGTAAAGTTACCATCTTCTCGATACAAAAGCATTCGAAATGGCTATGAAACCAGCTGTGTTACAGTATAATATCATTTTTATTTTATTGTTTATAATTACCCCTAAGTTTATTTGTTCTAGAACCTATGCCAATTGTATCCTATCGATGATGTGCTGTTGATGATGACTACCGTGGAAAATGTCAAATTAGTGCATTATCAATGCCAATAATTTTAAATCACCAGTTTTTTAACGAACTGGCTATTTCGGAGTTAGATTAGAGGCAGTCGAAATGAAACCCTTCATTCTAGATTTCATGTTAGGGGGGATAGTTCGATCTTCTTCTCAAAATGCTCTCATATGGCCACGCTTATAGAGTCATTGCCAGGGAAGTCCTACTCACTGCCTTCTCGCGGCGCGAGTGCTGTTTATGAAGTTGAGAGGACGAAAAGCGCTTTAACTGGGTTAGTGGATATGGAGGATCCATATAGTGAAGTTGAAAAACCCTAATTCCAAATCAATGGTGCACATAGGCTCCAGTATCCTGAGGGAGCAAATGGTGTATGATCCTATTGTTGTTCACCGGCTTCCGTAAGACTGCATTTCCTAGAGTTGCTCCACCGCTTTGTGGATTAGACCTCTGAGTCAAAGGCTCGAGGAGTGGCCCCTAAGAAAACCGCATACTAAAGTTTTGGGTATCGGGTTAGTATCACAGCTTTCACACAAATCGAATTACGAACTGTGGTGCCCCTTTGTACCAATGTTTATACGTTTAAATGAATAAGCTTTGAGGCTGACTAAATTGTATGAACTCAGACACTCAAATTTCAATTGCGTAATTAAGAATCAATGTAACAGTCATAACAACGTCTGCTGACACAGTATGGTGTTGGGATCGGTACAGAAGCAATTCGAAATACAAAATAGTTTATTATATACGTGTGACACATATGAGTATGTCCGTCTGCACTCACTACTCAACATATTCTACCCATAATACAAGGTTTTTATACACTCATTAGCAAGGTTCATGTCCATTATATTATCTTCATATTTCGTTGCGTTTCATTCATTTTTGTTCACGTCTTTTGAGATTTACTCTGTGATAAAACGTTTTTCATCATCTAATAGATACTTGAATATTGATAGAATATTTATGGTAAACTTTATAGTTGTTTCCTTATCAGTTATTTTCTTTGTATCATATGATTTTCATCAATATTTTGTATGTCATTATACCATGATGTTTCCGGTTTAATTAGAATATTATCCAAAAGGGGTTTTGTGGATATTGTAGTAATTTAATAGTTGAATTTATGAGTCGATTAAAACACTGTCGGATACCGGCTCAGTGGTCTAGAGGTTAAACGAAGGTCCTGAGTTCGAACCCCGCGAGCGGGGTCGTGGATGCGCACTTCTGAGGAGTTGATACTAGGACGGAACGGCTGTCCAGTGCTTCCAGGTTTTCCATGGTGGTCTAGCTTTAATTGACTCATGAATTCAATTAATAAAATATTGTTAGTAATTGTTATTTATTTTTGGAATTTTACTTTTCGTTTCCGCATACAACTACTTCCAATTTTAGAATTACAGAATTGCTGTGACGTCATAAGTTTAGTTGAGGTAGAGGTAGAGGTTACTTTTTTGCACACTGATTTTTGTTGTTTGTTGACTAAGTGCATGTTGAAAAGTAATCATTTTACTATGTTGAAATCAAGGTGGTTTGGTTTATATTATTCCCATTTATACTTGTTTTCCATTTTCTTGATTTCTTCCTTTTTCTCAACTGGGCTGATTTTAAGTGCAGCAACTTGGAGGAATACATAGACATTCATGTCAGATTGACTATGATTGATTAACTAGCTGACTGTGAAGATTTGGGATTTATTATGTTAGGAAACACGTAACTCAGCTCAATTGAACCGTGGGATAATATAAGGTTGTGTAAGAAGTTATAATACCAAATACTGAATTAATATACTTACTATGTGTGCAAATTTATTAGTAGACGGACTAATCTCAATATGTTTATATGGACAGTGGCCTTGGTCTAAATGAATAATCTAATTACTCATTATAGCTTGACAATAGTTACGTTAAACTTACTACACAACTATGAAGTATCATGTTGTGTAACATGTATAGTTTACTCGATCAATCATAAAAACAGTTGAAAGGAGCTTTAGATTGTCTGTGAAATTACAATGATCGATTTTTATGTAATTCTTAACATAAGCGCGTTAACCGAAAATCGAATAAAGGTAAAATAAATGGGAATAGAGATGTTAGTGTTAAGAACGAGAACACTGATGGTAAAATGTGCAAACCATACCTTCAGTCCTTCATTTTAAAAATGTCCATTAATTGTCTCAAGCTTTATTGTTCCTTCATTTTTATACCAATTATTCTTTGTTCCTGTTCTCTTCTATTTGATCTTTTCAACCTCATGCTGTCAGGCATTCTATTTCTGACTGGCGTTATATTCCATTTATATCGATATAGGTAGCACACATCACGGTAGCAGTTAGTGATAACTGGAATAAAATATAAAAGGTGAATTAAATAAATTAACATAGAGGAGAAGTGTGTAGAGCATTAAAATGTTGAATATTTGAAGTAACCTAAATAATGGATACAGCTTTTATTTAAACTTATAATTATATTATTATTTGCTGTGCAGTTTTTTGACTTACCCTGCTAACACCAAGTCTACTAACAACGCCATAGTGTTCGTTATTGCATCGGTAGTTCACAGAAATTCTCATGTCCTCAAACCTTCAGTAGCATAAAATAGAAAATCAGATAAGTGGCCAAGACTACTCTCATTATTTAGGCCTTTAAATAAAATACAAACCCACAACGTACTACAAATAATAAATCACAATAGTTACATGACTTGATCATATTTTTATACTAATCTGAGTAATAAGTTTATGTCTAGGTGACTTGTAATATATGAACGGTAAAAGACATAACAACAATTAATTTGTCAAAACACAGCTTCAAATTAGAATTATTCGCTGAATAATCAATAAAACAATACGAAATCCAACTCATTTACAATCGACCTATCGCTCATTAGTGATTGAATTATATCAATGAAGTCTCAATGTGACCTCAAGTCTATGGGAGAGTTATGGTGTCCTGCTAGTTAAAAAAAATGATTTTCAACCAAGTTGGTCCGGGTTCAAACTCCGTTTGACCTACTTTGATTTGGGTATCCGAGTAGTATCACAAAACTGTATCTAAATAAAGTTTAGATCATAGTCAAATACACAGTCCTGTACCTAATAAATTATTTACATCATTCATATATTTCTTAATATGACTTTTGCCACGTGACAAAATCGCCAATCAGAATACCGAATTCTATGACCTTGCTCCTGTGCTTAAACCAACGACACGTCAACCAGTACTAGCAGTGTTGCATCAAATATGAATCTTTCTCTGTATAGTAGCTTCTCTCCTGACCCATCCGGTTCATTCCAGAACACATATCAGTCTCTTCTATATGACTCCTATATTTAAGATATACTTGGCTTATATACAAGCAAATCAGACAGGATCACATCATAAAATAAAAAAATTATATAAGATCGAGCGAAAAGTGATTGTGAGAGACTGTAAGTAACAGATTGCGAATAACTTAAGAATAGTAAATCATGTAGTCAATAGGTCAAATGGAAGCATATAATGAAAGGTATATATATATATATATATATAATTTATTCATTTTATTCCTTATAATGCATTTTGTTGTTGTTGTCTTGTTCATTTAGCAAATTGAAAATCCTCGTATTCTACAAAGAGCTCATAAACTTAGCAATGTTCGTAATGCTTTAGATTATTTAGAAAAAACATGTAAAGTAAGTTTGTGAAGTTTATCGTTTTTTTTCGTTTGTTTGTTTGTGAATCGTATGTTACCTCAGACTAATTTATCTGATTGTTAGAATATTGTATTTCATATTAAAATATGTCTAAATTGACTAAGTGAGAATTTATCCTGACATTGATTAGGGAATTATTGATCTCACTTAGAGTGTTATTATGTATATATGTATAGTGGATGAACACTCAAATGGGGTAAACCAGTTTATTGTCTAGTGCAAAATCATAGTATCTTCCAGTGTTTGTATAATCTAATTCATTATTGAAGTGATTAGTTTATGATGGGTAATACTGGGACGAGTAAAAAGTAAATCACTCAGTATAGACTTTTTATACTAAAATGACTGACTCATAAAATATAACAGTACCAGGCTTGTTTTGATAGTCAATTGGCTTCCTTTCCGAAATACAGTCGAATAAAATGGTCCTGCGAAACAGCGGTGCGTATTTATAGCATTTCCATATTGACAAATTGAAAAGAAAACGATCGACTTTCAAATTACATTCTGAAACCTGACTGAATTTGTTACTACACTTTAGTCTTTTTTTCTAGCTAACTTATGAGTAGATCAAAAAGAAGATTAAAGATATCCAAAATAAAGATAATAATATTATAGTGAACGAACATTCAGGTGGGGAAGACCGATTTATTGTTTAATAGAAAATTACAGAATGTCTTCACAAAATACGAAAACCATCCATTAAATACTTCATTTGCACATCTCCCATCAACAGTTTCTTACTTTATCATTCCTTTCTTCCTGTTTTTATTACGATTACGCTCTATCTACATTACTGTTGTCTTCAACTCGATCTTCTCAATTTTCTATTGCGAGACATTCCAGTTATGATTGGTGTTAAATACTACTTATATTTGTCAACATAACTAGCATTCACCACATATATGTATATAAACATTCTAGTGAGAAGCCGTGAACAGTGGAGTTCAATCCGTATTGGGTAGAGATAGGAATCTACCTCAGACAATGGATGAGGGGTTACGCAAGATCATCGATCGATTGCTGTTAGACGCTAACACCGTTGGATGCCAGCTCAGTAAAGCAGAGGTTAAGCATTCGCGCGCGAAACCAAAGGTCTTGTGTTCGAATCCTGTGTGCGGGATCATGAATACACACTGCTGAGGAGTCCCATACTAGTACGAAACGACCGTCCAGTGCATCCTGGTTTTCAGTAGTGGTGTTGGTGTAGCTTAGATTGACTCATGAATTCAACTAATAAATTTAAAGCAATAATTTTATTCTCGAAGTGCTTAGCGTGTAGATCAAATTAAATTTACAGTTGTATTAAAGTCACAGTGATTTATTAAAATTTACTATAAAGTTTCTAAATGCACTTAACTTACTATCTGAAGTTATTTATCAATGAGCAAAAGGTGTTTATTTGTTTGTTTTTCTTTTAAATATTTGTTCACTATAGATAAAACTTGTAAATATCAATCCCGCAGATGTGGTCGACGGGAAACCAGCGATTGTTTTAGGTCTTATATGGTCGATCATATTATTTTATCAAGTAAGCTAAATGAATTATTTCTGATATCATATAACATGAAAATAATCACAATTAGCATACTTACTTACGCCTGTTACTCCTCGTGAAGGAGCATAGGCCGCTCACCAGCATTCTCCATCCAACCCTGTCCTGGACAATCCTTTCTAGCTGCGTCCAGTTGTAATTCATCGTTTTCATATCTGCTTCTATTATCCGACGCAATGTGTTCTTTGGCCTTCCTCTTGTTCGCTTCCCTTCAGGATTCCAAGTTAGGGCTTGTCTCGTGATGCAGTTTGAAGATTTGCGTAATGTATGTCCTATCCATTTCCATCGTCTTTTCCTAATTTCTTCTTCAGCTGGAAGTTGGTTTGTTCTCTCCCACAGAAGGCTATTGCTGATGGTATCCGGTCAATGGATGTTGAGTATCTTGCGTAGACAACTATTTATAAATACTTGTACCTTCTTGATGTTTGTTGTTGTAGTTCTCCAAGTTTCAGCTCCATACAGTAGAACTGCCTTGACGTTGGTATTGAAGATTCTCACTTTGATATTGGTTGAAAGTTGTTTTGAGTTCCATATGTTCTTTAACTGTAGGAATGCTGTCCTTGCTTTGCCAATCCTTGCCTTTACGTCTGCATCTGAACCTCCTTGTTCATCGATGATGCTTCCCAGGTATGTGAAGGACTCTACATTTTCCAGAGTTTCGCCATCAAGAGTGATTGGGTTGTTGTTTTCCGCTTTGAATTTGAGGACTTTGGTTTTCCCTTTGTGTATGCTGAGGCCTACTGATGCAGAGACTGCTGCTACACTGGCTGTCTTCATCTGCATCTGTTCGTGTGTACGTGATAGGAGTGCTAGGTCATTTGCGAAGTCCAAATCGTTTAATTGATTCTGAGCTGTCCATTGAATTCCGTGTTTTCCTTCAGATGTCGAGGTCTTCATAATCCAGTCGACCACCAGAAGAAAGAGGAATGGGGAGAGTAAATAGCCTTGTCTGACTCCGGTCCTTACTTGGAATGCATCTGTCAGCTGTCCTCCATGCACGACTTTGCACTGTAGTCCGTCGTATGAGTTCCGGATAATGTTGACAATCTTCTGAGGAACTCCGTAGTGTCGAAGAAGTTTCCATAACGTCCTCCTATCCACACTGTCAAATGCCTTTTCATAATCAATGAAGTTGATGTATAGTGATGAGTTCCACTCAACTGATTGTTCGACGATGATCCGTAGTGTTGCAATTTGGTCTGTGCATGATCGATCCTTACGGAATCCAGCTTGTTGATCTCGAAGTTGGGCGTCTACTGCATCTTTCATTCGGTTCAGCAACACTCTGTTGAAGACCTTCCCTGGTATTGACAGCAGTGTAATGCCTCTATAGTTTTCACATTTGCTCAGATCTCCTTTCTTTGGAATCTTGACGAGGTGCCCTTCTTTCCAGTCCATCGGCACTTGTTCCTCCTCCCAAATCTTTTTGAATAGAAGATAAAGCATGTTTGTAGTTGCTTCGATGTCTGACTTCAGTGCTTCAGCTGGTATGTTGTCCGGACCCGCTGCTTTTCCGTTCTCGATTTGTCTGACGGCCATTCTGATTTCTTCCTTCGTTGATGGGTTGACGTCTATGGGAAGATCTGTGTGTGCCGCTTCGATGTCCGGTGGATTCATTGGAGCCGGCCTATTCAGGAGTTCCTCGAAGTATTCTACCCATCTGTTCCGCTGTTGTTGAATTTCGGTGATTGGCTTGCCTTCTTTGTCTTTGACCGGTCTTTCTGGTTTACTGTATTTTCCTGCTAGTTTCTTCGTTGTATCGTAAAGCTGTTTCATATTTCCTTCTCTAGCAGCTTTTTCTGCCGTCGTTGCTAGTTCTTCCACGTATTTCTTCTTGTCGGCTCTAATGCTCCTCTTCACTTGTTTGTTTGCTTCTATGCATTCAGCTTGTGCTTGGACTTTCTCTGCTCGTGTTCGGCTGTTGTTTATTGTTGCCTTCTTGTTCTTCCTTTCTTTGATCTTGTCCAGTGTTTCTGTAGAGATCCATTCCTTATGATGGTATTTCTTTAGACCCAGAACCTCTTGACACGTTGAAGTCAATGCTTCCTTGATGCCTTTCCAGTTGTCCTCCATACTAGTTTCTTCTTCTTTCAGTAGATCTTGTAAGGCTTGGAACCTGTTGTTGAGAGCTATCTTGAATTCATTGAGTTTGTCAGTATCTCGAAGGAAGGCTGTATTGAACCTTTGTATTGCTGTTTGTCCACTTGTCCAGTTCTTTTTTAGCTTCAGTTTTAAATTGGCCACAACTAGGTGGTGATCTGAAGCTACGTCAGCACCTCTCCTGGTTCTCACATCTTCCATTGTCCTTCTGAATTTTTTGTTGATGCAAATATGATCTATTTGGTTCTCTGTAGTGTGGTCCGGTGAGATCCATGTAGCCTTGTGTATACGCTTGTGTGGAAATATTGTGCCTCCTATGACCAATTTGTTGAATGCACATAGATTTGCAAATCTTTCTCCATTTTCGTTTCTTTCTCCCAGTCCATGTCGTCCCATAATATCTTCATATCCAGTGTTGTCTATTCCGACTTTGGCATTTAGATCTCCCATCAGAATAGTTAGGTCCTTCCTTGGGCATTTCTCAATAACTGACTGCAGCCGCTCGTAGAACTGATCTTTAATGTAGTCGTTGCTATCATTTGTGGGTGCATAACAATTAGCATACTAATTTACAATTTTGGCCAGGTTAGTATTCCATGGACGCAACGTTTTAAAGAAATGAGGTTGTATTATTTGGAAAAATCTGATTCATAAATTATTTTTTAACTGAACGATTACTCACAAAGATGTGGACGATGTTGAAATATTTAATAAGGGCAAAATCCATAATCCGTGACGATAACATTTTAGAGTAAGACATGGTGTATGAACCTATTGTTGGTCACCATCTACCATGAAACCGCATCTCCTGACGTCTCTACACTGCTTTGTTGATTAGACCTCTGGTTCAGAGGCTGGAGGAGTGGCCCCTAGGAAAACCACTTGTTTCAGTCTGGACACCTGGGTAGTATCACATCCCACACACAAATCAAGTGTTTTGTGTGACATATATGTATTCGGTGGCCCCATGTACCAATGTTTATGTGTTCAAATAAATAAATATATAGGGGCAAAACATTGCTACTAGTATATATATATATATATATATATATATATATATATATATATATATATATATATATATATATATATATGGAGCGTAACAGTCATCCGTCTTATATTTACGGAGTTGTCTTTAGTAAATAATATAGGGAGGAAATGGCATAACAACAATGTCACGAGCGTTTAGGAATGGTTTATTATGACAAAACACCATATTATTTAAAGTTTACATCAGTACTTCTGGGCATGAATTTGAATTCATGGATGTCTGTGCGTATGCGTGTATGTTGACGATTTTAACACTGATAGTTAACAAAAAATACGTGGTAAATTATACTGAATTTTATCGGTAACAAGTTGTCATGGCAACCATTTTCAAACATATATATATATATATATATATATATATATATATATATATATATATATATATGGATTATGTTCTGTCGCAAAAGGAAATTGATAAAAGCTTTTTATAAATAATTGTTTTCTACATATCATATTAGCATAATCTCTTTACAGATCATAGATAAAGAATTGTGTCTGTATAGTTAGTGTACGTTGTACAACCAAGTTATTTATTTAATAAATAACTTGTACACTGCTCAACAGGATATATATAAGTTAAGCAAAACAAAATACAGTCAGTCAGGAATTAAAAAGAAAACACGTGAAAACTCACTTCAAGTTGATTAAATATGTCCATGTTTTGTCTTTCTTTTTCATTTATTTCCTTCCGGAAATGACCAGAATCATTTCCGGTTTTTAGTTTAAACAAACTGTGTACATGTTGTCTATTTTATTTCAACAACAAATGGACAAAATATTTAGTGAATTAGTTTTGTAAAAAATCAGTAGTGTTCAAGAGTATCTTCACTTTAAGAAGGCATCCATTATTACCAATAAAAATTATGGATTACAGTACTATAAACTTATCCCATGTAATGTCAATAATCGTTTTACTTATAGATTCATTGAATTAATTATTGGGTTATCATATTAATTGCTTCTTTAGAGAAATGAAATGTTGTGATGAGACTATAATTTATCGACGTATCAATCAAATTTAGGATAACAGGTCCTGTATTTTGGCCGGAATTTAATTCATTCATTCATTCGGTTGAATAGCGTTTTGGCATTTTAATTGATGTCAGTTCGTGATGGAAATCCTAAATCTAATTCTTAACCCTAACCATAAACTGCAAATCATATTCCTTACTGACACAAGTTCATAAACCTCATTTAGCCCTGGTAAGTAAGTGGATATTCTTAAGGCCAATTTAGCGTCGCTTGAAGATCGGCCGTAAATTATAGTCTCACCGATGCTGTTTATCAATTAAAATCAGAAATTTATTTTTAAAATCGGTTTTTTAACGTTTACTAGATTCAAGGTCATCAGAAAGTATTAAAAGATGCATTGAAATCTCGTCGTAAAAGTCTATCGAAATCAATCGATTCTGATGCCACTGGAAATGTTAGTAGTAAATCTGAAGAGACTAGTTTATCTGAACAAGTGGATAGTACAAAAAGTGTAACCGGTTCCAGGACTCGACAAGCTTTATTAACTTGGGTTGAACAGTCTTTTCGTTCTCATAAATCGTAAGTTATTATCAGTAATAATAATAAATTAATGTATTTATTTTTGATTTTAAGTTCTCCTAACTTTGTCTCTTAACTATGATTTCTACTTTTTTTTTCAAAATATTCACGTTTGTAAGTTATAGCATTTTGTAGTGAGGTCATACATTTGAAAGGTACAGATTAATGTACTAGGATTCAGGTCACATTGTTTTTGCTAATGCAAGTAATACTACCTATCACCTATCCAAGTTAAATTGGAAGGACAGGGATGTGAACTGACAATTAATTAATTGAAAACCTAGTTCTTTAATCATATAAACAATTGTATGTTTGTAAAATGCATGATTATGACTGAATCATAGTGATGTTATGACGGATAATAAATATACCTACTTTTAAGGCCTCAAATGTATCAGTTTGTAAATAACCTATGAAATCTGTATCCCCAAATTATTTGTTATTTAAATGAAGTTTAATCATGTTCGTTTTGTATTGGATGTTCTGTAGATACAAGTATATCATTTTGTTTTATGAAATAATTTATCGCATATTACTGGTCAATTATTTTATCTTCTGATATGTGTTCTTCATGAGCTTGTTTCACTCATTGATTGGATTTGTAAGTAGTATAATTCTTATTAATCTGGCCAAAATCGAGTCAAGCAATCGGTCTCACACAAACACTTAATGATTTTTCACTGTCATATATGTATCCTTGTGTGCTACATATATGTCTTCTGTAGTTTGATGTGAATATCAGGAAATGCATTGTTGTTTTCATTCATCACATTGATTATTTTTCTCGTCAGTTTACTACTTTTCATATGTGTTTTCTTCGTGTTGTTTTTTCTCTTATTTCACAAAGAACATTAGAAATTAGAGTTACCGACTTTGGTCCATGTTGGCGTGATGGTAAAGCATTTTGTGCTTTGGTGCATAACATTAATCCAAGTCTTATTGATATGGGTGAAGTTATGCATCGAAAAAATCGTGAGAATTTAGAATTTGCTTTCAATGTAGCTGAACAAAGACTTGGTGTACCAAAATTACTAGATCCTGAAGGTAATTTATTTTCATATTGTGTCAAACTGAATTATTGTTTTTAAAGATTAGAAAAGTTCATACATTACGCTGTAACATACTTATGATTAGTATGGAAGATTTGTGGAGATTGTAGTATTTTCATAGATGAATGAAGTCATTAATGCACACTTCTATATGGTCCATATATTGTTGTTCATCATTCCTGAATTTCAATACTTCTTTAACTAATGTTGTCGTAAACAAGAACTGAGGTGGAGAAGACCAATTCATTATTGAACGCTAAATTACACAGTGATTTCGTGTAAAATATGGAAACAACACATCAAATATATTATTTTCACATCTTCCTTCAGTTGTCCAGTACGTGCTTCACGATTCTTTCAATCCTGTTGTTACTACAATTGTTTATTGTTTTCCTTTCTGTTTTCTTCAATTCAATCTTTTGCTACAAGGCATTGCGCTTCTGTTTGGTGTTACATACTACTTAATCTGCCAACATAAGTAACACGCCGCAATATTAACTAATTTATTTATTTACTTGAACACATAAATACTGATGAAAAGGGGCACCGAATACATATATGCTCACAAGTCACTTGATTTGTGTGTGGGGGATGTGATACTGCCCAGGTGTTCAGACCGAAGCAAGTGGTTTTCCTAGGGGCCACTCCCTGAGCCTTTGAACCAGATGTCTAATCAACAAAGCAGTGTAGAAACGTCAGCAGATGCAGTCCTGTGGAAGCCAGTTACCAACAATAGGTTCATACACCATTTGTTCATTCAGGAGCCCATATGCACCATTGGTTTGGAACCAATGTTTTATAACCCTCCTCCCTATCCACTAGCCCGGTTAAGGTGTCGGACATTCTCTTTTCGTTCTCTCAATTTCGTAAACAACACCCTCTTCGTGAGAAGGTATTTAGTAGGACTTCACTGGCGGTGGCTGCATATACATGGCCATGTAAGACCATTTCGAGAGGGAGAGCTGACTCTCACCACTCTAGGCCATACCAGTGAATTTGGGGGCATATTAACTCATATTTTAATATATTAACTCATACTGAAAAAATAAACTTTCTCTTGAATTGCACCTTATCGAGAAGTGGATGATTACTGTGATTTTATATTTACAATAACATATTCTCCTTACATTTATTGATTTAATTCTAGATGTTGACGTGGATAAACCGGATGAACGTTCAATTATAACATATGTAGCACAATTTATTCTAATCGCTAGTTCACATCCACCTAAGGTTGGTTGACTTTTTTTTTTTCTCAAAAGGATTCTCAGTTTATACGAGTATTCGTATATATTAGAAAGAATTGTTTGACAGAAATTGGGCTCTGAGTATAGAGAAGACATTATATGTGATGATTATGTTTGAAATAAGTTTAGTGATTGAGATTTAAATAGTTTCAACGCTTCGTCCAACAAACTTGTCTGAACTTCTTCAAAATCGAATTTTCATTTTGATTATTGTCTTGAAGAGAGAGGCATCAATAACATAGCCATATTAGTTTTGTTCAGTTGTAGTATCATTATTTGATTGCGTCAAAGGATGAACAAATAGACTGAACATATCTTCTGCATATTTATGTAAGCTGTATCAACGTCAGCTTTTTTATTTGTTTTTGGGAATTACGGGAAGAAAATTAACAATCTCATATGTTGTCAGAACATATACTTTGTTATGGATTCCTAATAGCTTGAAAATTACTGAACTTGAAATGGATCTGAACAGCCATCTAAAGGTATTATACTCAGTGTGAAGCCTTAAGTTACTAAGTTTAACGATGTGTGTGTGTTTGAGATAATTTATACCTGATCACTACTGACGGATCTTCATCTATAGTTAAACAATTATTCAGTATTCTCTGATCCTCAATAACATTCTAGCTGATATCAAACAGTGTCAGAAACTTCCTATAAATTGATATGTTCTCTAAAATATATTTGACCAAACTATATTTTATATTGATCATTAAAATGCACATGATGTAATGACTTTCATTACTCTTTTCTTCAAGAATTATTTTGTTGTTTTGTAATTTAATATCTATTCATATAAAATAGAATACATAAAGTGATCCAAATCAGAAAGTTCTGCAGTTAATTTTGTCACATTGTAAGCATCATAAACATTAATACAAAATTAGTTTAAAATAAATCATCATAAATTATTTTTCTTTACTGCTTGATTCACTATTTAATTTCCTGCTAAGATTAAATCAAGATCTGGTTCACGTCGATCAAGTACTAACAGTTCGGAAAAACTACAATCACAACAGAAATTAAAAGGAGAAAATATTGACATGAAAACTGAATCTAAAACAGAAAACGAATATCATACAGCACTTAGATTAGCTTCATTTGAACCTGACCCTGAAATTGATCCTGCATTAATCTTGAATGCATCAACTACTGCTAATTTCCTGGAACGTCGTCGTGCCAGACGAGCAAGTTTAAGTGGTCCACAAACTATGGATGATGAAGCACTACATAACCTAATTTTAGCTACAAGTCCTGTAAGTTCTGGGACTGGTGGTGCTTCTACACCTACAGACGATGCAGCTATTGCATTATCTTCATCAACACCAGGTTATACGCGTACTACTATGTCAGGTTCTCCATCTCCTCCTAGTTATAGTACATCACCACATCGATCTGGCCGTGCACGTTCATATGCTGGATTACGTTTATGTCGAGTAGCTAAAAATGTATCAAAATGTCGTGCAATTGCAAATATTCGTGTAACAGCTGAACCACCTCGAGCTACACGTCATATTGTTCCTGTTCTACATTTAGGTGGAGAGGTGCATATTTATTTAGTATTATTATTGCTTGTTGTTTGTTTTATCACGGTTGCCAATGAGATAATGCATGATAGCTCACCACTGGAAACTTCATCCTTTTGCTCACACGTTTTCCAAAATAAAATTGTTGTTCGTGTTAGTTTTTTTTTTTAAAGACTGTACGGAGTACTTAGTTGTAATGGGAGTCTTCACATTTTTTGTTAAACAAATATCAATATTCATTTTGTCTTGTTCGTTTGAATCTTCCCATTGATGTTTAGGACTGCAATCGATCAGTCTCTTATTGGGATATGTGCATACTGTGCGGTTCGCCGTGATATTGCTTTAATTCACAAGCTTTATAAGTAAAGATGGATAGTGGTTAGTAATCAAAATCAAGGACGTGCATTTCGTCCTATCGGGACTTGTCATCTGGATATGCTTGCATCCCAAAGTTGATGTTCACTCCGGGACTCAAACACGGTGCCATTCGCGTCAACGAGTCCCGAATAAGCCGAGACGCACGTCCTAGATTTCACTGCTAGCCATCATATATCCTTGCTTATACATATCGATATTGCAACTACAGTTGAAATGTTTATTAGATTGAATATTTCAAAGAGTAATTTAATTAGTCTTCTATGCCTTGTACAGTTCACTTCAGCTATATGTAAATCACCAGAGAAGGTTATTTATTAAATAGCTTATTGAGAAAAAACTGCTATTAATAATAACACTGTCCAATAAAAGGTAAGCTACAACAAGCCAGTTAGTTATAGTTCCTACTTAGTCTTTTCAGCAGAGAAATCCTGTAAACATCTATGAAGTATATGTTCTTAACTTACAAGCGTTATTGTCGATTTCCTGTCCAGTTAATTGTTTAGTTATCAGCAGTTACCTTCTTTTGGTAAAACCAGATATTGACTTAAACTAATTCTTATGTAAAATTTAAACGGTTTCTATGAATCTAGTTTTCTTCTTATAAAGTAAAATAAGACTATCGAGGTTTACTCACATTAAGTTCTAATACATTTTAGCATATTTAACATTTTCATTATAAACTCAATTCATTCGAACCTGTAACCTACTTATATATCTCTAATTTATAACACGTTCTTAAATATATTTGTTTACAAATATATGAAACTTCAGACTTGAATGAAGCGTTTCTTTATTTATTGGATCATCACTGAATTTATGCACATTTACTTATTTTTCACAGTGTAAATAAATTATTGTCTACTTCTCATTTTATTATATATACGTTGTCATTTAAACGTTGTGCTGTTTTTATACCAAACATACAGAGTATAGATATTGTTTCCTTGTCATGTATATCTGTACGTGTATTTCCTTTTTTTGTTTGTTTTGTTTTACTATCTTTGTCCACCTTATTAATTAATTAATTGATTAATCCATTCTCAAGGGTAATGAACAAACAGAAGCGGAAAAAGAACGTGTTCTATTAATTACGATAAAAGAATTAATTGCTCGAGTTCGACATAATCCAATTGAATCACAAGATTTTCTCACTGAATTTGAAGTTAGTTCTATTCATCATAATTTTGATTAAATCATTAAAATTCTATGTAAATATTGTTTTCTTCTATGAATATGTAAAAAAGTCGTAATTTGTGACAATGTTCTTTAGTGTCATGTTTGAAATTAAGTGATAAAAGTTTTCAAAATTAGTAGTGTAGTGACAAGCATTCCACTTCCGACTGGTGTAGCATACATCACAGTAGTAGTAAATAGTGATCAGTGGAAAAGTCATTCAAAGTTAAGTGGTACAAGACAGATGTTTCATTGAAATTCGTTAAGTCTTCTACAGTAGTATAAATCTAAGACCTAAATAAAATTAACGTGGTAACTTCTAGTCTTCGAAGTGAAACAGGTACTCTTTAATTACACAGATTGAAATCATGAATCAATTGAAGCTAGACCACCATGGAAAACCTGGAAGCACTGAACAGCCGTTTCGTCGTAGTATGGGACTCCGCAACAGTGCGCATTCACGATCCTGCACTCCGCGAGATTCGAACCCAGGACCGATCAGTTTCGCGCCAAGCGCTTAACCAACTAGACCACTGAGCCGGCATTCAATGGTGTCAGTGTCTAACTTCAAACAATCCACTCTTTAATTGCATTGAATAAAGAATGGACTATATTAAAAATTGTTTGTAATTGAATATGTTAACTGTTGAATTCGATTTGACAGTATTGTGTTATTAGAATCTCTTAATGATTCTTATATCCTGTATTTTATATAGTTTTTTTAATTTTTGGTGTGTATTGTGGAAGAGTTAAAAACGTGAACGAAATAAGTATTTAATATAACCGATTTTGTAATGGTTCTACGAATGACATCTATTTGTGGTGAACATTAACTTTAAATTTATGTGTGCCTATATAGATCATTTAATTCAACGAGAATGTCAGTCTGAGGTTGTGGAGATTGTTGAATTTCGATTGAGATCACTAATCGATCAATGTTAGTCCACCATTGAAAACCTAGAACCACTGTACGGCCGTTTTGTATTAGTATAGGGCCCCTCAGTAGTGCGCATCCACGATCTCGCACACGGGATTCAAACACAAGACCTTTGGTCTCGCGCGCGAATGCTGGCATCCAACAGTGTTAATGCCTAACTTCAACCACTCCACAATATTCCGTGACCATACTATGACGAAATGGCCGTCTAGTGCTTCCAGGTTTTCAATGGTGTTCTAACATTGATTGTTTTATAATTTCAATCAGTAAACATAGTCTAATGGAGTTCTTACAGCTATTTTTGTTGTTTTTAGTCTTCTTAAATCAACAATAGAGTTTAATATCAATTCATCATGAAATAATTTCACAGTGGATTTTATCGATTTTTCTCTTAAATTCAGAAATAATCATTCTTTCGAGTAAAATTTTTTCCTAAAGACTGCTGATCATGTCAGTGATTATTTTCATGCTTAAACCATAAATTTTCGTAATTGTTGACTGTGAATTGTACATAGAGAATCATTTATTCATCATATTTAATGTCAGATTTTGTTGGATGCTTTTGGTGAATTCGTTGAAATTTACAGTTATTAACTTCTTATGGTGATTGTCATTATATGTCTAACTTTCCACATATTTCAATACATATCTTGGACATCTACAGGAACCTTCAAAAGAATAAGGATGACAGTTTCTATAAAAAGATCCATTGCATGATTTATTTTAGTGGATTACTATTGATTAACATCATTAGACCTTACATGATATAAGTCGAAATCATCTCAACAGATAAAATGGTCAAATAAACTTAAGCATCTAAATCTCAGAACTCACGTACAATTCCAACTGAAAGAAACTAACAAGAATAACTTCATAAGTTATTAGAAACTCACTACTTCAACTATAACTCTTATTTGAAAATTTAGGATAATAAGAATTCAAGATCGTTCTTAAAAATATTCAGTGAGGGTTGATAAACAACCAGATTAAACAATTTGCAACAAATTAATATTATAACTAGATTGACACCTCTTCACAGACAGTGATTAAAACAGGTTCAACTTTGAGTTACTTCGTTTCAGGCTGAAATTTCACTTTAACTACTTAAGGTTTGACCGACCAGGTAGTATCACTTAACTCTCGACTTAAAGTGTGACTTGAAATCGGGTATAATGAATTTGTGGCTCGTAATGAATTAATAATATGGCACTCAATTATACCTGTAATATTCAGTAAGCTACAATTTATTGAAATAATATTAGTTAATTAAAATTGATTGTAAGAAATATGTTTTACGTTTTGAATGATCCATTCAGATTATTATTATTATTATCACTATGGTTATGATCATATAGAGTTTTCTCCAAGCTCAACTTGAACATGAAAATATGGCTGCTTATATTCGTGAACTTGATGATAGAAAACGTCAAGGTTTATTACTTGGCCTAAGACCAGAAGAATTAGAACGTGCTGAAGCTGAATGGAGTCGAGTGAAACCTGAACTTGATGAATGGCGTTGGCGTTTAGATAATGTTCTACCAGGTGAATGGCGTCAAGTTGGTCAATGGTTGTCAAAATTAGAAAAATGTCTTATAACTGATGCATTGATAGCTTCACAACTTGGTCTGGAATTAGCTCCAGAAGCGAAAAATTTGACTCATGAAGAACGTGCAACACGACTTCGAAATTGCTTAAACGAACATGAAGTATGTCACTATATATGGATATATCTTTTGTATGTTAATTGGCCACCATACACCTTTTTTAATCAGGATTTGATTTTTAAAAATAATATTTCTCAGATAACTGTTATTCTGTGACATTGATTTTATCTTGAAGAGAATTCAGTAATTGTTTGTACTTTAAAAACGTTCCTGCTGTCTGATCAGTTACACTACGAGACTATTTTCGACTGATGATTCTCTTCTGAGATAGATAATTCTGATTGCTTCACTGTATTTACACTAAGTAATTTTAAGATCTATCTTTGATTATCGTATAAACATGAATAATTATGAATTATCATTACCAAACTTGGTTGCTTTTAAAATAAAGTTACGGAAATAGTTACTTTCAAAGTCACCGAAAACGATTGAAGTTATTGACAATATTTCCAGTATTCAACAAGTGTTTCTTGCTTAGCACTTTCGCACATTATTATGCTTATTTAGCGGATGAGTAGTGCTGCATATTGAAGTATAGTTTTCGTTAAAGATTTTATTCAAAGTCTTTACTTTTACTAGATTTGTGTTTTTCATTTGGCATGTTGGGTTGCACTTAACTGAATATGCTTATGGGAAACAATTGAGGGAAACATCAGCCACTTAAAATGTAACTTTATGCATAAATACACTGATAAACTTCACTCATCCACTTAATAAATAGAAAAGTGATAGGAAGTACAAAATACTACATTTAGTGAACATTGAATAATGTTTTGAATGACCTCAGCATCTGAAATTACAGCTAAGGATTTTACTTAATAAGATACTATAAATTTCACTTCAAAAATATAAGTCATTTCTGTCTAATAAAGAATTGGTTTGTGTTTATCACCTGAAGTTTGTCCTGATGATGTTGTTCAGAAAAACAATGAAAGCTCCACGACCAAACCATTCAGCTCAGTGAATAAAACTCCACTTAAATCATTCATTTCAGCTATCACTCTTCTCCACCATCGCAAAACTGGAATCATATATCTAAAGTTTATACAAAATATTCATAGGTTTAATATACATAATATTACTGTCACTCATAAGAGTCGTCTTCACGGACGTGGTCATATCATGTAGATAACATTAAATGAATAGTTGAGATCATGAGTCAATTAAAGCTAGACCACCATGGAAAACCTGGAAGCACTGGACAGCCGTTTTGTCCTATTGCGGGATTCCTCAGCAACATATGCTCACTGGTGACTGGCTTCAAGAGATACATCCTGGAGTTCTAGTAAGAAGCAGTGACCAGTGGAGTTCAACCGGGTCAGTTGTGAGTTAGCAACTCACTGATGACAATGATGGATGTGTCGCTCAATTTCATGGATTAGTTGGAGTTAGACATTAACACCGATGGGTGCCGGCTCAGTGGTCTAGTTGGTTAAGCACCTGGCGCGAGACTGGTGGGTCCTAGGTTCGAGCCCCGCGAGGCGGGGTCGTGGATGCGCACTGCTGAGGAGTCCCACAATAGAACGAAACAGCTGTCCAGTGCTTCCAGGTTTCCCATGGTGGTCTAGCTTCAATTGACTCATGATCACAATTATTGAAATTACTACAATCTTCACAAAACCCCTTCTGATACTAATAAATGAATATCTTTCATAATGAATTCAACAAAATGTTATGATTGTTCATCATTTGGTTTCTTATTATTTCAGGATATTTTCAATAATATTGAAGATTTAAATCATTTAATTAATAAATTAAGTGAAGAAAATGAAAAATTAAATGAAATTGCTCAAAATGCTACAACATCAGATGTATTAACAACATTACCAACTCGTTTACCACAAATTATTGTTGATTCATTAAAATCTCGTTTTATCACAGCTTATTTAAATGGTCAATTAACTAAACGACGTTTAGAACGTTTAGTGTTACGTTGGGATTTAACACATAAAATAACTATAATACGTGAACATTTAATTAATTGGCAAACAATTAAATGTAAAGAGACATCTGAAGTAGATTTACATATTAATGAAATTAAAGTAAGCTATCATTTTATTTATAAATTAATATTAATCTAATCTAGTTTAAATCATAAACGAATTGCTATTGGATAACCTATTTAAAACTTAAGATACAGCGAATGATTATTTGATAATCTAACTGTAATCAATCTCTAATGCTAAATGATCTTCAAGTTGAACAGTTTTCATTCATCTAATCTAAGTATTAATGTGATTATATATTAGTTTCAAATGTTTCTATAAGATGGAACTTCGGGTTGTATGATACAACTTCGTTTTATCAAAACATTTTTTCTTAATAATTGGTTAGTTTCAGAGGGAAATATAAGGTTCTGTTGAGTAATTTGTTGAAAGCATATAGTTGAGATATGCATAATTAAGAAACTTTTCTACAAAATTCGTATCATTTGCATATAGACCTCTTGTATCATGTATCTTGTAAACGTAAGATAAACCTAGATTTCGCATCGAGTTTGTTTCAAACTATCTATCCTTATCTAATACTGTAACTCTGTCTGCCTCTCTTTGAACCCCGGTTTATGTGCATGATAAAGAGATATTAATTCTACAAGGCTCCAACTGAAGTAAATTAAGTTGGGTCTAACCCTACGATAGAATTTAATACGTTGACCACATAAAAATATCTCTCTGATACCCTATAGAATAAATAACAATAGCCATCTAATCCAAACTATTTAGATTCAATCAAACGAAATTCATCAAGTTTATTTGGCAAATATAATTGTATTATTTTAGGTTTTGCTCTGTGTTCAGTTAGTCAAGTCCTGAGTATTTGGAATCGACGAATTCATCGGTTTTGTTTTATCGATCATATTATATCACAAACCGTAAAACAAGTCACATTTCTTAACCCATTGAGAATGGTGATATCCTAGGCCAAACTTAAAAAAAAACGATTTGTAGTTTAGTCAATGGAAATACATAGATTAATTTTTTTAGCCTAATCAGTATTATGCCTAAAATAAAACTGCTGTATTGCACAATGAAGATCATTGATATTTGTCTGGGTATGACCTTTATCATTAATGCTACACTTTTCTTTTACATTGCTTACTCCTTATTATTATCATTATTATTGAAGTGAAATCAAACATGTACAGAGACAACGGAGTTGTCAGAACACTTCAAGTCTTCCATTATCTTCATGAAATTTATCACGAATGCATATTTATTGATTGCATCAACAGCCTAACACACTTAAGCTAAACGTCATCTGGATATTATCAACTTAATTATAAGTACCCAGGGACATTAAGCGGTTGATATTGCTATCTATGCTACTTATGATTCTATAAGAATACAATCAAAACAATCATCTGTATATATCGGGATGTTCCATCTGGCTATAAATGGTTTATTAAGAAAAGTCCATAGACTTTTATACCCCAAATAATGAAATTTTAGAGAAATCTGTCGAGAAACTAGACTTAATCTATGTATAGCACACAAATTACGATGTATTGTGTAGTTTTATATTTGGTAATCAACACAGTTTGTGATTAGCCAATGGTGTTGAACAGATTTTACTCAATAGCGTTAGTTTATGAAAGTTAAATATGTATACTACTGGATGCCATCTCAGTGGTACGAGGATTAACTCTTCACCCAGAGACACCTATAAGTCGTAGGCTTGACATCCAGTAGAGTCGTTGATGTACACTGATGCGAAGTTTCATGGTAGAAAGAAACCTCTGTTCAATACTTAGTTTTAATTATTGTCTTAGTTCTATCAACAATGTAAACGATGATATCCAACTATCTCCAAAAACCTTTTAGTAACAATTCAATTCATTATCCACCAAGTGATGAGTCCAGTAACACTGGTTGTATTTTCTTATTTTTATCCCTTTATTAAAAGGATTATTTATCATCCATGAATATACCCGAAGATATGGATAATGGCTTGGATAAGCTTAAAGAATTAGCATTAGACCGCGATGATATTGCGTGTCGAATTGCTGAACAACGTGAAAAATTGGAAGCCAATGCAAAATTACCAAGTCCTATGGTAAATCAACAAGCTTCCGTTAGTACCGGTGGTGGAGCATTCATTTTAACTGACTATGCTGAAACTGAGCGAAAAGAAACAAATTTCTTTTTAACTTCACTTAATACACGTTGGAAAGATACATGGTCGGACATATTGAATATACAAACACATTTAGGCGAACTTTCTGTTAAATGGAATCTATACGAAACGGTTTGTTTTTTTCTTTCTAATAAGTATTGTTTTTATCAGTTATTTATTTTAAAGCAGCATAATATTTGATATCAATCGACCTCATTTCATGTTCACTCGGAGTTATACTTACGTTAAATAGGATCATTGATTGTTGAGTCACCCAATGATGAGTTTATTCAATAGTAATGGCCTTCACTTTACTGATTATAATTTTTTTTCAAGTAATGTTTGACGTACTTATTTTGATGAAGTTAGTTGGAATTTAAGATATAGACACAGACTAATATCAACGAGGTTGGACTTGCCAGTTATTTTAGTTGATTATGAAAGTCCACACTAGTACAAACTTATAACCTCACTACGAGTTTATCAATATGTGAAACGACATCTTATGGAATTTGGTGGACCACGAGCGAGTTGACTATTACAGTTACTTACTTTGAGATGAGTTCCCGAAGTTTTGGTAGGAATCCATAACCTGTGAAGTTCAGATATGTATAAAGTGTAGCAGTTGTCACCAATGGGATTGAAGGATCTCTCCACTATATCGTAACTTAATTGAAGTTGAAATTACATCACCAGACTCCTATCCAGTGGTTTTGATTTTTAAGTGTTCTCTATGAGAGCCGGAATTCAACTTTGTTCCTTTGAGGAGAAGGCTATCATTGTACGTTGCTTGAGTGTCTCATATTAGGACGAGACAGCTATTTTCCATAATGATATATATTTACCACTACTCTTGCGCTGATTATAGATTTGGGATGGTGGAAATTAATTCAACAGAATAAGTATTTTAAAATACAATAGCACCCAGGGGATCGGTTTTTCGCTAGTAATGTAAAACTTAATTAGTGCCCTCATTCTGACTGTCTATTGATCATGATTTGCTTTTCATGTTGATTCCTCTACCTGTCTCTCTTTGTTCCATTAAACATTGACCGGAGTTGAACTGACTCAGTATTTATGGTATTTTGTTCAAATAACTATGGTCAATCATTTAATAAGCAAGGTAGTTTAGTCAATATCAATCCATTTAATGTATAGAACAATTTACTTTCATCCTAAAATTTATCTTTATTTTCAAAAATTTTTTCTTATTTTTTTCTACATTTTATTCTTAATAAAAGGAAAAATTACATCTGAGCAACTGGTTAACAGAAGTGAGAAAACTGCTTGCCGATGAGAGTACAAGTGCTGAAGAACGTGAAAAATTATATAGTGATTTAAAAGAATGGCGTACACGTGTATCAGCTTTAAATGATCTTGGACATGAATTAATGCATAGTTGTGATATGACAGCATCATCTATTTTAGATAGTGAATTGAAGAATATAAATAAAAATTGGACTGAAGTTACTACTGAAGTAAGTGCTATTATAATGTGGTGTGTTACTCTATGTATGCAAGTAGGTAGATCGACACTTACGTATGTAGGTAAAATGTTTTCTTGTTTTTTCGTTTCCAAACATGACTGTGTTGATGATTTAACAGGTTGATTTAAAGTAAGAACTACCTAGAGCGAAAACATTCAATAGCTAAGAAAGTGGGTTAAAACCATACTAAATGAATGACTTTAAGTGATTAATCAAAGTTAAGATAGCCATTGTTAAACATTAGCGCAAATTTAAAAGGCTATTGCGTTCAGCTTGTTGTTGGAGTTTGGATAAGTGTTACGAGGATTCATATTAAGAGTTAGGATTTATCTGGGTTAATCAGCACTATGATTTCCAGTTGAATTTATTGATTATTAACATTATGTGGTTTATTAATCCTGTTAAAACTCTTAGTCCTACCTAGTTTCTTCATTTTTATGTATCTTAGACCTCCTCCACAAATCTGCGTTCCGATTAGTCAACTTCAAGGTCACTCTTAAAATTGATAAAGGCTGTCAGTATAGTATAAATCTATTGAGAGTGTTTAATAATCAGTCATCATTAATATATCAGACTTAGCGTAAATAATTAATCAGTTCAATTTGTCCTATTGACATTAGAAGTGAGCGAATTAACAAGCTAAGAAATAAAGGAAAGGAACTAATTCCAGCTTCAGTGGAAATCAATAACATATAGAATACTATTGGAATGGAATAAATCCAACCAAAAGACTAAAAGTTAGTGGTTTTACTACCAACCTAACCGTAATTTATCGACAGTAGCGCTCTTTACAGTGATGATCTTTAATTCTAGCAATGACAGCTTTCTACAGATTTAGGTTTGAATCGAACACTACTTAGAATAACACAACCTACCTCATCTCACAAATTACTGGTGCTAGTGGTAACATTTAAAATATGTGTCGAACCAATATTACGAAGGTAAGAGCTAGTATGCGTAGAAAAGCTTCGTAAATTCAAATAGTTTCCCCTTGGTTTTTATTGGTTGTGAGGGTTTGTAATGGTTACACGTAACAGTGGCACTGTTTCTCTGTTCCTCCACGTAGAAATAACTTTACATACACGATAACAATAATCACAAACACACAGATGAAGAACTTTCTGTTAACAATAAAAAAAGATGCATTTTTCACGGCCAAAGTTTTTGGCTTATCATTATAAAAAGAGGTCACTTTCAAGTAGTATGGTTTTACTTTGAATTAAATAAGTGTTAGCAACTTCTGTGCTTGAACGTGTTATAACGCTCGGTTTTACTTCGTCTAATGTTATAACGGTTGGGTTTCTACGTTTGCACATATGGGACGTTAATTTACCTTAGACGAATATCTACACTAGATTCCCTCCCAGTGTCTATTCTACAGGACTTCAACACAACTTAGATCAAGAACACGTGATTAGCCTGAACACAACGTAAATATATTTCCACATCAAAACCCGACACAATCCAACAACAATGAACAATCAATAATAAATGAGTATAATAATAATAAGGATAGGGGAATATATAATTCATCTGACAACTGTCAGACTATCTACGTGTCTGACTAATCAGACAAATAATCATTATCATTCTCGTCTACACATCAGAACGTTATTTAATTGAATTCGACCATTTCGTTAAGATTACTACTGATCGATATCATTTACTGGGTGTGTAAACACATTTTACTGCACAAAATGTCGATGGAAATGTAAAGCACAGTATAAATGTTGTAACTAAATGGCCGACTGTTGTATCAGGTATCTTCAACAGGTTATATTTAATGAGTCTTCACTATTATGTCCAGATGGGCTCTGTTGAGTCTTCAGTGTTATTGCTTTTATTTGACAATTGGGAACCACTTCAATTCCTCGATCTTATTGCTTATACTGGTAAACGAGAAATACTGTAATTCCCACAATACGGAGTTAGAAAAATATGGTATAAAAGAGAAAAAACGAACTGAAGAGCGATGTCTATGAAAGGATACCCTAAAACATGGCCTGTAGAAGATTAGGAATGAATGCATCTATTTCGTTTTGATCGACTCTAAGCTCCATGTTACCCAACGTCTTCAACCACAGATATTATGGGATGTTTGTATGAAATGTTTTACAACCTATTGTCTACAGTTCACATGAAGTAATTCACTTCGGACAAAAAGCGAGAAAAAGTTATACTCCATTGTCTCCATTAATTACAGTACAATATAATCACATTTTTTAGTAAGTGGGAGGATTTGGAAATAAGTTGAAATATAGACAGTTTAAACAAGGTACTTAATCGATTATTGTCGTCTAACTAGGTACAGGATTTCCTGTCTACAATAGATTTATAGATTACTTTCTGTTGTGTTTTGATGCATTTAAATGTCCGATTTCCCATAGGTATGGATTTATATCTTTCAATAAAATTTAAGAATAAAATATTAGGAATTAGACAAGGATAGATCAGAACGAGTACTCCCCTATTTTGATAATGAATATAGATGTAGAGCCAAGTACATATCTGTGGGCCAGTTGCACAAACCAAAGTAGGTGTAGGCGGGACTGGGACCTTCAACCTAGTAGTGGTTGAAAATCAAATGCTTTAACGATTGAATTGCCACTCTTAATACAGATATAAAATATATTGATAATTGTGCATGTATATCTGAATTGCTGAATGCGAAAGCCGTGATTTTATTATAACCGCTAGTGGTGTAAATACCAGTAGGCAAGAAACCTGGGTGGTTTTGTCATATTTTTTAAACATGAAATTGTCTTTATGGATACGTTTTTAACACATATGAATGCATTACAAATAACTAGTTGCGAATTACATGTTATTAAATGTTTATAGGTTTCTTAACTTTCAATCATACTGGGCTTTAGGTTTCAACAATATATCACTTTGAGTTGAGTGACTATGTCCTTGAATGACATTTTCAAACCCTAATCTTTTCGATTACTGCTTATACTCTTACTAACTCTACCACTACGGGATTTAAATCGAAAACTGCATCTCTGTGCTAATGTGGTACGGCAAATCGAACTGATGTACGTACGTACGAAGTTCTACGTTGTTACTGACTGACTGAGTGACTATGTATTATCCTTACGTGTTGTAGTTAAAGTGTGTTTGGGAGCCAAGTACATAAATCTGTACTTCTAAGTAGTTTATTGGGTTTTTTTCCACAGTGAAATGTTTGACAATATTTAAGTTTGATCTATGGTATATCTCGCTGTGGACATATTATTCGTACACTAATTGATCACCCAGAAACAATAATCAATATCATATTCCACTCTGACTGGTATTGTAATCGTGGTTGGATATCTTAATGTACTTTGCTTAGTGAATCGTAGTGTCACACACTCTGATTCAGATATCGAACCAGTGATTATTAAGCAGATAAAACCACAACGGATGTATCTTACGACAAAATACAAAGGGTGTGAGAAAAAATATATCACACTGTAGATAGCTTCTGAGTTCGTGGATGCTGACTCTTGGAGAGCCCCATAGTAGTACAAAACAATTGGATGCGCCACATTGTTTCCAATACTTGTTCAAGGTCAGTTGGCGATCTAAACTATGTGATAGATAGATCTATCTGTCAATAATTTGACTAATCACGACTTACTTACCTTCAATAGGAAACCAGCCATTTAAATCAATACTTTGCACTGATTATTATTACGACTCGAATAATTTTATGCAGAACATTATTATTACTGCAAGATTATATCAAAAAGTTAGTTAACTAACAATTCGTTTTATATATTTATTTGATTTGAAGAAAATTCTGAAATCTCATAGCATAGCTAATCTATTTTATCTATAGATTTGATTTTTCAGTTCGTATGTGGCCTAGTTTTTCATGTTAACTATGTAAGTTTACTACAGATTTGTATTATTGGAAATTACACATTTCGACCTAGTTGGGAACCATCAGATAGATATATGTCTAGCTCCAAATGCTGATGTTCATAATGTAGACACAAAACCAGAATTAATCAGTACAAACACCATGGTGTTATACTGAACCAGATGAAACGGTCGTCCTGGACTTTGTTGCTAGTTACAATTCAAATATAATGAGAGCTTGTGACTGGAAGGAATAGTCAGGGCAATCCGCTTAGGATGCACACTTGCGAATTGAAACTGATTTATTCTCAGTCCTTAGTATCAACAACTAAAGAATACAAAACCTTTGAGATAATTACGTACAAGTATTTCACTATCAAAATCAATCAATATATGTCTTGGTGTTTTTCACTTTAATTGATTATATCAGGTTCTTTTTCGTAACAAAAGTTAGTTTCTCAACGTTCATTGTATATATGTTTGGATCATCATATTAAGGTGTAAATAATTTTAATTTATTACAATCTTTTTTCCTCAATAGGTTATCAAATTTGTCGATTTAGATCATGCTGAAGAATTAAAAAATCGTAATTCTGAAGCTATGTTTCGATTGAATGCATTCATCAAATCAACTGAACTTTTATTGGTCTCTGATTTTGTTCTACCAGAGACTACTGATTTAGATCAAGCTCATTCAGCTACAGCTAATTATCGTCAACAATTAGAAGAAGCTCGTAAACAATTACTTGAAAAAGCTCGAAGTGATTATTTGGTTAGTGTAAATTAATTTATAATTTAATTTGTAAAATTTTTTCCTAACAAGAGTTTTCGTTTAATAGTTATATAGTGGTACATTTTTACATCTAATCGTCATCAAGTAGCACTCTAAATCGTCTGACAATAAAACATTTATGGCTTCTTTTCATTACCCACAGTAATAAGTTTTGAGGGTATGACCAATAACGTTAAAAAATATAGTGATTGGTTTTTGTGTTATCGAAATATGTGCGTGATATGGTTACTTAAATATGTATAAAGATATAACATGCTGAGAAAGAAATTTTCCCTGACTGTAATTGCGCTCGAATTCGGATGTAAACAAGTGATAGCGTGATTACTAGAGCTCGCTATTATTAGAATGATAATTATCACACAAACTATTGGCTTTTATATTTAACTTTAAAAAATAATCTCTGGCTATATCGTTTTTAAAATTCTCAGTATTATTTGACAGCTGATTTGAGGATTGCAAATTGGTGAGATGTAAAAAACTGTCCACTAATGTTGAGGGCGGCTAGGAATGATAAATTTAAACCACAGCTGTTTTAATGTTGTTATTCTAATCGACAATAATTTGCAATTACCGTATCCTGTATCAAACAAATCCCAAGACTCAACAAACTGTACCTGATGATGCTGAAGTTATTGTAAACAAGTTTTCATCCAATTATTCCGTGTCTTTTAAAATAATACTTGATTTAGATTGTCCCATGATCAATGCTTTAATTTTATGGATACTTGAAATTTCTAGACATTAGAAAAAGAATTGTTAGTAATATTTTATTTTGAATACATATATCATTGATTTTTTCATACACAACACAAATAGAATATCGTATTTCTCACTTAATAAATGGTTCCGATTTTCTTGTGTGCATTAATAGGAAGCTTTAAAAGCTGCTGAGGAACTAATGTCAGCTGCTAAAGCTGGTCAAGCGGATATGGAACAAGCGGAAGCTGTTATGGCAGCGGTTCGTGCTGCTGGTGAAAAATTAGATCGATTAGCTAATCATTCTGTTCAAGCAAGATTAGATGAAGTTGAAGCAGCAACTAAGAAAGCTGTAGAATTAGCTCTTCAACTAGCTCCAATTAATGATTGGGCTCAAGATAGTGAAGTTTCGACGGAAATATTAAATTCTGGGTCAATTGAAACTAATCTCGATTTGACTAATTTAACAACAGAAGAAGCTATGTCAAAGTTGAAGGTACTTTGTTTTTGTTGTTTAATTTATAACTGTTAAGTTTTCAACTTTAAATTACAAATGACTGTTCAAATCTTACTTAATGTCAGGTGTATTTTTGAAAACTTTTAAACTCATTCGTTTAATTTAGATTGATATTATGAATGGATCAACGTTAGGTCGTCATTGAAAACCTAGAAGCACTGGACGGCCGTTTCGTCCCAGCATGAGGATCTTCGTCCCTGTTCATCCCAGACCCCATACACGGACTCGAACATTTTTATATTGTAATATAAAGTGAACAGCAATAAGAATGATATTTAACCATAAATGAAAGTCAGCCTAAAACGTGTTGTAGACGTTTTCTAAAGATTCATGGTTGTCTTTAATATTCCATGTGGGGCATCGTTATGTTAAAGAAAAGTCCTTCGAAGAGTTAATTACAACTAGAAAGTAATAAAATGTTTTCTTTATATTTCTTTCGTCTTAATTTAGATTTTATTTCTCTTACTATCGTGTAGGGTCATTTCACAGCCTTAGAAGAGCATGAAAAAGCTTTACTTGAAGCTGAGAAACGATTAAATGATTTAAAAGAATCTGGTCTACAACATATTGATATTAGTCAATTGGAATTAGCCACTGCGGAAGCTCGTCGTAAAGTTGAAGTGAGTTTGATGCTTTGTTCTCGTCAGATATTTTGTTAGAATTATTGCTTTATTTTACTTATCATAACGATGAGATGAACTGAATTTTCACCTATTCTATGTAGTTAATTTGTTCAGTAATGCTTTGTTTAGAAGTTTTATTTTGGAACACCTGACGTTGAGTTTATCAATTTCAAATAGAGAACAACTTCATCGTCTTGTACTGTAAGCGATTTCAAGCTATTGCAATGGTCAACCTTTAACCTGTTCTGTTCTTGGAAATACAATTCAAAAATGGTGTTAGTTGTGAGATATTGACACAAAAATTAAGATATTCATTACAGAAATGGTTCACTATAGTGAAGCTGAAGTCAATCGATAATTAGAATCACAAAAACAAACTGTTTCAAATTCTCTAACTCTATGTGCGTTTATCAGTTCAACAGCCCTAATAAAGCTAATTACATAGGGTTTACAATTCCGCTGAAGGGTTATAATATAATCAAATATTAAATATGTAGAAGGCGAAAAAGAAGAAGAGCAGCAGTGAATTAATTTTTGTTTCTACTTTTGATCTCTATCTTCAATTTACGGAGATTCCATCAATGCTACTGACATGAAATTTGTGTACAATTCAAACTAAATAACTATTAATTTTAAATTGAAAAGTAGTTGTATCTTTTTTTGTGGCCAAAGTGTAGTTTACCAGTGGAATATATTTATGTCCTAAACTTTGAGTTACACTTATTCAGCTTGTGGATTATTACCATCAACTGCCTAACTATACACCAATTTCCCTACCCCCTTCGCAAATTCATTGAATCGGAAAAGCTTTTATAGAGTTTTCAATAACTGTGCTCTCATTTATCTTCTTACTCTTCCATAAAATTTATGTGATTTCAAAACAGTATAATCAATTCCTTCACAATTAGTTTCATATTTCCGATATTATTATTATCATTACTGTCATTATTATTATTATCATTATTGTTTTTATTAGTAGTAGTAGTACTGGGGGGTAGTGTCGTTATTTCCATTTTTCCTTCTGTGTTTCCCTCTTAAGTTTAATTTGTAGACGGTTGATTAACTTAGATGATATTTGCGATCATCAATTGACTACTGTTTGTTGACAGCTTAAGTAGAAAATTAAATAAGTAAATCATAATTTTAATTGAATTCTCTTTCCTGAATTTGTTTTTTATTTGTGATTAGAAGATAAAAACTACTTTGTAAATAGAAAGTTGAATATTGTTACTAGTATTATTTTTTGTTAAGTAAATGTCCACGAATTTGGAGATGAATAGAAATGGGTATGTAGGCGTTACATTGAACAGGATGGATTGTTCCTAACAGTGGAATATAGGACACTCGTTTTGCCTTATCTTGAGACTCTTCAATTGGGTGTGCCTGAATATTAGTGTTGTTGTTTACATTTTAACGTTATCGGTACTAATAATTATATTGGATCGAAGGTTACCAACCATCACCATTAAAAATTAACATAAACACCACGCCTGTTGCGCAAGCTTATGGCTGTCAGTAGTAGCTCAGTGGATGACACGGTAGTGCTTGAAGCGAATAGCACTGCATTTGAGTTTGAAATGTGAACATCAACACTGGCATGCAGGTACATCGAACTGACAAATCCTAGATAGGTTCAAACACGCATCCCAGAATCCACTTTTAGCCACAATCCATTTATGTCAAAAACAACTCATCATCATAAATGTCCTGTCGCTCATAATGTACGTATGCTAACTAAGGTTGGTCAAAATTCAATCCTGTTTATCCATAACGGGGTAATTCCGAACCTTAATGAAAAAAGTATGAATATTATCGAATTAAGAGATCGTTAACAAATAGGTACATGCTACTGACGTATTCACTATGTAGCATACGTACATCTCCAGCTGACCTCAATCCGTGAAAAAATAATCTGTAAACGAAGTATTACATTGCTTAAATTTGAGGAAATGTTATTTCATCAGTACTTATTTTTCTATATAAGACTATTTTTAACACCATAATTGATTAATAAAAGAAAACTGGAATAATCGTGTGGAGATCTCTCGTCTTAACATAGTTCCTAAATGAAAAACTGCTTTACTGAATAATTCAAGATATTTAATATTTCACATAATAGACTGACCTTAATTGAACCAATTTTGAAACCAGGAACCACTGGGTTGCTGTGTGTATGTATGATCTTACTATCTGTGATCCGACTCAGAAATCCCAGGTTTTTATAATCCTCTCATACTAATGGTAATCACATACTTCCCAACGACTAATTTCGGAAGTCTGAGAAGCTGTGAACAATGGATTTTAACCGTATTGTTTGTAAATCAGTTACCTACCAATCGTATGGGAAGATAGCATTAAATTGATTGAAGCCAGAAATTCAGTGGAGCCAGGTTCGAACCTAGGGTCTAACGGCCAAAATTTGATTGCATTAAACCCACTAAGATATTTTAAATACATCATTTAACATTTCCCCTATTTCTCATTATTAATGTTTACTTTCCTATTTTCTTTTTTCTTATTTAGGCTATGCGTACTGTGGCTAAATGTTATGAAAATGAGTTAGATAGACGAAAATCAGCTGAACAATCTTTTTCACATGCTATAATAAATATAACTGATTGGTTAGACGAAGCAGAACGTCTATTTCAAAATGATATATCATTTGATTTTGAAGAACAATTGCCTAATACAGAAGTTATTCAAGATAAATTAATTGCAAATGAAGAATTTTTAAGAAAAACACAAACAGTTGGTCAAACTTGTTTAATTGAATTGAATCGAAGTTATGATAGATTAGTAGAATTATTCTCAGGTAATGAAGAAGATGTGGTTGAAAATTCTGCTAATCCAATTATTCAACCAGATGAAGTTAGTATAAATATATTGTTGGAAGCAGCAAATCAAGTGACTAAATTTCGTGATCGATTTGATGTAAGAATATTTCAGTTTATTTTGTTCAAAGATGTTTGAAGTCGCTTTTTTTTAACAATTATTAATTGATTAACCTTTTTGAGGTTGAATACTGCATAAGGTTAACCGATTGTATATATTACTACTCTAAGAATTTATGGATTGGAAGTCCCTTCAAGACCGATTATTAATTGAGAAATATTTAAATGTTATCTCCAGACATTACAGTAAGAGAATGTTTCACTAAAGAGTAGGATTCTCTCATTTCAAACCATGTTTGCGTACAATTGTTAAATCAGTTGAGTAACTTTCATCTCTAATCACTTACAAATTATATGAAAAGTTTTACTACTTAATGACTCTATTGAGTAGCTTTTTATTGTACTGTAGTTATCACTCTGATAGACTTAAACGTTCGCTCAATGTTGACTCACATTGAGTCTTTAATGTGAGTTGTATTGAAAAAAAAGTTAATTATGACAGCAGTCAGATTCTAAATTACTGTTTGTACAGAATATATATAATGTGGTCAGAAAAGGAATCTAGGGTGTTTGTTTCTTCCCATTTGAGACTCAGCTGAATGTACTTTCATTCTTGGATTCCTGTTCGCGTTGGGACTCGAACACAGTATATTTCGCTCCAGACGCTTAATGCATCATCCATTGATGTACTGTGTTCGTATGGCTACTCATTTTTGCAAAAGGTGTGAATTTTAATTTAATTTGTAATTGTTTGGATAATCGCACTATTTGATACCTTGTCTGATTTCCCTGAGTGCACGTCAATTCTGTGATCCAGGTATATCCAGCTGACTAGTGCCAAATAGAATGGAACGTTCCTACTGGGTTTCACCGCTAGTCGCATTTTATTTATTATATACAAACCTGTGTGATAACTATGATATCGAGGTAATCCTTATAGGATGCATACACACCAGCTAAGACTGATCACATTTTCGTCAAAATATCAACAACAGGGTAATCCAGACCATTGTAAAGTAAATTCTAAGTTCTAGTTTGTTTTATTTCCGGTAAAAATTGAGATACACAAAAACAGTGTGGAGTAGAAAAGTAAGGGGAAGTTAATTCTTAAAGTGAGGAAATCAGAGCAAATGGGACACGGCAAATGAATAACGTGTGATACGCGAATCGAGTTTTAGGGTGGGGGAAATATAAACCATTGATATTTGGTTATATGAAATAAGTTTTTTATCATATCAATTATAATCCTTTACTATCGGCTACTGAAATTTCCTATATCACAGTCATTTAATGCAAACTATTGACAGCCAAACACTCCATTTCTATATGCTCATTCTATTTCACCATTGTATTTCAAGGTAGGTGATGAGTCGTTCAATGTAAACAAACCAGAAATTAGGTAAGATGACAAAAATCTGCTTGTTTGATTTCAACCTTAACATCTATCCACGAAGATACTACGACAAGACTTAAAGTTCCTGGATTATTATTACTATTATTATTATTATTATTATTATTATTATTATTATTATTATTATTATTATTATTTTTATTATTATTATCATCCCATTGTCTGTGGATTAAAGATTCTCAGTTGATGATTTAATGATTTTACAGCTACCGTGGTAGAATCTAATAATGAAATTTTTAATCTAGTTGTTAAAACATCGTGCTTAGGTTGTTGGTTGGTTGCTCAAGCCATGTGGAATCTATCTGTTCATGTTTTTATCAACTTTTGATAGTGGTTTGTAGGAGAATTCCGGACACTCGTTTCGTTCTATCCTAGGTTCGTCATCTGGATATCTATATCACATTCTTGATGTTCTTCCTGAGATTCTAACCCATTGCTTTTCGCTTTAAGTCATGACATGTTATTCATTGAGCTCTTGAGCCGAGATAGCCGTTAACAAATTAACCACAAACTATCGTTTTAACGTAATAACGAACACATATTATGTATTGGTTATTGCATACTTCTTTTCCGATTCACATTGTTTTATCATCCTTATTGTTGTGATTTGTTTGTGTTGAATCGATTTGGGAAGGTAAGGAGGCGGATATATTAATCTCAGTATGTTTCTTGTTTTTTCCCTATGATTTCTCATCACAGGAGTTGATGTCTAAAGCTACTCGACGTCAATATGAACTTAAATATGTTTTGTTAGAAGCTCGTCTACGTGAACAATTAGATAATACTAATAAAATTTTAAATGATGAAGAATTTCGAATGACATCTGGTGAACATTTGGCTAGTATATTGTCTGATCATGAGGTAATTCAATCTCTCATCTTTCTAGTTTTTTTCTCTTACAAATCCACCTATAAATGAAAAAACATGTGATTGGGGGGCTAATTGAAATTTCACTATATTTTCTTAAATATATTGCCAATTCATTCGGTATTTAAAAAAAAATTAATCACCTATTGACAGTGGTTAAAATAGTTATAAGTCAGTTTATGACTAGACTATAGTTTATGAAGTAACCAATCAGATGTAAGATAACTGAACTTGGATTTTGGCGCGAAACTCACTCATCCATTTGGCGAAATAGCGTTTTGACATCTTAGTTTATGTCAGTTCGTGATCAAAACCCTAAATCTAATTCCTAACCCTAATCATCAACTGTAAATCATAATTCTAATTCCTTACCCTGGCTTATAATTGTCATTTAGTCCTAGTTAGTAAGTGTACTCTCTCTAGGCTACTTCAAAGGTCGTCCATAAATTATAGTTTTACCCAATTTACATTGGATATTGATAATTTTCTTATAGATAAACTGTAATTACGATCAAAACCCACTGAAAGATTAGATAACTTTCATTTTGGGGCAAGTAATCTTTTCAATTCCAGGTGATCATAATATCATTACATAATTAATATAAAACTTACCGCGTTTTAAATAAATACATTAGGGGAAAATTAGAACCATTGTAGTTTAAATAACATTATTATTATTGTTATTATTATTATTATTATTATTATTATTATTATTATTATTATTATTATTATTATTATTATTAACAGTGACAGTAAAAAGTGACATTGAAGGACAGAAATTATGATTATTACAACTCAACTGTACCGCAGTAATCAGTCTCATTTAGTGTTGTCATTCTTCTCAAGTAAATTTAAGAATACCACACAAACCTTCATCATAAAATCTACACTTCATGATACAACTCACTGATTTCATGAACTCATGCCATTTTCTGATATAAAGCTAGACTTCAACTACTTTCAGTCTGCTTCCACACCAGCTAGCATTGCTTTAAACGATGTATACATAAGTAGCTTTTGTGTATCATACAGTAGTTAATAGCCTCATCGACCGATTTACCATCATCACCTAACCTGCTGCAGCTAATATCAGCATTATTCATTGTTTAGTTTCATAAACAAAGATGGATAGTGGCTAGCAGTGGAATACAGGACGCGTTTTGGGCCCTGTTTTGGACTCATCAGCTAGGTGTACCTGCATCCCAGAGCTGATGTTCATTCCGGAACTCGAATCCAGTACCGTTCGCTTCAAGCGCCATAGTTTTATCCACTTATCTGCTGAGTTCTGATAGCCACCTGCTTGTGTAATGGCGTGAGGTGTAAATTCACTTGGTACTGTTCGTCTGACTATCAGGATTCAGTAGCTAAGTAGATAACGCGATGGCATTTTAAGTGAATGGCAGTGTTCGAGTCCCGGAGTGAACATCAACTCTGGGATGCAAGCACATCCAACTGACAAGTCCCAATAAGACGTCCTAGATTCCATTACTAACCACCATCCATCTTTGCTTTTAAAGCTCGTGAATTAAAGCAATATTGAGGCAGTCCGCACAGTATGCACATATGTCAATAAGAGACTGATCAATTGCAGTCTTAAACATCAATGGGAAGATTCAAGTAAACAATGCCAAGTGAATTGTTTAGTTTCATTATGAGTGAGTAATGGTTTGAAAAAGACCTTATATGTATATGTATGTACACAATTGAATACATAATATCCTATTCTTTATTGTCGGTTGTATAGATTCCTTATGGTCTGTCCATTTGAGACAGTTTTAAATTGTCTTGTGTTAGTATTTGTTCTTGAATATTCACTGTTGGACGTTGTTTAATTTTGTTAATCTGAAATAAAAATGAACAACGAAACTATTGTTGATTATCAAGTCATTTATTTTTTCTTTAAATTATTACGAAAGTTGTTGAATTCACGAGTCGATTTAAGCTAGACAGCTATGGAAATCGTGGAAGCACTGGATGGCCGTTTCGTCCTAGTATGGGACTCCTCAGCAGCCGGAATCCGACGGTGTTAACGTCTAAGTTCAACCAATTCATGATATTGTGCGATCGTCCACCATTGTTTTTAATGAGTAACTGCCGGCTCTAGTCTAGAGGTTAAGCGTTTGCGCGCGAGACTGAAGATCCTGGGTCCGAGTCACGCGTGCGGGACTGTGAACGTGCACTTCTGGGAAGTTTCATACTAGGACGGAACGGCTGTCCAGTGCTTCCAGGTTTTCAACAGTTGTCTAGCACATATAGACTCATGAATTCAACTCTTTAATTACTATAATCTCCTCAAACCCCCATTCCGATATTAATGCAAAGATATTCTATTTGTGTGATTTTATCTACAGTCTTCATTTAAAAATTCAGAATTTTATACTATTTGTGAAAATATACTACGTGAAATGCGTGAATTAGATGATCAAATGTCTTGTTTATTTCAAAATGATGCAAATTATTATAGTAAACGTACAACACAGTTACAACAAGAATATAATTTATTAACTGAACGTGTTGGAAAAATAGCTGTGAGATTACGTAATCTACCGGAACAATGGGCTGATTTTGATGATAAGTAAGTTTTGATGGAGTTTTTTGTTATATCTGGATTGTTATTCTAATTTTATTGATTCGTAACATGGTGTGGGCTACTGACTTTAACAGATATAAGTAGTATGTACCACCAACCAAAAGTGAAATGCTTGGCGGAAGAAGGTCGAGAAGATCGAAGAGAAGAGAACGAGAACACAGAGTGATTGGTATGGAAACAAAAGAATAGTAAAGTCTGAAACCATTGATTGGTATTTTGCAAATGAATTGTTTACTGTATGGTTCTCAGATTTTTCTAAGAAATCCTATAGTTTTTTTTGTTTAGGTACGTTTGGTTGTACCCGCTTGTGTTCTCGTTCACCAAAATACTATTGATAGATGTTAAAATAGCAGCGATATCCGTTTCTTATTCAACATAGCTAAAAAATGAAAAAAAATTACCCACATTTGGCCCAAAGGATTTGATAGGAAGTGATTTGAGCCTAGACTTTAAAATGACTTGACATTTGTCGATCACTGAGATAGATTTGGATTCAGATTTGCTAACTGGTTTAATTATTTCCTATTAGTGTTGCTGAACAGGTCAATGTCAATCATTCAACGTTTTCCCGACTTACATTTCAAGTTGGTTCAAACAGTATTTGTAAAGAGTTATGTTTTTGAATAAAATTATTGTCATATTTAAAACAGTTGGTCCCTTTGATAAATTTCGGTAATGCAACGAGCAGACGAAGCTTTTCAGAATAATGTGATGTATTTGCGCAATACATATACATGTTAAGACATTTTTATGTGAAAATTAAAAGATCAAATAGACAGGTTTAAAGTAAGCCGTAACATTGGATTATTGAAATTTATTGTCAAATGTTATTTTTTCTTTGGGCAAACCAAACACTGATTAAAAATTAGAGAGTAATAGACAAATATTTCATTATAGTATGAGATTCGTCAGTAGTGTATACTAAAATCCTACCAGTGATCGAATAAAGACTTCACTGTGGGTACTTGATTTTCAGATAATTCAGCTGACATCAAATGATCATCATTGAAAGTGATAATTGTTTCATTTACAATGTTGTTGGACTCCACTAGTCAAAATTTGTCACTGGAACTGCAGGATACCGTTTCCTGAAAATCATTCACTCTACAACAACAACTGATTATTTATTGGGATGGAAGATAATTTACATTATGGATTGACTTCAAGCAAACAACTATTTAAAATAGAGCGAACAGTGAGCCAGTCATTTTTTGACCTGCTTAAACGTGCTAAAATTGAATAGCACCATTTACAGAATTTTTGATGTGCATTAGAACAGTGTTATTATATATGGTGATGTTGTAATCGACATGCACAGTATGTCCATGCTCCATTATCTTAACTCTTTCAAGTTTCTTATTTCCTATCTACCAACCTACTTCATTTTTCAGACATTCGTTTTCACTCTCTTAATTTAGTAAAGAAAAAGATATTGCCATTTTGCCAAAAACTAGTCAATAGTAGAAATTCCTTGGAAGACAGCATTTATCTACTGACGTATCCGATATATCTGTCTAGTCAGATTGGTTGTAAATCAATGAATGTCTTTTATGATCATGAATAAATGTGACTATCGAGTGTACACTTTAAATTTCGGTCCATAATTTGTTTAGAAAAGAATATTTTTTCATTTGTATTCTTTGTTTTTCAACCATCTTTTCATTTACATAATTAGATTAAATCATTTATTAGATTGGACAAATGAAGTTGAAAAATTATTTAATCATTTACAAAGTGATCCATCTAATACAAAGAATAGTGATGAAAAAACTGCCATTGAATTAGCTTCACGTTATCGTGCTATGTTGTCGAGATTTGAAGAAATGACTGGTATGGTTAATGAACAGAATGCATTAGCTGATAAATTAAATTTAATGTTAGTTGATTTATCATTAGACGGTGGTGTATCAGCTGGTGAGATAGCAACAAAACGAGCTGCATTAACCGCTGCATTAGGAGCGTTGAAAGATTTAGGCAGTGAAATGGATTCTGTACTAACTCGAGGTAGGTATACAAGGATTTGTGTATGTATGTGTATGCGTTTGTGTGTAGTTATTGAAAATATTTAATTAACATTTATTCAATGCTGTACAATTTGACTGCCTTTTAACCGAGACAGTAATAAGTTTTTTTATAAAGTGGTCAGATAATGTTCTCCTAATCTAACTCTAAATCATATCCTTAATTTTCTTAAGTTTCTAAACAACAGAATGACTGAACTCCATTGGATCAAAGCTGATGTTAGTTGATGATGAAAATCCTGTAAGGGTTATAAGCTTAACTCACAACACTGACCCACTCGACATCGTTTATTTAAACTTAAATTTTTTGTTTCATTACAATGAATAATTCATAATGTAAGTGGTAACTAGTCATCTCAAACTATTCTTCCACTGTGATTATTTTGTTTTTCATTGTTAATTGTTCTATTATTAAATACCATTTTCTGATTGGTTATTAAGTATTCAGTGTTATATAATTTTACTTAAAGATTCTTTATTCTTTGTGTCGATTTTGGCTGGAGATAGATCGTAAATCATTTTCTAACTAGCTGTACAGAGTAAACAGACTAATTGTATTTATGAAGCTTCATTCAATGAAATGCTAGATAATGATATATACAACTCGTACTTATCTAGATAACCGGATTTACATGAAAGGGAATATTTCGTCTACAACAGTAGGCCGATCTAAGAATACCTGGTGTTGCGATACTGGCTAGTCCATAAGTTGAAGTTAGTGGGTTTAATGAGTTGTGAAAAAGGATTGTTGAGTTTCTCTTTATATGTTAAGACATAGACTTTATGTATTTGACTTTGAATTTCCAGTAATCTGTCAATATGTCAGCATAATAATTCTATGATTGTCAAAGAAAAACCAAGAAATATTAATTTTTCAATAATCATTTGGATTTCGCGTAATAATTGAGGCTATTGGTTAGATCACATTTCAAGTCGAACGACTGAAAATTCATTGAATTATTACAGATTCATTCAGACGTATTGGGATTATGGATCTTGAATTTCAATATTACTTCATCTTATGTTTTTATGCATTTATTTTCAACCATATTATCAGTATCATAGACGTTATCATTACTTCAACTTTAATATCCAACGTGTTGATTCCATCTCACTTTATTTAATTTGATATAGTAATGTCGCTCGATGCTTATATGTACCCAGGTTCTATGTCGCTTATAACTGATTGATTGACTGAATGTATGGATTAGTAGTAAACAATTTACAATCATTCATACAATTAATTGTTTGAATCGTATTCATAAATGTGTTCGTTTATTCATTTGCTGTTAAGATCACAATCAGGTTGATATCGTAAAATGACGTCTCATCAATTAATTAAGATTTAGTTGGGCTAGTTATACATCACATATTCCAATCGTTTCCTATTAAACCAGGTGGTTTGTAAAAATATGATTGCTTTGAAAAGATAGATGTTATCTCTGATTAATATCGATTCACCAGAAAACCTGAATTTCCCAGGTGCCCATGGGCCCCTAATTCTGAAGAGTCCTAAACTATGATGAAACAATTGTCCAGTTGTTGATGGGTACTCTAACTAACGTCACTAAATGGTGTAAATCTTCTTATAGTCCTACTTTCTTTTTGTAAGTTGCTTTACTTTTTAATCTAAATATAACTAAATTATGTACATATAGTACGGTCAGAACGATGCATTTTGAAATGTAATGATAGTGTAAATATGCAATCTTTCACTATTAATCACATTCAAAATCAATAAATGGAGGAAGTGTCATGGATTAATCATTACTTCTATATTCAATCGCTCGATTAATTGAACAATGCACTATTAAAATAATTATTGTATTTGATCCATTTATAACCATTTTGAAAATTACATATTTGTTTGATTTTTATGTAAGTCAATCAGGTAATGTTGTATAAGTATTTGTATCACTGGGCAATAATTATGTTCATCCCTCTAAATTAAATATTGAATGGTGTCTTTTTTAATAGCTATTGGTTGTTTGGATGTATATGTTATAAGTATAAGTATATGAAAATAGTTTGCAATAAACTTGCGCTACAATGTGCGTATAGTTGCTAGGACTGTAACTGTTTACTGAATATTAATAAGTAGTATAAAGTAATACATCAAAGAGTTGAAGAGAAGTGAATAGAGACAGAAAACGTAAAACAGACTTATCACTCATTTAAAATAAAACAATGTGTTCTACTCTTTGTTTTATACTGATAAAATGCCTCATCAATAGATCGTATATCTGTCTATTTTTTTTTCTAATTAGCTCCATTGATAGCTGAAACACTGGAATTTCGTGCCAATGCAGTAACAGAACGTAAAAAAGCAATTGTTGTTCGTGAAGCATTTGAACAAGCTGTACAAGAAGATGCAGAAATGTTGCCAAATGATTTAGAATCAATTAAACGTATATTAGCTGAACGTGAAGCTATGGTAGCTAGATTAGCTGAAGAAAGAGACGCTAGTTTATTAGCTATGATTCAACGCGGATTAAGTGTTAAAACTGATGAAATGTTAGATTGGATTGAACCATCTAAAAATGAATTAAAAGCTACTTGGGCTGAAGTAGATAAAGTTGCTGAAACTGGTTTAAAATCTTTACGTCAAACTGCTGAAGCGTTTGAAGCATTTGAAGAACACAAACAACGTATTGCAAATTTATTAACTGGTACGAAACATTTAATAAATGGTCATGCAAGTGCATCCACTACAGCAGCATTTACTATGGCATTAATTGGTAAAGATGGTACGATTGATATCGATAATGTTACTAATGCATTACATATTGATGATGAAACAAAATTATGGGCTAATTCTTCATTAGCATCTGGTGTTGCTGGTGTTATTGTAGCAAGTGTTGAAGAAGCAACTAAAGCTGGTCAAGAAGCTGTACGTGTTCAAACAGATGCAATTCTAGCACAATTAGATGCATTAAACAATGCAGAATCAGATTTAAAAGCATTAATAGCTGCTGCACAAACCATGAAAATGCGATCAACTCCAGAACGTGCTTCAGAATTAGATGCAACAATTCAATATTTAGAAAATCAACTTAATACAGCTAAACAAGAATTAAATGCTAAATTAGCTAATTTACGTGCAGCTAATGGTAAATGGGAAGTATTTTATACAAGTACACGTGAAGTTGACAAATTACTTAATAATTCTGAACTAAATTTATCCAATATAACTAGTGTACAACCATTAGCTAAAGGTAATTTAAATGTTACTGAATTAGGTTCTGCTGAATCATCAGCTAAAGCTGCTGCCGCTGAATTAGCATTATGGTATGCATCAGTAAATAATTATTTAAAAGATTTACAATTATCTGAACAACGTTTATTATCTTTAAATAGTATTTTTAAAGAATTAACACATTATTCACCAATAGATACTACTGAAATAAATGATAATAATAATAATTCATCTGAATCATTAATAATGAGTTCAGAAATATCTAAAGCACAAAATAAAATTCTTAGTTTATATCGAAGACAAAAAGCATTACAAATTGCATTTAATCAACATTCACAATCATTGAATACATTAAAAGATTATTTATCACAATATCTTAATCTTGTACCAAATATTGATAAATATTTAACAGAAATAGATAATATTGCTAAAACATTATCATCATCATCATTATTACCACATAATTCATTTATTAATTCATTGGATGATTTAATTAATTTACGTAATACACATCAGGCACGTCAAATTGTACATAAATCAAAATATACAGAAGATCGTAATCAATTATTATGGTTGGCTAGTAATTTGACTAGTTGGTCACATTTAAAAGTATGTTTTATCTACCTTTTAAAAAAAGAAAATGCTTTTTAGTATTTATTTATTGTTCCATATTTTACTATTAGTATAAGATTAAGGAGATTGTTGAGTTTAGATTGATATCATGAATGTATCAGTACTAAATCACTATTGAAAACCTACAGGTACTGGATGACCGTTTCGTCCTAGTATTTGACTCCTCAGCAGTGCGCATCCACGGCCCTGCATATGGAGCTCAAACCTAGGACCTTCGGTCTCGAAATGACCGTCCAGTACTTCCAGGTTTCCAATAGTGGTGTAACATTGATCCATCCATGATATCAATCTAAACTTAATATTTTATTGTTTGTTTTAAATTATCGATGTGACTCAGTTTTAAAAAAAAGTAATTTAAATGCTATTTTATGCGTTGTTTTTACTATTTCTGTCATGAATGAATGAATACACCTAGTTATTATCATTACATCATTATCATATACCTATTTAGAAGTTTATTAGTTCGTTAGGACTGTAAGCACTAAATTTTAAGTCATCATATTGTAGATGGGGATTTTATTTCGTCGATTTCAATTCAGAGTATTAGGACTTATGGCCCTGTTTAATATCAGGCAACAAAACCATTAATCAAAATATCTAATTTCTATGACTTCGTTCTTCAGTTAACCAATGACACACTAAACAGTACTAATACCGTTTAGTCAACTCTAAAACATCCTTATTGATCTTCAATACATTGAGTTCAGAACACAATGGTCAGTATCCACGATACGAATATTATATTTTAGATTTAAGTATTTGTTTTATATAAGCAGAGCAGAACGCATCACATCATAAATTGAAAAATAACAATTATACATGATCGAGCCAAAGGTGGCTATGAGTATGGGAGACTGTAACTAATAGGCTGGGAATAAATTAAGAACAGCAAGTCGTATAGTAGTTAGTGGGTCAAATGAAGGAATGTAAATATATATAGTTACTTGACAATTATGTAATACATATATATATCCACTCAGTGTCTTTTCCTAATCTCTTCTTCATTTGGAAGCTGGTTTGTTCTCTCTCACAGTAGACTGTTGCTGATGCTTTTCGGTCAACGGACATCTTACGTAGACTTTATAAAACTGTTTATAAATACTTGTACATTTTTGATCATGGTTGTAGTAGTTCTCCAAGTTTCATCTCCGTACAGAAGGACATTCGTGTTGAAGAATCTGACCTGGATATTGATTGACAGTTATTTTGAGTTCTATTTGTTTTTCAACTGTAAGAATTACTGCCACCAATTGCCAATCCTTGTCATTACATCTGCACACATATTTAATATAGTTTTTAATGACTTTTAAATCCGAAATCCCAATGGATATCAAACACGTTAACTAGATGTAATGTTCCTTTATACTTTCTGTTTTGTAAAAGTTCAGAGATATCAGGAGTGTAAACCTTCACCCGACCGTAGCTGCTACCTTGACGCGGTGGTCGGGCTTGCCTATCGTGATGACCCAACCGAGCTATATTGGCTGGGACATATGTTCCTGTAGGTTCTACCATTCCAGGCAGGTCGATTGGAGAACGGTAAGACTAAAAACAGCAACTCAAGGTCTGAGGGCGAAGTCGTACTGCTGACTGTAGAGAAGTGTGACAGCAGCAACGTGTTTCCCTCGGACAACCAGTATCTGCAACGATACTGCCTTCTCACAAGAAAAGAAGGGGGTTAGAAAAGGTCGACCCTAAAAATGTCACACCTCACCTTACCTCACGGATTTCCGTCTTCGCTGGTAAGGCCCTTTGATGAACGGAGCTAACACATCAAAAACCTTCCACGAAAAGGCCGTGCGCGACCGGCCTCAAGCAGTTGTCTCCTGGGCTCTGCGGTCACGCTCCTAGGCCGTTAAGGCCGAGATTATCACGAATTCCTTTTCAGGTTCCTCAAGAAATACCCTTCCACGGTGTGGGCAGCCGGGAAGTGACACCAGCGCTCATACCCGTAACAGCACACGGGACCACGTTGGTCAAATTCAAATCTTTCCTACACCTCTTAATACCACTCTTATTTCCCCGACTAACTCTTCTCACGTCTTTTTTCACCTCGCACCGCTTGGGCAAACGATTCGAGTACGCAGAACGCTATTCCTGGTCTCCTGAAACCACGCTCTAAACTACACGTAGGAGCTTTTAATGTCCGAACACTGTGCCAAATATTACAACAGGCTTCTTTAGCTAATACTTTAGAATCCCGCGCCATCGATGTGTGCTGCGTCTCAGAAACGCGCATACAGGATCCGAGTAGCGTCATTCATCTGACCTCACCATGTCAAAATAAAGAACCGACTCGATTCATACTTCGTGTATCTGGAAGCCCTGATTCTGCTTCCCGTGGCCTCGCCGGCATAGGAATAGCATTGATTCCTAGGGCAGAACTAGCTCTCTTAGAGTGGATCCCAGTAGACAGTCGTTTGTGCGCTGTTTGACTTAACGGAACAGTAAGGACTTGGAAAGATAGAGAAACTCGTCTCTGCCTATTCTCCCACTGACTGCAGCTCAGATGATGTAAAACTTGAGTTTTACAGAAAGCTGTCCGACCTTTTCCGTAAAGCTAGACGCTCGAATGTAGTTATAGTGGCCGGTGACTTAAATGCTCAAGTAGGTAAACTAAGCGATAAGGAAAGACACCTGGGTGGATCTTGTGGTGTTGTGGCTCAAAGAATAGATTATGGCGACCGTCTGTTTCAGCTATGCTCAGATAACCGCCTATTTCTTGTAGATACTAACTTCAAGCATAAGCGAAAACATCTTTCAACATGATGCCCACCCCGAGGCAGCATGGAATGATATCCGAAAAGCTGTGGAAACAGCAGTGAAATCTACCAGTACAGGAAACCGTCAGGTTAGGAAGCGACGCTGGATCTCAGCAGCATTTATCGCACTGATAGATGCTCGAAAACTCATTCCACCTGGATCTGAACATAATGAAGAGCGGAGTCAGCTTGAGCGCAAGCTGACAAGAAGTTTACGCAACGATCGCGAACAGTGGTGGGTAGCGAAAGCAAGAGAGATGGAAAAGGCAGTGGCAATAGATAATAGCAGACAATTGCTCAGACTTGTTAAGGAAACCGGTATTAGGAAACCGACTGTTAGCGAAACACTCTCAGAGAAAGATGGACATATTATTCATTCTCAATCCAGGAGATTGGATCGATGGGCAGAACACAATGGATCAGTTCAACTGGCCTTCAGCCACACTTCGGTTTCCCACGATCTCCAGTCAACCTGAATGGCAAGTTAATGTAAGTCATCCGTCCCTTTACGAAGTTGAAAAAGCCATAGGAAATCTGAAACGAGGGAGAGCAGCAGGCCCTGACAGGTTTACTCCTGAGATTTTTAAGGATGGTGGTTCAGTATTAATAGTGAGATTAATTGAGGTCTTAGGAAGAATTTGGGAACTTGGCGTAATCCCATCTGACTGGTCTCAATCACTGATTGTGCCAGTTTTTAAGAAAGGACAAAAGTTCTCTTGTGACAATCACAGAGGAATCAGTTTGACAAATATAGTGTCTAAAATATTAGCTTCAATAATACTTCGACGCCCAACTAAAGCTCGTGAAGAGCAGACTAGAGGAAACCAGGCTGATTTTCGACCTGGACGTGGTTGTATAGACCAGATATTCACACTACGTCAGGTTCTAGAACACAGACACACGTTCAGACGCCTCACAATGGTAGTATTTCTCGACCTTAAGGCAGCATTCGACTCTGTTGATTGTGAGGTTCTATGGCAGTGTTTGTCACTGAAAGGAGTACCAAAGAAGTACATTAACCTTATTCAGGCTCTCTACTCGAACACAACTGGTAGAGTGAGAGCTTATGGCGAACTGTCATCAGAATTGATTACCTCAAGTGGTGTTCGTCAGGGCTGCCCACTCTCTCCATTCCTGTTTTACTTTATCGTACGTACGAAGTTCTACGTTATTACTAACTGACTGACTGTAAACCTTCAAAATCGAGCAGTAGTGTGATAAAATTGACTATCGTTGGTGTACTTCTTTTAGTTTATTTAAAACTAGTCACGTAAACCGACAACTAGATTAAACTGTGTTCATGAACTTGTTCAAACGTTTGCTCCAATTTATAGATTTTGTTACTAGTATAGGAGTTGTGGAGATTATTAAGTTTTTGATTGAGATCATGAACTGATTGATTTTAGACCACCTTTGGAAACCTGGAAGCACTGGACGGCCGTTTCGTCCAAATGTGGGATTCCTCAGTAGTGCTCATCCACGATCCCTCTCGCGGAATTCGAACCTAGGGCCTTCGATCTCACGCGCGAACGCTTAACCTACTGTACCACTGAGCAGGCATGCAAAGGTGATAGTGTCAACCAATCTACGAAATTGCGCGATCATCTTCCGCGGTAGATACCTGTCTCTACCCGACATGGATTAGCTTTAAGGGTCACTGCTTCTCACTAGAACTCTGAGAATTCCCTCACGAAGCTAGTTACTAGTGAGCATATGTTGATTATGTTCAGTAATACAGTTCTGAATTGTTTCATATTTACTACTGCCAGAACAAAACCATTGTTATATGGGGAGACGGCAATTGATTAGATGATCTTACGGTGAATTTTCGAGAAGTAATAAAATGATCAGTTACTGATAATGCAGATACCTCAGTTGAATATGGTTTATGGTCTGCTAGATGAGTTTACACTTTTGACCTATTACCCTGAGCCGAATCTCGAAATTACATGCTCTGTAGTTCAATGCTTCGAAGACACCTATGATCAAATATTTTCAGTTCACATATGTCTTCTACTTTAATAGGTTATGTCTCGCAATCGTACTATAACTGTTATATCTTGCATGAAATAAATTTCTGCCTTTGGATTAGTTCCCACGTAGTCAAGTTACTTGTTTTAAGATCAGATGTGTTGTTTATTTATTGAATAATTCACTTTGTATCCTCTTTACGACCAATGACGTTCTACGTTACCAGTCAGCAACCACGGAGCTTGAGCTCTATCCAACCCAGTGTTCAATGAGAAGACAAAGTTAGCAAGCTTGTGTCTTTTCTATTACGGAGTTGTTGGAGTTATTATGACGCGATTATTCAGTAGTATAGGATAATTACTTGATCACACGTCATCATAAACAGGAGATCGCAATATGGTCACAAACTAAGCCATAAATAATCGAGAAATTAAGTGATGGTTCCATCATTAATTAATAGTAATATATGTAGAGTAAAACATAAAACAATAGTTTACACATCCACTGAAAGCTGACTAACAGGAGAATATAGGGATACAATAATAATTCGATTGTTTGATAATTATTCAATAAACATATTAACAATAATTCTTGGTACATTAGTTACAAATATTACATCTTTCACAATATTTGAGCCGTTATAACACTTAGCACAAAACGAACTGCTGCTCAATGTATGCCTTCATGGATTAATGATCAATTTTCAAGGTTGTAACGCTACAGCAGCAGGAATACATAGGGAAAATGGAATATGACTAGCATGAAAACCCAAAACACTTGTTTCGTCCCGTTTGGGACTCCTCACATAGATGTTGTATCCCAGAGTCGATGTCCGCTTCAGAATTCAAATACAGTACCTTTCACTTTGAATTCTAGTTAAAATATCAAGAACAGAATGATCTAAATGTTTTTGAATCACAGTAATGGGAAAAGTTTAAATCACATTTTTTCGCTCTGTATCATTGTTTGTCTTTGAAATAGAATATTCTATCCATTGAATGTATATCATTGAATTTTTGTATACTACTAACCTCATCGTTTCTAATTGTCATTTTTCTTATTTTTGATTATTCTGATCTATCTAGGAAGCTAATGAAGCGTTACAATCACGTTGGGAAAGTGTTAACTATTGGTTAATTGAGGAATCTCAATATTTAGATGATTTATATAATATGTGGACAGAATGGGATAAAGAAGCTGATCAGTTTACATTACAAATAACTAATATAGAAAAAGATGTAGAACAAGAATTAAACAATATAATCAATGATATAACTAATCAAAACTCTAAAGATTCATCCACTGATCCAATTAATAGTAATAATACCAGTGACTTAGATTCTAAAGTGAATAAAGCTAGTGCATATCAAGATCGTCTGTTTGATGCTGAGTCTTATTTGAAAGCGTTCACTTTTAAAACAGAAAAATTGTTAAAACGAATTTTAGCACAAACTCAAATACACTGTCGAACCTTATTACCAGTGGATACGGCAAAAATAACAAAATCTACTGATCAATTGTCATCATCATTAACAGTATCCACACTCAATGACACTAATAATAGTACACAATTCACTAATATTGCTATCAGTTCACATAGTATAGCAATTAAATATCGAGAATTAGAAGAACATTTAAAATGTGTACGAATACAATGTGAAAAATTAAATAATGAATTAGAAAATCAATTAGATGCACGTGATCGTTTATTTCGTGATACAGATAGACTATTACAATGGATTATGTCAGCAGAGAAACGTATGACAAAGCTTACACGAATTTGGGTAGCAGCAAGGCCACCAATTTCAACGAATAAATCCTATGGCGTATTACATAAACCATCTTCAATTATGAAACAACGAAATGGTATGTAGTTGTAATGGGAATGATAGTTGTATCTTGCTTCATTGGTCCATTTTCTATTATTGACTGATAATAATATTATGAAGCGTTTTCCATTCTAAAGTATCAATCATTTTGAGTTGGATATAAAGTTATAGTTAAGGTCGAAACAAATAAATTTTAGTGTCGGTTAAATTGTTTTATAGCATTGTTCATATTTATGACTTAAGCTAGGTAGCGGACCCTAGATTTTCAGATCACTCAACAACACACGTTCAACCTTTTATATCACTCAGTTGCCAAACAATGATTCACGTTTCCAGCTTCAGTCAGTCGGCAATATTTGCTAAATCATTGTCCATTTCTAACAGTAATAACTATGTCATAGGTATAATCGTTGACAATGGCGTTTACAATGAGTTCTCGATTCAGTGTCTGGCGGGATCGTAGATGTGAATTACTGAGGGGTCTCATATTAAGACAAAAGAACTATCCAATTATCCCTAGTTTTCAATGTTTTGTCTGGTCAAATTCAGCCAATGATGCAAAGCTTAAGTATATGAGTAAACCCCATGCTACTCCATTTTAAAATACGATCCAACTGTTGTATGAAATGCAACCTGTTTTGATTAATTTATTATTACTTTTTTTAGATCACATTGATTCTGATAAACAACAATTAATTGGTGTTGACTTATCAGAAGCATATGAACAATTAAAAACTTTGCAAATTGAAGCTACTGGTCCACGAATGATTGCTTTAAAAGAATTAGCTAATCAAATTGAAGGTGAAGACGTTGATTTAAATGATTTATACAATAAAATGGGTAGTCGTCCAGGGAGTAATCGACCTGGAAGTAATCATAGTAGACCTACTAGTGATCGGTCACGTAGTCGACGTTCTGTTTCATTTGATTTATTAGGTAAAGAAAATAGTTTTGATTCAACTACAAATGATGAAATTAATCGTCAGTTACATGAACGTTTAATTCGACTTTTAAGCAAATTAAATCGTCTTATCAGTCATCTTAACCAACGTACAGTACTTTGTCGTTTAACTATTGAATATGAATATTGTCGTCAAAATTGGATACAAGAGATTAATGCATTGAATTCACGTTTAAAAACATTTGAAAATAATTCAGTTGTTGTAGAATTAGATGTAGATAAGAAGAAAAAACATTCATCGAATAAATCTATTGAAGATGATAGAAAACCATTTGTTCAAGAAAATGAAGACTCTGTAGGACGACAACATAATGAAGAAGAAATCAATAAGGATGAAGTCAGCATAGGAGAAAATGTCACAGAATCTACAAATTTAACTCATCATGACGATAATTCTATTCAGACTACCACTATTACTACTACTGATACTAGTAGTAAACAGCCAATTACTTCAATTGATCTATTTCAATCTGCCGCAGATGATGCTGAACGTATATTATTTTGCAAACAAACAATACAATCTGGTATTGTCTATCAATCAGAATATAAAGATTTAAAAGATGAAATTGATAAATTAAAACAATTAATCAATAATTGGCAAGTTACATTAGATTTTACACGATCAGATATTATTGTAAATGAATTCGATGAAACACCGAATGATTCGAATTTAATTGGACCAAAAGAACTTGATGTGGCTGTTGTTTCAGTTGGTCTTATGTTTGTCACCAATATTGATTTGAATTGGTCATTTAGTACTGGATTCAGTACTACTACTTCAATGACAACCACAACGAGTGCTTTAACCACCAGCACCACTACCACCACCACGACAACTGCTTCAGGTGGTACCATAATGACTACAGATCAGTCGACAATATTACAATTAGAACCATTTAGTTTTTTTATAGATATTGCTAGATTATCTTCTGAATGTGATAAATTACATGGAAAATTAAAAGCTAATTTATTACATGTGATTGGTGTATGTGAAAATTGGCAACAATTAGTTGAAGCACGTGATAGATTATTAGAACAAGTTAAAGATTTACAATATCGTTCATCAGGAGCTTGTTATACAGTTAGTCAATTAGGTGATCCATCAAAAACTGATAAACCTATTGGTATACGTTTGACACGTTTAGGTCAACAGTTATTAAATTGGCAAGTTGAATTAAATTCGGCTGGCACTACTACAGATGATGTAAATGCATTACAAACTGATGTTAGTAATAATAATAATGATAATAATAATACTGATAAAACTAATTTACCAAGTGAAGCTGCCACTATAGTTCAACGATTAAACGATCTTCGACGGGCAGGTGAACGAATTGTTGGATTAAATCCAGCCCGTGGTCCGAATGTTGATAGTTTATACAATACAACTGTACAAACAATACGTTTATGTGCAATTTATTTAGGTGAAATTGGTCGACATAGTATACTATTATTTCAAGCATTATCAAAACGTTCAGAATGTTTACATCAATTGACAGAATTTCTTGATGAAATTGAAAAACAAAGTGGTCTTATCCCAGCTAGTGAACATCAGTCAGTTTTCGGTAATACAAATTCAACTGAACAAAATCAAATGATCACAGATGATCAAATTGATAATTCTGATAAAAGTGTTAAACGACCAATACCTGAACAAATTGCATCACAATTCACAATGTTTGAATGTATGGATCTATGTAGATTATTAAGTGTGGATAATGTCAAAGAAGTAGAACAACAACTGACACCATGTCAAATTGCATTAGATTCATTAATGAATAAACAAAATACATATTTTATACAATTAAATCAATCATCTTCATTAGCATTACAGACATTTAATGAATTTCAAACAGAAATATGTAAATATAATAATAATAATAATAATAATAATAATAATAATAATAATAATAATAATAATAATAATAATAAAATTGAGGATATGGATGAAGAACATAAACTATCCGAGAAACAAATAAAATTGGATCCATTTCGTGATGCAATAATTAATCGTTGGCAACGATTACATTTTCGTTTAGAAACTATCATACAACAATTATATATTCGACGTAGTGCATTCATATATGTAGAAGATGGTTTTAAACAATTAGAATATTGGATTGAAACAAATGAATTAAAAATAGAAACATGTAGTTCACAATTGGCAGCGAATGCAGCGACTTCTGCTATCCTCTCGCCATTTAATCTACATTCAACATTGCCAACTGATGAACAATTAAAGTATACTGAAAACCCTCAATTAATTCTTGATACATTTAATACAGAAGTTGTTTACTACTCAAATTTATTAAATAGTATAAATGATCGTATCGAAGCTGATGTAGGAGATCGTGTATTATTGAAAAAAACATTTGATAATTTAGAATGGCGTTTACATAAGTTACAAAAATCTTCAGATCATTTATTACAACAATGGAATGAAGAATATGAAAGATGCGAACAGTTAAAAGTTGATCTACATCAATTTAATACACTTCTAGAATCAATTAGTAAAGAGTTAACATATTGTTTTGATCCTGGTATTTGTAATGTTGAAGAGGATCCAAATAGTTTGACGATGGTACAATATAGCTTCACTGATATACAAAGTATTAATATACAAGCAAATAATTATTTATTACAATTATGCAAAGCACAGTGTATTCGTCATCATCTTGCACGATTACGTGATCGTTCATTATGGTTACATGATAGAGCTCATTTATTAGCTATTGGACCAAGTCGTTATCATCATCGATCTATTCAACCATTAAAAATAACTCAACAAGAAACAAATTTATCCATCAATAATGAGAATAAATCTACTGAACTATTTACCGCATCTGTTCTATTAGAAAGTGAATCAGTCTCTTTAAATCATCGTTTATTAGGTTTAGTTGCAAGATCTACAAAATCTGTGCATATTTTACATTCAAAAATTAGTCACATCTTTTTTGATGCTATACAAAATTTTCATAATTGGTTCGATGATTTACATTCAAGAGTAAATGAAATTCATTCAGCTACACTTCCAATGCATATGATAACAAAACCAAATGATTCAAAGCAACTATTGGCTGATACAAATCAATCAGTGGGAATTTTATCCGTAGATATGTTGTCATCTAATTTGAATACAATTCGTGCGACTGTAGAAGTTAGTGGTTATATTTTATTTGTTATATTCACTACTTGGTTATCTGTTAGTAGTCGATTGAGTTCGAAAGAAATCATGAACTGTTATGAATCATCGGATTAGTGATGTCTTTAGAGTGTACGGTTGTAAAGATAGGATACTTATGTTAATCTGTCATTGTGAAGTTGCGAACATCATATTGTATATCCCTTAGCACTGGTCAGATTCTATCGATCAGTTCATAGTCTGACTTCTAGCCTAAATAAATTGATATTTCGGTTCACTTCGCTATTTCACCGATAATCTCAATCGGACAGTGTTAATTGTGACCCAAATAACACATTGTGAATATTTGTGAGTATGAAAGCAGGTGGAACGAGATTGAGTACAACAGAGAGCATCATTTCCTTTAAGACTGGAAATAACTGTCGGTAAATGGAAAACCTAGATCTCACCAATCACTTAACGAATAATAATTATATAAATCTTGATTCTTCTCGATCATCTCTATTTATACTGAGACTATTCCATCGTGCCATTTAAACATTTCTTCCAATGAAAATTACAAACGAATCTAATAAATTAATTTTCCATCGCTTCATTCACTCACTCTTTCGTCCTAACATTACATACGAAATACCACACTTGTGTATGTGTGTCTATTTGCTAAACATTCCGTTCATGAATGTTTCTAATTCAAAAAATATAGCGAACTTGATAAGAAATTACTTTATCTCTCGATATTTAATATATCTGAACAGTAACCAACCGTCGAATGTCCTTTTAGCATGTATTCTCTGTATTTGTCCAAATGTTAATCACTTAAAAGATCAGTAATTTCTCGTAGAATTGATGTATTGTAGGTACCAGTAAGAATCCGGAATTCTCATTTCAACCTATATTGGATTCGTCAGCTTGATAAAACTGGATCTTAACGTTGATTTTTATGTTGCCACTTGAATCAAGTATCTCTCACTTCAAATACTACTGAGTTCAGAAAGCCACTAACGTGTTTAAAGGTTATGACCTTTATACTATGAATTTGAAGAACTTAAATTATTCCGTTTTGAATAGTGGTAATTGAAGTTTGATCAATCTTTGTTGGTATATGTGTATCCTGTGCAGATTACTCCGATTTAGCTAAGTCACAGGTTATTTACAAAAGATTTGTGACTATAAGTGGAAACCATTTTTGTTTAACCATGTTAGATACACCTGACAAGTTAATTATGGATATTTTAAGAGTTGGAATCACGAAATGATCTTATCTAGACCACCATTAAAAACCTGAAAACACTGGACGGCCATTTCGTTCTTATATCGAACATCCCTCGCCTCCGGAGAATGAAGGGTTGCCCAACATCATTGATTGATTGATTCTGAACATTAACATCGTCAGATGCGGGCTCAATGGTCTAGAGGTTAAACGTTCACGAGCGAAACCGAAAGTCCTGAGTTTGGTTCCCGCTTATGAGGTTGTAGGAGCTCACTGCTGAATTTCAAGTTTCACTATGGTGTTAATGTATGTCTCCAATTCCCAAAGCAATGTGTTTTTGAGTCTTCCTCTTTTCTTTTTGCCTTCAGGATTCCGAGTTAAGACTTGTCTCATAATGCCCTGACTTGGAATCCTCAAGGCAAAAGCAAAATAGGAAGACTCAAGAACACACAATGAAAATTTTTGCCAAGTCCTGCGAGAATGTTAACTGTTTCTTCTGAGCACATAATTTAGAGTTTCGGGTTGGAACCTTTTATAGCCTTTACAATATGTCAGAAACGAGATGCAAAACCGTTGAGGAACTGCGAAGGTAGTGAACGTTAGATCACATGGAACGATTTACATTTATCTACTACATGACCATGTATGTTGTAACCTTCCCAGGCTACACAGGCGGGTCTCGTTCCATTCGTTAATTAACTTGGTCATACGTTGGTTACAGCTTTTTCCACAGAAGCATTTGAGTCGGTAGATACACATCAATTAGATACAATCAGTTAACTAGTTATTCGTTTTAGTAGACATTACTAGTCGATTAGGGAATAACTAAGTAACATTAGCTTCTTGAATTGTCATTTTAATCACCCTCATTATTCTGTCATGTAGGATATCACTAGCTACATACCCGTTGTATAGTACTTTTGGTTAGAGAGGTTTCTTCGGAGTAGTCACTATCTATAACTAATCCCTGTATACATTGAAAAACTTTATTGATCGTGTTATTTCTATGAATCAATCATTTACAGTATGTGTATTCCCACTCATACGATGTGGGATAACTAATTCAAATCATTATTATCTATTCTATCTATGTATAGGATTTAGCTAAGAAAGTTCAATGTGAATCTAAACTTGACATTTTAAAAGAATTAGCTAAAATAATGCTACGTTCAAACTATATAGACATCGAGCCTAGTTTATCTGATCATATAAAAGATGATGAGGTTGACGATGCTGACGCTCAAGTGAAGAATGAAAAACAACCACCAGTTGATGATTTGCAAACATCACTGCCAACAGCTGAATCTCTTTTACAGTCTGTCGAAGATAAAGTCGAACAATTCACTAAAGTAGTAGAAACAACTGACAATAATCCACCTTCATCATTATCAATATCATTATTATTAACAAAACTCAACTCCTCAGATGCTTCTTCCATCTTTATGGAATCTAATAATTCAATAAGTCAATTGCTTCGATTATGGGACAGTCAATTAACCAATATGTATAGTGAATTGAAACAGATCGAGTTGAAGCTTGATGCGGCACAAAAAGTTGCTATACAGTCTAAAGAATATGAAATTAAATTATCCGAAAATGTGATTATTTATGAAGAACGATTTAAGCAAATTATTTTATGGCAACAATCCATTACTATTGAATCATGTAAAATTCGTCTAAATCAATTACAAGTAAGAAACATTTGGTATGATTTGAGTTTATGGTATTATATTTGGTGTACCCAATAAATTTAAACTTTAAAATTATTTGTTAGTTAAAAAAGAACAAGAGATTAGAAACTTCTGAACGAGTAGGTTATATTTTTTTGTTGCTAAAATAGCGATAGAAGTCAAAATAGGCGTCTTATCCTATTTTGAAGTCGTCAGTTGCATATAATAAAAAGCCAAATACGAGTTGAGCTAGAGGGATTTATCCAGAGAGACATTTAGAATGAGAAGCGGGAAAGCTAAGTGAAGAAGACAACTCGCTAATTCGTTTTAGTAAAGTGGGACTCAATACTTATAGCCAGCCGAAAATCTGTGAGGAATAGGGTGAATACGTGAATAATCGATAAGGTCAAAGTGTATGACTCAAGAAGAATGAATTAATCGGTTTGTCCGGCGGTTAGAATAACTCATATGGTCTACCAGATTTATGATAAAGTAATCACTGATGATATATAAAAACTATTCTAGATGTATCTTATTACGTTTTTAAGCAGTGTAATTGCAAGAAACCATTTAGAAGTTATTTATATCAAAATATATAATAAAGTACTTGGCTTCATATGTAACATAGCACCAAACACTACAATATACTTATTGACCAATTCTTATTTTATAACACATCAGTGTTGTTTATTTTCAGTATAAGGTTGTGAAATTGTTGAGTTTAGATTGATATAATGAATTGATCAGTATTAGACCACTATTGAAAACCTGGAAGCACTGGATGAGCATTTCATCCTAGTATGAGACTCCTCAGTAGTTCACGTCCACGATTCTGCACGTGGGACTCGAACCCAGGACCTTCGGTTTCGTGCGCGGACGCTTATTTATTCCAATTATTGATAACACTTTATTTCATCATTTATTTATATTTTTATGTAATTTATTATAATCTTAGGATTTACTTGTCCAGTTAAACGGGGATAGTACTGAATTAAAACAAGCTCATGAAACATTTAATCAATTAGTTAAATTATGTAACCTATCATTGTTTCATGAGTTCAATAATCAATCGAGCGATTCCATTAAACAAAATGATAGTCCTGAGAAATTACATGAAAGATTTGTTTATAAATCTACTGTACTAACGGAAATTGAGTCAAGGTTGAATATTTTACAGTCATGTTTGGAAAAAGCTATTCATCATACTGTTGAAGTGACTTCTGCTTTAGAAACACAACAACGTACATGCAATGATGCAAATAATTGGATTGAAGATGTTACAAGACAACTTCATCAGATTATCACAGAAAGACAAAAAACATCAACTAATCGTGATACTGCTCAAAAATATCTTGATTTAATACATGTAAGATTATGGGTATCTTCAAAATTGTGTTCAGTTCTTGTTCTTATAATTACATTTTATTATATTTTTTATGTAATTTCCATTCTTTTCGAATTCAGGGGGTTAGGTAAAAGTGAATTGATTGGATTCCACTTCTGTTTCTGTAGTCTTATTTACTGTGTATCATTATTTAAACCAATTATTATAATTTAGCCATATATATATATATGACTGGTAAAATGCTGGTCGACTATTAATTCAAAATAATGATATGGTATCACTTAGTGACAACTACTCATAAACGTGAATTGACATTTGCGGATATCTGAAGATATAAAATAACTATATCAGCAAAAATTCGATCACTGAATGAGCATCTAGTGGTTTAAATGAATAATTATGGTTAGTTCGTGGTCATCATTATTCTCATCAGTTACAGTGGAGGATAGATTTTATTTCGTACATGGATGAGACAACTCCAGAATTTCTTTGTTTTTAATGGTTTTTTTAACTACAGTCAGTTCGTGATTTAAAATTACGAATTCAGTAAAGGAAAGGGCTATTGGACATCTTTTTGTCTAATTCAGTAGAATAGCGAAAATTGTTATCAATATATAACTCATCAAACCTATTTTTATATCCGAAAATAAAATAAAAACGTTACACGTATACCATATTGATTGTTCATTATTTAATGGGTGGTCTATGAAGAGTTGAATATCAACTATGAAAAAAGATCACTATGAAGTGATATTAGTCACACATTTGGATTGTTTTACTGATATTCCAAATATAAACCATGTTAGGAGTGAGACATTGTTTGATCCACCTGTTTTTATAACAAACGAAATGAAACTATTAAGATCGTGAACTGATGAATTTTCATTCAACAGTCTAAAACATTTCAATCGTTTCATAACATGAAGATTTAATGTTTTCATAAATGCTTACTACTAAGTAAATAGTTTTTGCATTGATACGTTCAACTTCGGTATCAGTTCGTGACGGAAACTATCTTTAAGTTGAAATAATAATATTCGTAAATCATTTACCTAAACTATGCATGAAACTTATTATAAAGTTTTTCATTTTGGAATCAGCTAAGTAAAAGAACAAAAGTCTTCAGACTATCAATAAAATTCCATATCACGAATTGAAGAAAAAATATTATTGGTCATTAAATCATTGAAATGACTTGAGATATCACATGGAATTTAACTCATTTCCTGTTACGACCTTGATGCTCTGGTAGACTACGATTGAATTTGGCCATGGCTGATTCGATCTTGTGCTAATTCAAATAAAAATAATACTAGTTGCAGAAACAGACATCACTTGATAGAGTTGAAAAAACCATTAATTCAGATAAACATGTCAACTAGTTACTCACAGTTCTAAAGTTCAAGAGGACAAAAAGTGTATGTTTTTTCAGTGTACAGTTGTTGGGAAATAGCTGTAGGATTTAATTTGTTCTAGAGATATTCTACCAGAATGACGTCCCAGAGTCTGTGTGAAAGCTATAGTCAGAACAAGGACAACTTGGCTTTAAACTTAATCTGTTTCTAAACATGTACACAATTTGATTAGTACGATAATTATAGGAATTATAGTCATCAAGCGAAACGCACAAACATACCGACCAGTATTGCGTGTCTTATCGAGATGAGTAAAAAATATTAGTTGTAGTCATGCTAATACAATAAGGTAATAATGTCTTTCAATTGGCAGGTCACATGCAACATGGATAGCCTAAAAACATTTTAGACCAGGTTGACGAGATGGGCGTTTAAACAACAATTTGATTGGTTAGTAATGTGCATAACTAACATCAGTTGGTAAAAAACCCTCGTCGACTTAGGTTTCATGCCAGTTGACTGTAGTTTTGAGGGAAGTGATGCTCCCTTTAGGACTCGAATTTCCGATACTCAGTTTTACAGTCTAAAGCCATACCAGTGAGCTATTCGGCCGCGACTCACTTCCTGTAGGACTGAAATATTCACGCTGATGGATTATTGACCGATGTCATCCATGTTTAGTCATTTAGTGTTAGTCGACTTCAGTCGATCACTTCCTTCTCATTCATTATAATTTACAAAATACTTGTGTATTAACATATATCAAATTAATGCACGAAGATAAGATTACACATGCTACATTTGGAAAGTTCTAAAACACTATCTGACCATTTCCTAAAACATATTTATTATTAATTATTGCAGACAAACTACTACAACGTTTTTTATCAAACAGCTTATCTGTCTTTTATGTGCTTCATTAAACGTGTTTTTCCTCTCTCTCTCTCTCCCTCATTCATTATTTGCCTCACCTTCCCTCATTCTCTCCCTCTTATTCACCCTCTCTCTCTCTCTGTGACAAAAGAACCTCAATGAAATATCTGACGATGGACGTGCAAAAATACAATTAGCTCAAAATACCATTGAAATTGCATGTAATTTGATTTTAACATCAGAATCATTCTACAATAAAATTAAAAATAATTATAGTTTGCCACCAAAGATGGAACAATCAATCAATAATGATCAAACAAAATTAGATGAATCAAAATCAATGGAATCATTTACAGAGAAAGTATTATCATTTCATTCTACATTTATATCGGAATTCAATGATCAATTATTAAATTACTCATCTATGTTAAATAATCGTTTCAATATTTATTTAAATGAAATTGGGACTATTTTAAATGAAATACAACTTGACTTAAATCAATGGACATCTTATGTTGATTCAAAATTACGTTTAGAAAAATGGTTGAACATGGTGGAATTTGATTGGAAAGTGAATCAATTAACTGATTCAGATGAAATCGGAGATAATTTGACGAATAAAATGTACTTTGTTACATTATACAAGGTATGTTATTACATGTTACATGTGACTATGTGTTATCATATATTTTCTTTGTTTTTTTTCAGTTGGTAATAAGTGGGAATCGGTGACGAGTAGAGTTCGATCTGTGCCGGGTGTGAGACAGTCATCCACTTAAGGCAATGGATGAAAGCTGTTAAAATTTCTCTGTTCTAAAGGAGTTTTTATTATCTTTGTAGACAATATCGACAAAAGAAACTTCTCTAATATTTCTGCTGATTTGTTGGTGTAATTGACTGTTATTGAGATTTTTATGAATTAATTATTTGTCCATGATTGTTTTCAATAATTGGATTTGAAGAAATATATATCATAAACAAATTTTATGGTTCGTTGTAATGCAAATAAAGCCGATGATCATTTTGTTGAAGTCTGTATTTCTGTCAACTGTAATAGTTTATGTATCATTCAATTCCTTCAATTCGTCAAAGTTAAATAGATTTTGTTCGACTTTGAGTTAGGGTCATTTATGAATAGTACATTAACCACAGCTATTACATCTGGATGTCTAATTTTCCAGTTCTTAATATGTTTTACTGTATTAATTTAGAATCTTCCTCGCTCTCTACAATCTTGGCTCTAGTTATTTCAAACAATTCATTAATTAGTCAATAGCAGATTAGAATGTAAATTCTAGACAGATAGATAGCTCAAAACACAATGTAAACCTCATCAAAAGCAGTTCCGTGTCATTATACGTAAATATGTTTAAAGTTTTGTTCCAGCGTTCTAGGGATTTACTTTATTTAACAGGTCATATTTTTTTAGATTCCTATGTATTACATGTCGAATTTTTCTTTATTATTATTATTATTATTATTATTATTATTATTATTATTATTATTATTATTATTATTATTAACGCCAATATGCTAATTATAATTTTGTTTTTATAATCATATCTCTTTTAGCAACGATTACAGGATATTGATTCCCATGAAAGTCTTCTTAACACTGTAATTAGTTGTGGAAATCAGTTCAATCGAAGGAATTCAGACAATATGATTGGTACTACTACTACTAATCATAATAATGATGATCAAGTAGTTCTTCCTACCGAAGAAATTCAAAATTTTCGAAAACGTTTTGAATCACTTCAGAATTTCATAAATACACGTTTAAAATTACACCAAAATCGTTTAGAAAGATATAAAAAATTTATGGAACATAATCAGAAATTTGAAGAATGGCTTTCTAATACAGAGACAAAACTTAATTATATGATAGAAGATATCATTGGAAGAATTGAACATTTAATTCCAGAAAGTGAATCCTATTTTATTACATCACATAATGAATACAATTCGAATGTATCAATACAGACTCAATTTATTAATAAAGATAATAATCTATCAATATACATTGAAAAGATTGATAAATTATGGTTATCTATTATTAATAGTGCTGAAAGTCAATTAGACACATTAAATTCATTATTTCTATCAATTGAAAAAGAAGTAGAACATCCAGAGAACTTTCAAATAAAGATTACTAACTTTAAAAATCATATATTTCTTAATTTAAAACAAAAGATTAATGATCTTATCAAAAATTTAAAAGAATATCAACAATACAATGAAGAATTTTTAAATCAATTGTCAAGGTCACAAATTTATATGAATAATCAAGAAAAAAGGATTATTCAATTTTCAACACGACAATTATGTAATTCTATGCCAGATTCAATGATGATGTTAATTGGTAATGATGGTGGCATAGTTAATTTACCTGATAATTTAGATGATAAATTATATTATGTTCAAACATTAAAACAAATTTCAAATGATTTTAATCATTCAGAATGTTCTAATTCCATTCAATTGTTACATGATTCGCGGGAACAATTAATTTCAATATTGAATAGAATTAAACAAACAAGTTTATCTCAACAAAATATACTTATAATGAATAATGATTATTTAGATAAACATTTAAATTATATAAATAATTATTTAAAAAGATTAAAGAAATATTGTGAAGATTTAACCCAATGTTGGCAATCAGCAGTAGATAATCATTTAAAATTTCAAGAAATGTTTCAATCATGTTCAATGGAATTTCAAATGATCAAATCAGAGTTTATTGAAGGTTATCCATTTAATGATGAAATGGAATTAACTAATGTATTAAATAATAATGATAATAATCATGAAATATCTCCGAAAACAAAATGGAATAGAACCGATCAAATTTATAATCATTTCTTAGGATGGTTATCAAATTTAATGAATAAACTTGATCGATTCAGTGTAATATCTTATCAATCGTGTATAGAATTATTACAACTTACTTCATTAACAACTAGCTTAAAAGGATATAATTTAATGAATGAACAATTAATTGAATTAAAAAAATCAGCTGATCAATTATCAACTGATCTTGTTGAATTATATCATCGAATTGAATTAACAATGATTGAACATTTAAAGATGGATCAAGAGAAATATGAATTTAAAAATTGGTTAAATGAACATGAACAAAAATTAATTGAATTAAATAAACCATTAGAAGTGGTTTTATCATTTAATAATATCATTTCATCATCATCAACATCATCGGAATCTTTGAGATCATCTTTATTTTCATTAAACACAATTTTATCATCATGGTCTATGTTAATGAATGAAAGACAATCAAATTTACAAAGTTTTCGAGTAAATAATTATTATCACAATGGGGATTTGTGGAGATTATAATAATTTTAATAGTTGAATTCATGAGTCCATCTAAGCTAGACTACCAATAAAAACCTGGAACTACCAAATGGTCGTTTCATTCTAACATGAGACTCATGAGCAATGCGCAACCACGATCCCACACCTAGGACTCGGACTCAAGACCTTCGGTTTCGCTCGCGAATGTCTAACCTTAAGATGACTGAGCCAGCATCCAACGGTGGATGCATGCTGCTGAGGAGTCCTATACTGGGACGAAACGGCCGTCTAGTGTTGCCAGATTTCCAATGTCAATCTAACTTAGAGCGACTCATGAACTCAACTATTAAATAATGAGTATTTGTTTTACTAATAATAATAATAACTGATATTAAACAAGATAGTTTATTAAAAATCAGGAATTATATTGTTAGATAATAGTGGATAAACTGAAAAATAGTGGAACATTTTAAACTATACAGTGAATTAATAAATTTATTTATTCTGTGTAATTATTCAAGAATCGATATATGATATTTTCATATTGTTCTATTTATAAGCTTCTATTGGACTGATAAACTGTTGAACTGTTCTGAGTCTTTCCCGACTAGTAGTTAGTGAACTCTGTAATCTTGTGACCTGGTTAAATGAACATAAAAATCATCGGAGGTTATAACACACTGTTGACCAAACAGCTATTGCTCCGACCTGGCTTAAGACTTTTCAGCAGTGTTCACTTGCTATCCATTATTGAAGTGAACTCAACGATCTTTAAGTTTTATAATGGACTTTGATACTATTGAGCGTTTAAGTCTATATTCAACGTTCGACACTTCGCACTCTAATCTGATTATCCAATAGCACAATTCTTATTTATTACCATGGATGTTCTATTACTGCCTCACTTCTACATCGGCTAAATTCACTAATCATAGCGTTGAATTAATTAATGGTATCGTTCTCATTCCAAATAAGAATGAGATATTTACCAATAAACATTGATTACATCGGGATATACTTTGGATATAAATTAATGACTGAATCAAATCCTAAAGTAAATCAATTCTCATAGTTTCTCATTGGGTTAAAAATTTATATTGAAAATAATTCGTCAGTGTATAAATCTAAACTTACTAAAATTTCATAAGGCCATTAAAAGTAACTGGAAAAAGAATGGGTGAGTTACCTTTTGTATTACTTTTCTTTTTGAGACTCGTATATGGGATCAATCGCTAGTTAAGAATAGTCATCTCTTCTTCAGTGAGTATTGTTTTCATAATGTACATCTGTGTAGTAGAGTATAAAGCTTGATGAAAATTCAACTCATCTTTTAAATTCACTTACTTCAAATGGATTAGTGTAAAAACATTAAAACCACAAAACTTTGAATGATTAAATTAGTGTTTCTATCGAATACAATAAGTATTAACTTGATTGATACAATCTTTCCTATGATATAAATCTCATCTTCAATTCATCAAAACAACCATGATTATGACTAAAGTTGATAAGATGTGAAAAAGTTTGAGATTAATAACTCATTGATCAATTGTCAAATCACACTGAAACCATCGACGAACGATTACTATTCACCTAACTAATTAATTGGTAAACGTTTCTTATTATCATAAAATTGTTTTTAACATTTCAACCTTTTCTCTTTTATTTTTCCTCATAGCGAGTATTCCAGAATCTATCTTCACGTAGTCAACACTTAAGATCATTTGAAGAACGTCAATCTTTAGTTATTTCAAATTATAAAACTTACATAGTTGATCGTGTAAATAAATCAGTCATTTCCGATGACATTAAACAAATTATTTCTAATGTATCAAATATTGAATTGAACACAGATTATAGCGATTTGATAAATTATAACAAAGAGTTGATAAGTAAAACTGAAAAAATCATTAATCAAGACACTGAATTTAATGATCTAGCTCAGTCATTATTATCTGAGATCAATACACTCTCAGATAATCTTCGTATTCTGGAAGAAGATTTTTGCGACATGAAATCTCATATTGTGATGGATAATAATAATAATAATAATAATAATAATAATAATAATAATAATAATAATAATAATAAATCAGTGGTCAATTCACAAGAGTTGTTATGGACACGTGATCTAGTACAGTATAAAATTAATGAATTAAATCAACAAACACGAGATGTTTCCTTAAAGAATATCCATGAAAAATTGAACATACTCGAAGAGATGTTCAATAGTTTAATTAGTTTAAATAATCCAGAGAAAAATTTGGCAAATGAATTAATTATTTCAATCAAAAATCAATTGAGTAAATTAACCGAAAGAATTGATCAACAGTCAGCTTTATTATCTTTGATACTTAATCAAATGAAAGATATGTCTGAAAAGATTGTTCAACATAAAGAATGGTTTTCTCACTTGCTAATTAAAGTAGAATCAATTGAAACGGAGTTACCTGTTGACTTAGAGTCTAAAAAGACATTACTAGTACAATATCAGGTAAGAAATATATTTTTACAGAAGTATTGATGAAATTAAGCGTTATTGACATCGCTATAATTATTTATTCCAGTTCATAAGTTCTTATAAGTTAATAATCCTTAAAATAAATAATTTATAAAATTTGAAAGATGCTTATTTTCACTCAAAAGATCAAATGTCATCGCTTCTCCTATCATGAAGATGAGATAAGGGATGATTCATCCTGCAGTAGAACACAAAGGAACTTTCAGTAGATGCTAATTTTCTCGTAGACTAATTCGAATAACTATGGATTGTAATTTTTTTACTATGGTCTTATTCTTACAAGTCACTGTGGTTTAGTTTGTAAGTGTTTATATCTTCTCGTTGTTTATGTTGGATTCTGCAATCGATTAGTCCCCGTCGGTGTATGTTCATCTCATCATCAACCGATCGTCTTGATATTACTATTCAGTTATAAATTAAGTAAGTCAGCGAATAACGCTTTGGCGTTTGAGGTACTGGGTTCATGTCTCACTGTTGACAACAACACGGAGCTAGGTGTATGTTGTGTCCCGACAAGAATAATGAATGGTAACTTTTGGGATCCATTTACGGACCAATACTAAACGTATATTCCTATCGTATAATTATTAAGTAACTAAACTGTGCATATTCATATTCCTCTTATTATAAGCTTTATGTTGACCCATAAACTATTATTATACGTTTTACCATTCTTGAGATATACCCAGTATATTAATTATTACCTCCCTCATTCACAGCCACATCTGGCTAATTCTTGTACAAATGTTCTTTCATATTTTATTGGTACGTTGTGGTCTGTTTGATTGGTATATAAACTCAGTATGTTTGAAATATAGTGATTCGTATTGCGGAGGCTTGGATTGGTGTTCTGGACTTAACTGGCTGGGATAGGCAGGAAGCAGGGCCAATCATAACTCTAGGCTGCTTTCACGTGTTTTACGCGTCCTTGGTTCGATTGATAATTCAGTGCTTCCTAACTGACGGTCACAAGTATCACTGGATAAAAACAGATAATAGCACTGAGTAGTTATATTGTCCTGGTTTGATACTTTGTACTGTAGTATACCGCTTTTGCCTATGTGTGAATTGGAAACCTGAGACCTTCATATCCACTTATTTTTCAATCGAAAGAATAAAAGTTGGTCACTGTCTAAAAGCTGTAAACGGAATCTATGGAGCTAAATAGTGAAGAATGTAGTGAGATTTCCAGTGTAACACATTTTTATCTCTCTCGTGATTACTCACTAACGAGCAGAAACAAAATAGCCATGTTAGGTTTACAACAGAAGTATTCCTTATTCCAAGTATTATTTTATATTTGTCGAATTTGACTATTAACGTCAGAATGACCGATGAGACTGCACATGTAGGTTTATTGGAGTCCATGAAGCATTTGTAAGACTTAGTGAAACCAATTTGAGAATCAAATCGATTTCCTGCAAGTATGTGTTTTTATGTCATATATAAAACATTGGGTGTGATCACGATACTCTGTTGATTGACGAATACAACATAAAGTGGTCAAACTGCAATTAATTTATTACTCGTATTATACCAGTAAGAATAAATCCCATACTGAAGCGTTTAAATATAACATTCAAAAACCTAAGTACTTCTCATAGATCTAGGACGTTCTTGTATGTTATTTTTACACTCACTCATCTATTTTTATTACATTACCCAGGATATTCTAACTGAAACTAAGGAACACATTTCAGAAATAAATGTCATCTTAAAAGATTGTTGCTGTAACACTGCGACATCATTTGTTTCTCAGAAATCAGAAAAAAATATTGAAGAGTCAACAGATCTCAATTTGAATCCATCACCACATCCAGTTAAAATGTATCCTGTTGATGTTCAATTGGTCAAAAGTTTAAAATCACTTCATTATGATATGAATCAAGCATTGGAAAGAGTAAATTTAAATATAACTCGATGGAAGCGTGCTATAACTCGACATGAGAATTTAATTGAATCTTTGAGAAATCTTGAGATAATTTTAACAAGATGTATTGCTAATACTTTCTATTGTGCTAAGCATATGTTGAATTTAGAGATGGATATAAATGATGAAACTACACTGCTTAGATTCCCTGTAAGTAGTGTACTTTTCAAATGCGTAAATATTATACAAACATATGTCAGTACTGATTTAGATGAAGTCAACAGATTATTGGATGAGATCAACTTGACTTATGATAGTGTCGTACAAGATACATGTCCGGAAAACATGAATATCATTAAATTACAAATTAGGAAAGATCAAAATCAGTTTACATATTTAGAACACAAAACACACACATTACAAGCTTATTTAACTAATCTCAATGATCGTATTGAGTTATTCACATCCATTGATAATAATTTGAATGAACGAATCTACAACCTTTCTAATCGTCTTAAATCTGAAAGTATAAATTTATGTTCAACTCAAATCCAAGAAATTAAAAGATATGTTAATATTTGGCGTGGAATTAATGAAAAATTCAAACAAATCCATCAAGATTATATGAATGAAATCAAACCTTTAATCAAAGAATTTCAACAATTGAAAGTTGAGCATTTACAATTTTTAGAATTGTATCAGAAAAATTTCTCATTTGAATCTAAATCCGGTACAAATGAAGATCATTGTTTACTGGAACAATTACCTACTATTGAATCAATCACAATTCAATCTATTTTTGAAGAACGAAATAATAAACTGCTAGAGATTATTGAATTTATTAATGTAAGTTTTTAATATATGTCAATAGTGAAGTTAAGGTCATCATTATACGTAGTGTCGAACTCTCCCAGAAGTTTTTTTGCCCCATATGAGGCTAAATTACTTTAATCGAATAGTGTTGCGTAGTTAGTTGTAAGTGATCTGCAGGGATTTCGAACTATTAGTTTCGCAGTAGTTAGCACTCGACGATGAAGTGTATATTTAAAATCTTTTAACAACTGTCTTTCGAAGTGATATTTGAGCCCATATAATTACACAGTGTTATAGCCCCAAAAATATTAGTACGGCCGTGGTTGGACAGTCATTTCTCCCTCTCGAAATGCTCTCATATGGCCACGCGTATACAGACACTGCCAGGGAAGTCCTACTCAATGCCTCTTCGCGACGGGGTGTTGTTTGAGAAATTGCGCGAACGAAATGCGAGTGTCTGGCGCTTCAACCAGGTTGGTGGTAGATATGGAGGGTCCACCTAGGGGATTTGAGAAACCCTGACTCCGAACCAATGTTGCATATGAGCTCCAGGATCTTGAAGGAATAAATGGCATATGAACGAATTGTTGGTCACTGACTACCATGAGACTGCATCTCCTAACGTTGCTGCACAGACTTTTGGATTAGACGTTTACGTCAAAGGCTTGTAAAAGTCACGTACTTCGGTTTGAACGCACGAGCAGTACTCCAGCCCTCACACAAATCATTCGATTTGTGTGGTTCATATATATTTGGTGCCTCCGTGTACCAGTGTTTATATGTTCAAATACATGATTGACCTCATGCAATTTTGTTGTGTATTTGTTTGTATGTATTCATGAAGTGTATTCATGCGATTAACGTCCAACACTTGATTCTTATCAATGAAAACATTTGAGGTTAAACATATATTTAAAAACAAACAACTTGAAAATTTTTCTGACAGAGAAATTGGTTATTTATTCTTGTTATGACACACAGTTTCCGAGTCATATACAAATACACAAAACTTCCTATATGCAAGCCACAGCTGGCTACTGAGTGAGGAAATTAGGGGTGAAGAATGAATCTCTTTGGGTCAAACAGATTCACTAGCATGAGCACTCGTTTACATGTCTACTCAGAAAATAAATCCATTTCTTGGCCAATAACATACACTTATCATCAGACTTTTACATGCCACAACGTGGCATTATTGTCTGATAACTTTTGATTGCTCCACTTTATACATTCTTAGCTCTTATCTTCCATAAAGATGTATTTGACATTCTAAATTTCCTTTTCGAAAAAAAAGTATAGGATGTTAAGCTTTGCTTTACATTTCCATAAAGATTTTCGGACATATTCTGTTGTAGTAACTCTACCAGCTGAAGGATGACTGGGTGATACAGATAAATAGATTCTTTCATGAAGTTATGTACTGTTAACCACTCAAAAAAGAATTGTATCTTGAAAGATGAATTCCGTAAGAAGCACCATTTTCCCGCAAGATTATAGATACATCTTACTGACGAGTGTCAATTAGCTTGAAAATTAGATTCTTCAGATCTTCTTAATGACTATCTCCGATAATCCGATATGCACACGATGTCGAACCACTTAGATTAGTGAGCACAATAATGCTTGATTGACGGATATCGATCAATGCTCAAAAGTGGCTGGACAAGAATGACATGGGTCACCACCTAGTGATCACTCAGTTATCAAAGATGAGATATTTACACCACTTCATAATTTATTTGTAACAATTTTTACTTTATGAATATACTGATAATTGAACAGTGATAATTTCTCCCATTTAGGCGGTCATCAAATCAATCGATGCCATCAGTTCCACCTGGTCTCAATCTGAACGAAAATTCATTCATTGTCGCTCTTGGATTAATGGACTTTCAAAAAAGTTCATGCAAATTTCTCAAACCAACTTGAAAACTGATATTACTACTACACCTAACACTTCAGATGGAGGGGAAGCAGTAGTAACTGAACCCAGTAACCAGTCATCACCAGTATCGCCTTCTGGTCATATTTTAAATCGATTAGATCAATACACAGCTCAAACTTGTTTATCACTTCTAAAAGTGAGTGTAGTTCATACTTTACCTTTGTGTTTTCATGAGTATTTTAAGTCTTCTTTCATTATTGTAATATTGTAAAACTCAACCATATTTGTTAGGTTTGAATCTAACCGGAAGTTATGTTGCGCACTGGGATTAGTAGAGTTTAGAGCGGCGAATTTTAGAGAATCTGGGACAGAAGAGAAAGAAAAATTGGTACAATTACTCTGTACTAACGGCCTTGACTGGACCAAGTGGAATTGAGATTAGGGCCTCAACACATTTTTGCGGGAAATCGCGAAAGTGCAGTACAAGACAGCTTGTATATTATTATAATGTAACTGTAAATTCACAATAAATGGTTTGTAAAACATTAGAAATTGACGAAAATATCTATTGTGTAACTCTAAACAGTGAATAATACATGGTGTTTTAAGCTTAATCTCAAGGAAATATCTGCTCCTGATACGGATTATATGTTAGAGTACTTTGTGTGATTTAATCATAGTCGAGACTATTTGTGTAGTCAGATAATATTTTCCTAGTTTACCTCGTAACTCTTAATCTCGTCTTTGATTTTCTTAAGTTTTTAAACAACAGTGATTAAACTTCATCGGATTAAGGTTGATGTTAGTTGGTGACAAAAACCCTGTAAAGATTATAGGCTTAAAACTAATGTGATTTCATTTGTGTGAACCTAGCTTTTTTGTTTCACTATAATGAATAATTCAAGATGTAAGCAGTATTTAGTCATATCAAACTATTCTTCCACTGTGAATATTTTACTTTCCATTCTTAATTGTTTTATAATTAAACAATTTTCTGATTAACCAATAAGTTGATTAAATTCTTTGGTAGAGCTCACTTTTGCCAGAAGAGTGAGATGACAACTGAGTAAGCGCTGAAGATGAATTTACGTTTGATAATGAAGCTGTTTGGCAATAACCTACAACACGGGAGTGAAATTCTGACAATCTATTATTCCAAACTAAAGGTTGATAAAGTGCAGTTTCGGATGTGTTTGAGTATGTGAATGATTTTTTTAAAAAAAAAGAACATGGTTCTCGAAATAATAACAACAAGAAGTGCACGTTTACAGTGTGATAGGTTAGAGTGAATAATTAAGATTCATTTCCTTCCAATTATCATACAATTAATAATATTTTAATATCAAAATTAAAATATAGTCTAATGCCTATGTTTTCCACTGAAATAAAGTCTGTTTAAGAATTAATTTGCTGACATTTATCAGTACTGTGTAGCGGTATGTCTAATTATTGTGAATTCAGAGAAAGTTTAAAAGGTTATATTACACGATATGAAAGGTATTGGTATATTAATGCAAACAGTAGTAATCAAAAATCGTGGGGTCTAAAATAAACAGTTACATTATTCAATGCTTTCAAGTTATGCATATCTTACCCTATCTTATCTAAAGTGAGTCAATAAGCCAACTGATTTTCGAATTAAATATTTATTGAAATATAAGGTTTGTGGGTACATGTATATGGCTGCGTCGTTGATACATACCACTGAGTACTCATCTTAAACTAGGGAGAAACTTTTCATAATACTCCATGATTTTTCATAGTTAACTTCAGTCGACCTCGCAAATAACGTTTTACAAACTGAATATTTATGTTGATGATACGATCTTTTGTTATCTGATCACAGTAATATCTTAATGTTTCACAGGAATTTCAAACTGAAATGAATCAAAATAATTCATATTTTGATGAATATCGTGATGCATTGTACAATGTTCAATCGTTAGATTCAACGATCGACTGTTTTTATAATCTATTCAAACAATTTGATGTTGACATTAATGATGATTTAAAATTGAATCATTCTAATTTAATACATAAATTAAGCGAAGAACTTGAACAGTTTCAAATGAGTTGGGAACAATTACAAACTGAAGTGAATACTACACACCAAACGATGTATCAACATTTAGAACAAATGGAACTATTTAATTGTAAACAATTATCTCTACGTAAATTACTCACAGAAATTGAACAAAAAGCTTGTTTAGGACCTTGTTCAACTACTAGTGTGGTGGATTTTAATGAATTGGAAAAGGATACAATGAACTGTTTAAATGAAAAATATGTTGATGAAGTTGATAGTAATAATAATAATCAAGGTGAAAATGGTTATGTTGTCATCTTTGAAAAGCTTATGATTGCTCAACAAAGTATTGTGGATTGGTGGGAGGTAAGTTGTATTATGATTTATACGGATACGCATTAATTGACAACAAAATGTCTCCTCTGTTTATTTTTTATACTTATCGCGATGTTCATAGAATCTGTGTGGCTCATTTTGTAAATGACTAAACTCGTTACGGTCTGCGATCGCTCGATTTAAGATAAAATCGCTTCTTATACTCTTCTCTATCCAGCAATATGAGAAAGGGTAATAAATCAGTACATAATTCATTAAAATATATACACTTACTTTTCTAATCAAGAGCAGTGTATATCGGCTTCTATCCTGACTTATAGCATAATTGGCTTCCTCCAATAATATCTCTTTCATTTTTCTAATTAATTTCATAGATTTTTATTGTCCAAATAATCCCCATCGAAATGTTTTGTCTCAATATGTTTCTTGTGATGTGAACTGGTATACTATTATGACAGATGACCCGATTCGGCTCATTATTTTTGGAGGATTTAACTTTCAGCCAAATAGGTCCAAGGTTCAATATCGCTAGCCGTCAGTGTTGAATATATAAACCTGCCCTTAGTAGATTAGCTGTTTTAGACACTTTTTCTGTCAGCCGGAACAGTTTCCTTTTCGCTCTGTGTGTGTTGAAACCTCTTGTTCCTCCTTTCTTGCCTTTTTTTCGTTTTTTCATCACTTTTTTAATCTTTAAAACATAAAATACAGGCTTTTATTCAACAAATTGAAGAAGAAATTCCTAGAATCAAAGATGAATTGAAAACGATTAACAGTATTGTCTTTCCCACTCCCACTGGATTACTGAATCAATTGTTATATGTGGAAGAGATCTTAGCTAAAGCTCATGTAAGTTATGAAAATTCATATCTATTTCTTTTATTGGTTTGTTTTTGTATTTTTGTCAAACTTTTATTGCAATTTCAATGGTTTTTGACCTATCCGGTTTCAAACAATTGGAGATATAAGATCTTAAATCAGTACATACTAAAGATATCTTGATCATCTAGAAGACTTTAAGATTTCACCAGTATGATCATTGGTTCACACTGGTGGACATTCATAAACTAAGAGTAAGTCGTTTTACAATACTACTTAGTGTTATCAACCAGTGTATTTGTTTGTAATGTGAACGTTCTTCAAATCTCTGCGATCACTTCCATTATCTTACACTAATTAATCTGTTCAATGATTTTTAGGTAAACCAGACAGTTTTGGTCTCTATTCATCACTAATATGACTGAAAAACATAACTGTGTCGCTTCTCTGATATTTGAATTTATATAATCCTGTAATTTTTACTTCTTTGTAACAAAAATATTTCATTGAAATCATGAATCTAAGTAAATACACATTGTTGATCAGTATCTGTTTTATTTTATCAAGTTCAATATCGATTATATATTCGTTACAAATTCGTTTAGCCCTCGTACAGAAGGATTTAGTCAGATTAATCTTTTGCTTCAAATGGGACTCAACTTTGAAAATTCGTGTATTGATTATTACAGTTTGACTTGGTAAATATTGATTCTTGAAGTAAATTATAAGATCTCCCTTTTAATAACACTTCTTAGTAGTGAAATTCTGAATCCAATTATCTTCACCTTAACATTTTTCACCAGGCGATTATTACATAACTCGTAAACAATTCATGATAGGATACCACTGGAGGTTTTTTTTAATTATTCAACACCATTCTATATTACTGTAGACTACTGTATTACGTTACTTGTTTGTTTTCTTCACTAATACTAACGTACTCTCGAAATTAGCCTACTGTTTTAAGTTTGTTTCTCTTTTTACTTTTTTTTTAAAAAAAAAGGAAATCCTAAACATAAACAAAGAAGGTTTAACTGGTTTAAACGATATGATTGAAGCTTGGAAGAATTGGCAACATTGGTGGTTTGTTGACAGCGAAGCAAATACTATTCATGATGATCATAGTGAATTATCTAATTTTGTCAATAATATAAATGCATTTAACATAGATGGTTATTTAGATAATACTGAATTCATTAATTTACAAAGAAAATTAGATCAACTTTATAAATTAGGTGAATCTGAAGGTAAATTAAAATTAACTGATTTAATGGAAAAATCAAATCATCTTCAATTAATAAATGAACAACAAAAAAAGAATTTTATAACATTTATGATTTTATCATCCGGTCAACAACAACAACAACCGTCTTCATCATCATCATCTATAACAATAACATCAATTCAACAACGTCAATTACCATTAAATTTAAGTATTTTATTTATTCAAAAATTAATTCGTTTAGCTAATCATCAATATTCATTGATTTTTAATGATCATCTCCCTTTAATTATTGATTATTTGAATCATAAAATTGATTTAATCGATAAATTTCTTTATGAATTTCAACAATTTACTAATATACTTAATGATAATGAAATAAAATTAAAAAAATTTGAAACATTTTTATTATTATGTAATTATAATCATCAAATGAATAATTTAAAAGAAAATTCTTATCAAAAATTACAATTATTAAATATTGATTTTAATGAAATAACATTAAATTATATACAATTACAATTTTCTTCTGATATATCGATTATTTTATCGATTCAATGGAATGAATCAATATTTATTGATTTTTTGAATCAATTTTCAATCAATGTTAAATTATTAATGAAATTAATTCAAGTAAGTTGAATGAATGCAAAATTTTGATTTTAATAATAATAATAATAATCAATGATTTGTGTGTGAAATGAGGATAGGGTCAATTAATTTATAAATTAAGTTTTGTATTAACTATCAGATGATAAGTCTACTCATGATTGCGTCCAAGCTATTGTCTTCCGTCATATTTCGTAGGTTGTTCAATACTCGAGAAAGATTGACTCGCGAGGAGCAGGCAGGTTTCCATTCTAGTCGAGGATGTATTGAACATATCTTCGTCCTCCGTCAAATATCAGAACACCATCATACTTATCAGAGGTCAACAATCGTGGTGTTACTTGATATTAAGACTGCTTTCGATTCGTTGGACAGAACTGTTTTCTGGGATTGTCTATTGAGGAAGGATGTGTCTGAAAAGTTGATTAACATCTCGAAATCCTTATATATAAATACCTCAGGCTGAGTGAGGACATACACCCATTTCTCTCCACCGTTCCATTCAAGCAATGGTGCTAGGCAGGGTTGCTCAATCTCACCATTCCTCTTGAACATTGCCATCGATGACGTTCTGGAAAGAGCTCCGGTCGATAAGTGACCGGTTACGGAAAGCGGAGAGGTGGCCAGTGTGACATAGTGTCATGATTTTGAAGAAAGCTGGTTGTATTCCTCCCATTATTATTATTACTCATTGTGTTTTTTCATTATGCTCACTTTTCATTCTTTATTTCTCTGCATTCTCATTGGTATTGTGTGGCGCATAAGTAATAGGTGCCTCCTACCGATGTTTATGTGTTCAAATAAAAATAAGTAACTAAATAAATTTTAATAAGAGATACATCAGCAACATACTACAAATAAGTATTTTGATATAATCCTGACTTACTAATTTATGTATAAAATATATATGAAACTTTCCGTGACCTCTAGATAATTCCTCAGCAGAGCGTCAAGAAATCAGAAAAATATCAACTTATCAGGTTGTAGAAACTTTTAGTTTTACACATAATCCCTCAAATAAGTTTTTTCTCTATACTGTTGTAACGTGTGAAACTGCAGGTTGGATGCGCAGCGTATTTATCGATCGATTCAGTGACACGGAAAACACGTAATGAACGACCTAGAGTCCATATTGGCCCTGTTTCGCTGTCTATCCCACCCAGTTGAGTCCAGAACGCAAGTCACAGCCTCTGAGATATGAATCATTATATTTCAAACACACTCTGTTTATATACTAACCAAGCAGACCACATTGTACCATAAAAATAGAAAACAACGTTTACACAATATTAAACAATTGAAGTAAATATTAACCAATAGGAAATATACATTTAACATTCAAGGACACCATTCGACTTGACACGATAATTAATGGCATATTCCTCTGCATACCTAACATATACAATCTAACCTTTGAAGTAAGGATCTTCTGATCATGCAACCTCTTTTCTGTTTTACGATTCAAAAGTAGAGAAGCCTTCTTGTCTGAAGCTAGGAAACAATTAGACAACTTGGTTATTCACTGCCAAATCTAATTATCCAAGGGACAAAATCTTTCTGCAATGTCTACTGTCTACCATTGGTTTTGCTGTGTAAGAGGGGGATCCATGTATTTGGGAACATTGCTGTATTGTAATTTGGATCACCAAAATCTACATTAATCAACTCTAATGAGTTTAAAAAGTTACTACGTAATATTCAATATAATTTTTTCAGTATAACACTATGAAACAAATAAAATCTATACTAATCATCAACTGGGATATTAGCAACGATTGCCTGTGTACTAACTAATATCTTGTTTTTCTAGTTGTTAATAAATACCAAACGAATTCTATGTATTCAGTTTTAATTAGTCTATTAGTCCAAATGACAGAATATCGTATGGATTATATCCAGATAATACTCACTTGAAAGCAATTAACAGGTGACTTTTTATCTATAGATCCCTGACTACAACGCTTTGTGGTATCAGTTTGAATTACACCAGATCACCAGTTCAATCATAGTCACAAATACGCCTCTTCGTTTGACTAGTACTTGCTAGCACAAATCTTAAGTTCTATGGATTTTTGCTGATTAATAGCCAGACCATTTTATTCAAACAAATGGGTCATGTTAAACGTACAAATCTACTTAACATCTCTAATTTTTCACTGTTAAATTGAAACGATAAACGAACAAAAGTAAGATGAAACTTCAACAGTTGAATTAACATTATTTTAGACTGTAGCTGAAAGCATCTATTGTCTTCATCTTTAATTTTGATTTTTTAAAATATGTAAATGATTTTTGAGAACATGTATTTGATAAGTTGATATAATTATTCACATTTTACATAACTATTTCTCAAGTTATTATTTTTCCTATTTCCAACTATAGTCAAATAGCGAAAAACTCTACTCTCTGGAAAAATTAGCCTGTACGCTTGAAGTTCCAATAACACAGAGAAGAAAACAAATGACAACATCGACGGAGACAACAACAGTGGTTACACATGATGACGGTCGTAGTGGTCGTAGATTAATTGAATTAGACGATGTCACATCTCGTTATTCAGAATTAGTTAAACGTGCTCAAGTGGTTGTTAAACAAACGGATTCTTGTAGAGACTTATTTAATAAATTAATGTCTAATGTTAGTTCAACTAGTGAATGGATCAAGCAATTGGAGCAGAATATTTCAAATTATGCCAATCTCTCTGGAGATAGACATGTTTTACAAACTAGACTTGAATTAGTGAAAGTAGGTAACCAAATTCCTTTTCTTTTTTGTTGTAGGCGAAATATTTTATATATATTGTTTATTACAGAAACACAATCTTTCCATCTAGTTTAATAATATGCTCGCTTTAAATTCATTTGTTTTTTCTCCCATCTTCAAGAAAAGACTTGTAAGTTGTTGTTAATTATATATTATCACCTTTCTCTGTTGTCATGATTGTTGTTGAGTTTTGTTTTATTGAATCTAGTTGAGTTGTGATGAACTGTATTTCTTACAATTGGTTAAGTAACTTTTGGAATGTGATTTGGTCTTCGTAGTATGTCGATACATAATGTGCGTGTATGATGTGTTCTTCAACCTCATTTGTATGTTTATGAATATGTTTAAAACCATAATATTATCAAATTGTACTGGCTAACTGCATAAAAGTTACTAGAATCTATGATAATACTTCATAAATTTCAATGTAAAAGTTTGTGGAACACAGTATAATGTCCAGTTAGTGAATAAAAAAGATACACTATTGAGAATTGATTTTCACCATATATCATCAACAGAATTGTTTTGTCCCCGTAAATTAAAGGATAGAAAATAATTCTATTGTATCTAACGGTTCTAAATTTTTATTCTTGTTCACATTTTAATGTGACATATATCACTATGTTTAGACTTTTGTTTATAGAACATCCAAACATTTTTGATGACTGATCATCCAATCTGGATTATAACAGGTTTATCCATAGGATCAATTTCAAAGTCTAATTTACGTAGGATTCTTTTAGCCTTTATTATGCGTATCTGATTTGATTTTTTTAAAATTATCACAAAAAAATGTAAGTAGTCTCAAATAGTGGATACCGCAAAGAAAATCTGCAAATCATTAAAAACTGAATCTTTGAAATCATATCCCCTTTAATCGATTTCACAATTTCCAATGTATATGTTTAGTTTGTTGTTTTTTTTCTACCGAACATTTAGTCCATTCGTTATTTCTTTTTTCTTTATGTTGTTGGTCTCATTATTCTATTTTATCCTGTAAAACAAATTAGTGACATCACTTCATATGTTTTTATAAGTGAAGTGAATAATTTTGATGAAGTTATGTTATTTGAGCTAGGCAGATGAATAGCATGACTTCCATTGTCTTCCTATATACAAGATCATTCGTCAGCGTAAAATCCAGGAAGTGATCTCTTTTTCTTTCTTCTTCAGAGAATTCAATTTCATCAAAATTATTCTAGATTATGTTTTATTTTGTTGTTGGTCAAACGACGTTCTAACTGATACACCGGCATGTGTTTGAATTTCACCTATAACCAATGTTGTTGTACATAGAAATCTTTTAAATTTCCTACCATTATTGTTGTATTATAGTCAATTTTCTTTTTATAATCACTGATTTTCATCCATTCCTATATCCTTCGGAAAATTTATTAAGCTTTGTTTTTTTCCTTGTAAACTTTTTTATGAAAACAGGATTTAAACTTATTAGACAAAGAAGCTAACGATCGTTTCACTGATATGAATAAATATGCTATGAATTGTTTTCAACAATATATACCTAATAATCATGAGAGTTTGGAATTAATTGAAATTACTGACGGTGACAAATCTCAGCAACTTTACGAGAGCTTTTTAACCATACCTATGTATTGTGTTAAACTGTATAAAATGTGGTTTGATTGTCGTGAAAGAATTGAATTTATCACTAAATCTTTGTCAGATTCTATAGAAACATGGCAGGTATTTGAAGTAACATGTGATACTTTACAATTTACTTGTCGTCGTATTGAAAATTGGTTGAAAGAACAGTCTACTTGGCTTGTAGATGAACCGGAACAAATTAACGAGAAATTGGAATTACTACAACTTATTAATGATAGGTTGGAGGTGAAATTTAGCATAGACGCTCCCAAATACTGTGAATCATCTAGTAACAGTCTGTCAAGTTGTCGACATGAACAACAACGAATTTTAGAATTGCTGGATGAGTCATCATCACAAGTTGATCTTTTAAATTCCACTCTAAAACGTTTACCTAATCACCATCATCAGCTGTGCTCTGAAGATTCAGCAACTCTGGATGAAAAAAACTTGGATAATGTGCATACAATAACAACAACGGTAGAAATGAATACTGACTCGTATGATTTAGCTTTGAATTGCATAAAAAATCTCATGGTCACATTTAATTATTTACAGAAAATAACCAGAGAAATGTCAGATCTTTGGAATACTCGTTTAAAACTTTTCACAGAATGGAATTCCAAAATACAGAATGCAGAAACTAATTTGTCGAAGTTATGTTTGCGTATGGAAAAAATAAAAGAACAATTTAGTCCTTTTAGTGAAGAGTTAGAAAAGTCAACAATAATTTCTGACGAAGATGATAATAGCGGATCTTTTAAAACTATTGAAGAAAATTTGATGTTAGTAGATGATATTATGAAAGGGCGTGAAGTGATCGGTGCTGAGTTTACTGAGTTACGCAGTCGTCTATGTAATTTATCTACTTTCATGAATCACAATGGTCATAATGATCGACAACAAAGAATGGGAGATCTACAGCGTAATTGGGAAGAATTAGGTAATAATCTATTGAATTTACAACGAAATCTTGAACACAAAACTACAATTTGGACTGACTTAATCTTACAAGTGACAAATATATTCAATTGGTTTAATGAATTTAGTGGGCGTATGAAAGTATGGCATGAATCTTGTCCATGGCTGTCGATGAATACACCTACTGAACTTTCCGACATTTTATCACCGAATACTTCAAAAGATTCTTCAAAGACTTCAATAATTTTAAATGAACTCAAACGCCATTCAAAAGATACTAGTAAATTTCTTACACAATGTCAGTCTAATGTGAATTTAGCTCGCGCACAACATTCGAAATTGTTATACTTCCAATCAGAATTAAATAGTTCTCAGCGTCAGTGTACCGAAATTCAATCTGATGCCTACAATCAATTGTGCAGTATGATGAATGAATCTATTGAAACAAGTAATCAGATTGAAAATCATCTAGATACCACAATATCGATTGGGAACAAGTTCAAAACGAATTTGAATCAATTTACCAAGAACTATGAGACCTGTTTGTCTTGTATCAATCATATCAAGACAGAATTCGATCAATCCATAAGTTCCATACCAAAATGTGATGTATTGATGAAGTCTGAGGAAGAAAATCGAGAAGTCCAATCGCTAATTAAATTACGCTGTCTTATTTTAAATAATCTAGTTGAACAAATCGGTGATGCTAAACAGCTAAATGATTTATTAATTGATACATTGAATGAAAAGGTAGTAGATGTGAATGGCCAAGTTGCAGAAAAAAATAAAAGTTCAGATCAACATGATCAAAATAAAGATGGACAAAATCTTATTCAGAATTTAGAAGAACTTTTAAAAGAAGCCATTGATCTTGACTCTTTTTATCATTTAGATGATATTAATAAATCAACATCGAATGATGTGCAACATTATGCCTATTGCATTGCAAGATATTTAATTTATGAATCAATACAATTACGAGAAATGGTATCACATAAATTAATTACAATTACAAATGAAACAGAAGAACAATTGAAGCTAGATTCTATGTTAAATTATTTTGAACAACAGTTGATGAAATTTCAAGATGAAATGAATCAAATTGTAGTTAATTTATCAGTTTATCGTTCAAAGTCATTTGATGATAACGGTGATACTGTCATCACATCATTGAAATCTTCAAGTTTAAATGTTGACAATTCTACTGCTTTGTATTGGTTTCATTTGAGACAATCAGTAGATAATTGTGAAAATCGAATAAATCAATTGGATAATTGTTTACAATGTATGATTGATATAGGTAAAGATCACCTATTGAAAATTGAACAAGATTTAAACAATTATTATCATCGAATCGGAAAGTTGGATTTAAAATTTTCGCATCGTTTTAATGAACTGAAAACAAAATATGAAATTAATCTAAATAAAATGAGAAAATTGAAAAATCAATTCAGTAAAGAGATGGAATCTTGGCAACAGTTTATAACAAATTTAGAAAAAGCCGAAAATTGGTTAACTATAAATGAATCACTTAGTAAAAAAGTACTTTATGTCGTGACAACAGATGATAACAAACAACCAGATGGGGTCCAGCAAACAATTACCGAAACCATTCATACTAGTTGTATCAATCCAAATATGTCCGAACAAGAGATTAAAGCAGCCAATGATAAAGAGGTACTTTCGAAACAATTGACAAATTTAGAACAATTGGAAATCGATTTAAAGGAGCATGGAATTGAATTGCGAGAACAAACTGAACAATCAGCACGTTGTTTATTATTTAATCTTATTCCTAATTCTGTGAATTTAATTAAAGATAAACAGTACAAGTTGAATAGAAAATCTGAAATTATTGATTATATTAATTTGGCTATTGAAAATCTATTTAATCGTTATAATGAATATAAAATCAGTTTACAGATGATACATTCTAATCTTAGTGAGAAATATTTATGCTGGTCCAAATTAGATAGTAATTTGGAACAAGTGAATCGTTGGCTACATACAATTGAATTACAATTAAACACTATGGAAATGGAAACGAACTCATTGTCTACCATATTGATTAATGATATATCAGTGCATAAAACAGATGAATATTTTGCAGTACACCAATTAAATGCATGGTCTAATTCAAAGTTATGCATTTTAACAAATTTAATGGATGAAATGCGTAGATATAGCGAAACAGAATTAATTCAATTGAAAGAACTTGTACATGCCCAAAACTCTATTGATGAAGTGTTTAAAGAATATTGCAAGGATGGTAATACTTCAGATGATGTAGTCATTTCATTAGGACAAGATGCTTCTAAACGATTGAATGATATATTGGAACAACATCATAAGTTAAAAAGTCGTTTAGAATCTTTAATTCATTTGAATCATGTTATTCTTAATTTGTGCGAAAGATTTGTTCGTAAACGATGTGAAATATTCCAATGGCTAATTAGTCAACGTCGTGAACTAGAGGGTTTAATAAATCAAACTGAGACATATGTCTCACAAACTAGTCTCCTATCATCATCTCATGTTTCATTAAACGATGAAGTTACCAAATTAAGCAAATTATTTCACAAAACTACATGTGATTTAGAAGCGTTTAAGGCATCTGTTTCAATAAAATATGAAGAACGTCTAACTGATGTTATTAAACTTATCGAAGAATTGGGTCAAATGACTCCGTTAAGAATGGAACCAGCTGAAACTTACATTATTGATATAAAAAGAGATGTTACAGAATTTTTCAATCAAGTTACCGATAAACTAGAACATTTTCGTGTTTGGAATGATAAATGGTCAAACTTTTCAAATGATTGTAGCTCTTTAACTCAATGGATTAGTGAACAAGAATCATTTATCATCTCAACATTGAACTCTCAGTCTACCATTGAATCAGAAGATTCTTCCTTCCAAATCACTAGTTCCGACGTAGTTGAAAAAGAATTGAATCAACTAACCAGTCAAGTTGATCGTAATCGCCAACTCAGAATCATTTTGATTGGTCATCAACCGGCGATGGAATCATTGGTTGTAAAAGCTCAAAGTTTAATCAAGTCCAGAATGTTCTCAAGTAGTGCCTATGTGGGCGATGTTGGTAAATCAAAAGCGTCTGATATGTCTGACAAGTCATTGTTCGCGAGTAATATGCCTGTCGGTAATATAGCAATGAATATGGCCACCTATATAATGCAAAGATATCAAACGTTGATTAGTATATGTGACAGTCGATCTGAAACATCTCAAAGTGCACAAAAAATGGTTGAAGAATTATTAAATTCATGCCAAAACTATGATCATTGGGCTTGTGAATTTCGAATCAAATTGTCTGATGTAGATTTTATGCTGAATTCATATGATTCTCATTCCATCCCCTTACAAGAATCAGATAGATATTCATCAATTCGGTTATCTATAGTTGATCTAGAAACTAGAATTGAATCAGGTGAGAGTTTTGTTCAACTTATTAAAGATTGGACAGATCATTATATGACAGAATTATTAGTTCAGGTTAACCAGCGACGTTCAGAACTCGAAACTCTAAGCCGTTTAGCTAAGATAAGCAATGAAAATTCCGATCATGACAATGAGTTATTGCATTGTGATGGCAAACTGAAGAGCGTTACAAGTTATGCTGAGACGGATTACCAAGTACTTAAGGAGATGGTTCGGTCATTACGTAATCGGTTTGAAAAAATCATCCAAAATGTTAATCAACGAAGTTTATCACGAGACAAATTCACCGCATGGATTGATACTACCGAAAGTCAATTGGATTTGATTAATACCCATATGAATCTGTCTGGTTTGTCCAAGATCATTTTGGAAGCACCCATGGATGATTTTGACAGATTGATAGAAAAGGTTATAAATTATATGCTTACCGCTTCAGAATCAATCACTCAGTTAACTGCAGACATTAGAAAACAAGGTGCAGAGATTAAGAATTCAGACTATACCGATGAAAATTTACGAAATCGTTTTGATCAATTGACTGAAAATATTCATTCAACTCATCAAGATATTTCATGTTGTTTAAAATTGTTCCATCAGTTTCAAAATGAAGTACAAAACTTCTCCAGTTGGATATCAGATTGCGAAAATAAATTTATTCGTCTATCCGATGGTGATTCGAATCAACTGGCAATGTTCCTTCAGTCAAACAGTTCAATAATGATCATGAATGATAGTGATAATGATACTGAACAAATCATGCATCAACTAGATATTTCTTGTCGAAGTTCAATATGTCAGCTTACTGAAGCTAAACACAAGTTATTGATTATAAAAGAAATTAGCTCATCTCTTGAGAATCGAGGTCACCAGTTGAACAAACAATTAATTGAATCTGGTGAACAGTTAACTAGCAAGTTGAAAATCCTGGAAGAGTATTCCATGGGGGGAGTTCAAGCTAGGTCCGTTGGAAGGGAAGATGTTGGAAGATCCCTTAGCACATTAGAATCATCAGATCGTTTAAGCGTAATCATTCAAAATTATATAGATCAATTACAATGTCGTTTAATCAGATTGGACAAAATTCAAGCTGTTTTCACTATCAATTTAACTGAGTTAGTAGATTGTTGGTCTGATTGGAAAAATAGTTTTGATAGACTAATTGATTGGTTAAATGGAACTGCTACAAATCTAAGGCGCCCAATTTTCCATTCACTCGATTCTTTATCAACTAAACAACAATTGGCTAACAGTTTGAAGGTAAGTCACAGTTTTTCGAAATAAATAGTCAAAAATAAACATACATTTGGATTCCCAACGATTCCTCTGATCGTTCATTAAAAATAAAAATCGTTGCTTACTTCGTAAGATTTTCATCGCTCCACCTTATTTTTGGGGGATGAGTGTAATATTTCTTTCCATATGAGTAAAATATATTTGTTAAATGTAAGCATCTGATCATACATGTTTTCGAAGCATTACTCGCGTATTATGAAACGGTGGAATGATCAATACTACTGTTTTGGGTAAATGTGTCAAATTGGTTGATGAGGCTGAGTGTATTTTCGACTGCCCTGGTATGGCCGAGAGTGGGGTGGGCCCGCCCTCCCTCTCAAAATGCTCTCACACGGTCACGCGTATACAGCCTCTTCCAGGGAAGTTCTACTCATTGCCTTCTCGTGGCAGGGGTGTTGTTTACGAAAATAAGATGACGAAAAGCGAATGTCCGGCGCTTTAACCGGATCCCAAACCAATGGTGCACATGGACTCCAGTATCCTGCGGGAACTAATGGCGTATGAATCAATCGTTGGTCACCGGCTACCATGGGAATGCATCTCCTCACGATGTTCCACTGTCTTATGGGTCAAACCTTTAGGTCAAAGGCTCGGGGTGTGGTCCCCTAAGAAAACCACTTGTTTCGGTCTGGGAATTGGGACAGTATCACAACTCACACACACACACACAAATATGGTGTGGCGCATATATATTTGGTGCCCTCATATACCAATATTTATGTGTTGAAATAAAATAAAATAAAATAAGAAATAGTAATTGTACCTGTTATCCATGTTTATTCAGTAATTAGTTTAACATGTAATGCTTGGTATAATCGACGAGTAGGTTGGGAAAAGATATCAGTCAATAAAGTCATTAACTGTTAATCTTAGGTATTTGCTTTAGTCTTTCGAATTTGAATCAGCATGATTTTTATAATTTTTAAAAGATATTCCTGGGTAAGGTTTCAATACTTACAATTTTAAAATGGTTATTGCTCCTTTGTTTATTTTTATCAATTAATTAAATGCATTTTTTGAAGAAAATCGTGTTTATTATTTGTTTTGTCAGTATAAAGTTGTGAAGATTGTTGACTTTCACTGGGATCACTAACCGATCAAAGTTGAACAACCATCGTGGATAGATTGAAATTAAACTTGCACACCATTGGATCGTGCTTCAGTGGTTGCAAAATTTAAGTGTTCCAGCTCGTTACCGTAGGTATTGGGTTTAATTATCACTTTCGTGGTCGTGGATGTGTACTGCTTAGGTGTGTCTTACTAGGATGGAGCGGCCATCCAGTGCTTCCAGGTTTTCATTAGTTTTATAACTTTGATCAGTTCGTGATCTCAATGAAATTATTTGTTCGTCAACCTAGTAAATTATCAGTCATCATTTTCGAATCCCCCCTCTGTTTTTTTCTTTAATATACTTTGAATAGGCATTTTATCAAGATTGTGTTGGAAAGAAAGCGGATTTTGATATGTGCTTGTTAAAAGCTAATCATTTGAAAAGTTTGGCATCAAGTTGTAATTTACCTGATCAAAGTGAACAATTATTTGAACAATATAGGAATACATTGGATACAGCATATGTAAGCATGATTTTGCTTGTTTCAATTTTGTTCTGATGGGATCTGTTAAAGATCTGCTTCAAACCATTTTTATCTGTACACTGGTATAAACGAAATCCGTTTTTAAAATCAAGCAATATATATACTGGTGACACCTACTATAATGTCGATAGAATTAGTGCATTTAATGGAAAATGAAAGTTGTATTAAAATATAACAAGTAATCAGTCTGTTGTAAAGTTAGTGAAATGAATAGTTCAAAGCTTTCAACATTATTATAAAATGCTCCTTGAAATAGTACTGGGAGATTTGGGTTGCTTTTTCCTATATGTGTATTCATTTATTTTTCAGAAGTTACAGAATTACAGTAAATATTAATTTTTCCATGTTTCTCCACGTCTTTTTTTAAAGGCCGCGTTACAACAAATGCAAAATGCAGTTGAAATTCATGAACAATTCGATCAAGTTGTATCTCGTATTACTCAATGGCTTGAAAGTTTGACTTCAAAGCTCAATAATCTGTCTGTTAATGACAATACTGATCGTGTTGGATTAGAGCAAAATTTACTGACCTGTCAAGTATTTCCTTATTGTTTGTATTTTTTCCTCATTTTATGAATAAATAGGGATTCTGGAGTGTTGCTAAGTTTCTTCAACGCCAATAATTGTAGTTTTTTCTAACATTATGTCATGTCCATGTTTCTTCTGTTGTGTCCGTGATCTTACTGCTTATGCTTGACTATAAGGAACCGCTGTAATTCTCATGGCACAAAGTGAAAACAACAAATTCTCTCATTTTAAAACATGAAGACTGATAAAATGAAGATTTATTGATTCTAAAACATACGTCATCTCAACAAGTCATCCAAAAATATTCTTATTATTCCATAATGAACTTATTTATACTATAGATAAGGAAAAATACATAGAGTTACTACTAACACACATATTGAATGTAGTTCGAAGAGAAATATTAATGTTACACTAGAAAAAAACATTTCATATTTCTCGTATTGAACAAAGTTCAAATTAAATTAATACAAGAAATATTGACTTAAAATAATATTACACTAAACAAGAATTGACATTTATCACCTTGGATACAAATTTTTTAATGAATTGATATGAAACATATTGACACCTTTTTATCCGTCATATTATTATGTTTCTGTTTATTTTTTCTTTATGTGATTAATTAATGTGAATTTTTTCAAGTTAGAATAGTGTAGGACAACTGAATGTTGGACAGTATGATACAAATTAATAATAAAACCATAAATATATAGTACAAACTTTCATGCCCCAAAAGGATTCATAAAACCTGAACACTTACTGACAAGATAGATTGTTATTTTTTGACTGAAAAATTGAAATTTACAGTAATAATGATAATAGTAGTCTATGAGGAAGCTTATAATGAGACTGCATATAAATATCATAAGTCAACCATTTTATAGTAAATACTTATGAAAAACAATAAATCAATGGACTATTGCAAAATTACTCATTTTTCATATTTTCCTTTCACACTTCGTCCTAATCATGATCCATTGAGTGAATAAAGTTACCGTTAATCTTGTATCTGAATGGTATTTAAAGTAGAAATGTAAATCATTACATACCAACTCAATGGTGTAAAAGTTAGGTGCTGATTGTAAGTTTTTTATTCGATCTCCAGTAGAGTCATGAATATTAGCACTGCCGATTAGTCGGTCCGTCCCTTGCTAGCACAAAACATCGTTGGTTTTTAAAGTTTTTAAGAATTATGTGACTAAAGTCATTTCGTGATGGGAATCGTAAAATTAAACACGGTATTATTACTAGCCAGTCAGAATGCATATGACGTGGTATACAGTGACGTTGTTGTATGTACTATTTATGCAGTCAGACATAAATAGTATGTAGCAAGAATTGGAAGTGGAATGCCTGCCAACAGAAGAATGAAATAAAGAGAAGAGGAAGGAAAACAGAGAACAATCGGAGTAACATCGGGATCGGAAGAATAGTGAAGTATGTAAACGAAAACTGGAAAAGGATATGCAAATGATTTACTCATTGTATGGTCTTCATATTTTCATAAGACATTCTGATCTTGCACCTAACAAACAATTGGTTTTCCTCAAGTCTTTGTTCTCTATAGCGGTAATGAAAGCAAGATACTGGAGACCTAAACTTAGCTAATTGTGCATACACTAGAAGAAACTTTACATCATTTGCCATGTTTAGTTGATATCACTGTTATGAAAAGTTGAATCGTCGAATGAAATTCGTTTAACGTTAGCTTACTATAAAGTAGGTCATTTAAATACTGACATATCTTAAACTGTAAGATAGTTATAAGCAGAGATGGATAGTGGCTAGCAGTGGAATCCAGGACGCGCGTTTCGTCCTGTTTGGGACTCGTCAGCTGGATGTACCTGCATCTCAGAGTTGATGTTCACTCTGGGACTCGAACTCAGTACCGTTCGCTTCAAACGCCATCGCGTTATCCACTTAGCTACTGAGTCCTGATAGCCACTTGCTTGTGCAATGGGGTGAAGTTTAATTCACTTGGTATTGTTTTATTTGAATCAATGGGAAGATTCAAATAAAACAATACCAAGTGAATGTAAGATAGTTATTTATATAAGATACACATTCATTTTTGTCATACATGGTGCCAAGTTTATGGAGTCGATTTCAAGAAATATTATTTTTAGTTTCTTGAAACAGTGCTCCAAACCACATGATGTAGCTTTCGGTGTTCAAACCCTATGTCAAATCAACCAATAGGCATCACTATTTATAATTACTGAATCTCGTTCTGTGCCTCGGAAACCCATCTACGGGATCCACTTGACCCTCATTTAGCTAATATAAAGATCCGATGTAATTAAATATTCGTCTCTCTGCAGACTCGATTTCAATATTAACTGGAGAACCCTAGCAAACCAGTAATGTGTATTAGAAATGTTTGCAGAGACTAAACCGAAAACCTTCATACATTGTAAGTACTTGAAGTTCGATAGATTTCCAACTGAAGTCAGTATCTAATGAAAACTTACTTAATAAATCTTTATATACCTCTCCAACTTTAAAAGAGATAATATGTTCAATATGATAAAGAATGAAGTGGCTAAGACATGTATGATGTGTGCCTAACTACCCGCGATGTCAACCGGTGTAGAAGTAGGTCCGAAACGTTGGATGACATATCTCTGAATCGGTTGCAGTTCAAAAGATCCACTCATTATTTATCTTCCTAGATTTTATATTTCTGATGATTAACTGACTTACCGACTGGTGATATAACATATCTATTCAATTCACTTAGAAATCCACAAAGAGATGTTAAACATTTTTTTCTCCTAGAATCTTTCAGAAACTATCAAATGTCAATCAGAAACTTATATTTCTCAATTAGTTGAATTGGCCGATCAAGTTTGCCGTACAACTGATGCAATGACAAATAAAGAAATATTAGATAAGGTCGATGTATTTCGTCAATTAATTCGTCAAAATATACAACAGTTAACTGATATTCAATTAAGCATTGAATTAAAATTAAATATAATAAATGATTGGGAAAATGTAAAATCTGTCATTGTCAATATTTTGAATTCAATATCACAAACTATACTAACAGTTTTATTGGAAGAGAAAACATCTATAGAACAAATTCAACCAATGACATCAACTGTTTTACTAACTATAAAAGAGGAAACTTTAAAAAAATTTGACGTAAGTGGTAATTTAATTCATGTAATATAAACTATAACATAAGCAAAGATGGATGGTTGCTAGCAGTGGAGTATAGGACGCGCGTTTAGTCCTATTTGGATGGGACTTGTCAGTTGGATGTACCTGCATCCCAGAGTTGATGCTCATTCCGTGACTAGAACCCAGTATATTATATAATATTTTGTAGTTAACTTATGTAATTTATCATGACTATACATTTTCAAATTGAGATCATTTAACTGCTGACTTTAATTGCACTGACTATGTTGCATTAAGAGTTAACAAGAGTTGGAAAAAAAAAAGAATCCCAAGGAACATAATTCAATGGTATTAAGGTATTGTGGTCTCCCAATGAAAAGTGAAGTTCTTTTCGAGTGTTTAAGGTAATCAATGGTTTCGTACATTTGAACCACTCCCCTGTTGTATACCTAAACATGGTACCGATTTTTTTTGGGGGGGGGATCGATAATCCTCTCGTAAACGACCAATTTATACCTGAGATTTATCTTTAAATTACTAGAATTCTTCACGAAACAACCGTTTTTTTCGTTTTATCATACTTCTTAATTTTTTTCTACAATTCATTTGATAAAACATCTGGCTAAAGTATATTCTCTTTTAATCTTCGGACTTTTCTTCTATAGAATGTCAAGCAAGAACTGGAACCAGTTCAATTAAAAATTGATGAATTAAAGAAATGTACAGAGAAATATATCGAATTTGAGCATAAATTAAATGTCATGCAACAAGTTGATCAACTATTTGATAAATACTCTAAAATGCAAAAGGAAGTTGAAGTGAGTTAATTGTTATGTTCATTTGTTTGCTATATATATATCATTCAGCCAATTTGTACAGTTAATGAAATTTTTACTGGAAGTTCTTAAAGAATGTATAAATGTTCCTAGTTATAAGCGATAGGAAAGCATTGATTATCATCTGTGTATAAACAGATTCAGATTTGTCTATTGAGAAGTGAAAGCCTACGGCATATGTTATTTTTTTCTAGTAAGATTCTGAGAGGGACTAGGTTTCTCTTGTGCGAGTCAGTTGAAGGAGCGGACGCCATTTCTTTGGGTGACAGGCTCCAAGAATTGGCTTGTTTACTCGCCTGCTATATCCTCTGAACTATTCGGATCTGGGAGGAAGAAAAGAGAGGATATATCATGTCCAAAATAATTTCTTAGTATTCTGTAATAACAAAATCAACTTCTCAGACCACAGTCTGTACGGTAAAATTCGGAGTTCTGGAATTGCACGGATAACTGCTCTCTATACTTTTCCAAGATATCTCGGTCACCTTTTAAACAAGGGATAGCAGCCTGAACGTAGTTTTCAAGTTTGTATCTCACTAAGATTGTTTCAGTTTGAGTAGTCATTTACTAAATTATAGATCTTAACACGAGCAGTGTAACTCAAAACCGAGAACATAAAATTGCATTTGGTGACTGTGCTACATTAGCTCATCTAAATACAGACATTAAAGGAAGTAGGAAGAATATTGGGGTGACAGTGAGTCATGATCTTAAGACGACGGGCTACTGCCGTGAGGTTGCAGTTAAGGAGATAAGGACCCTATGTGTTTTAAGATGGACATTTACTAAGTCAGATAATAATATATGTAATTTACTAAATGACTACTCAAACTGAAATAGTTGTGATGTTCAAATCTATAGCCTATTGGTTGAAAATTATGTACATAAACCGTTAACCTACCATTTGAATGGCTAACTTTTATTGAATTGTACACACAAAATGTAACAAATTCATTCCTATTTTAATCGTTCACACATTTCAGATCTGTTTAGTTAAAACTAACAAAGAATTACAAAATCTTCGTACATTTCATACAAAAATTGATGAATCCAAAAATTGGATACTACAAATCTCTTTAAAATTAATGGCTATTCATGCTACCGATCCGGATGGACCAAAAGGTGTTATACGTTTAGGACAAGCAGAAAATGAATTACGTAAACGTCTCATTACATATCGTGAAGAAAATTTAAAAGAATTAAAATTATTTATTGCAAATTGTCCATCAGAAAAAGATTTAATCATTGAAACAGATCGTGTGATACAATCATTATTTCAAACACCTAGTGGTGTATCAATTACAGTTGCTGAACAAATTATAGAGAATATGAATAGAATAAATGATCCTATTTTATCGGAAAAAATTGGGGACAAAAACGAACAGAAACATTTGTTAATTGAAGAAGATAACAAAAGCACTTCTAGTCAAATACATCTTGCAAATGATTACAACACTGGTCATTCTAAAACTTGGGCAGAATTATTCTCATTAGAAGTTGTTCAATTAGAGTCAAGTTGTGAAAATTTAGAAATTATGTGTAAACGTATCAAAGTGAGTTTTATCTATCTGTTTATTATTATTATTATTATTATTATTATTATTATTATTATTATTATTACCATAGAATAAGTTCATCTATTCAAACGAAACAATCAGGTACCACCTGAAATCTCGAAAACAGAAGATAAGATTTGTGTTAACTTACTAAATATTTACAAAACACGTATTATAAAGTATTCATGTTACATTTACATTACCAAGTTTCCTTTTCAAAGATTTCATGTCATCCAATTAAGTGAATGACAATTAAACTATAACAACAGACGACCTTCAAACGAAAATATAAGTGTTCAACGAAAATAAACTAAACACTTTGTTTCTTAATTCACTAATCCGTACAAAATGTATAAAGTAGTGAGATGGAGATTGTTTGTAAGTTCGATTGATAATTATGGAGTGTTGTTTACTTTAAATTGTTAAAATAGTAGTACGACCATGACCTCATTATTGATCGATCCTAAGACCTCAGCATCTTGTCTTACTTACTTACTTACGCCTGTTACTCCCAATGGAGCATAGACCACCGACCAGCATTCTCCAACCCACTCTGTCCTGGGCCTTCCTTTCTAGTCCTATCCAATTCTTGTTCATTTTTCTCATGTCTATTTCCATTTCCCAGCGTAATGTGTTCTTTGGTCTTCCTCTTTTCCTTTGGCCTTGAGGGTTCCATGTGAGGGCTTGTCTTGTGACGCAATTGGATGCTTTCCTCAATGTGTGGAAATCATCTAGTCTAAGGTATATTAATTTCACAACGCTAAGTCGTCATCGAATGGTCTCTATACTACTAGTTCCATTCGATGCACAAAATTGCGCGATCATGACTCTACGCGTTTCTCTTTAATTGATATCAATGTAAAGTGAGAGTTATTCCCTGAATTTCTCTTGTTTTTCAGCACTATTCTCATTAAACACTTTGATAAGCAGTCAGTTGTTGCTTATGTGCTCAATGACACTGATTTATTTTTCACAAAAAAAGTCTTACCATTCATGTCGTTGCAGAAATCTTCTGTCGATGATTTCCAACAAACCTGAAACCCTTGATTTTGTAACATTTTTCCTTCTAGTTGTCTTCAAATGATAAACGACCATACTCAGATCAAATCATCATAAGTCAGTTTATTTAAGCAAAGTAATTTTATCTCATCTCTTTACAGGATAGACTAATGGAACAACAAAAACGGTGGGCTAAATTTGTTTCACTTCTTATCCAGATTGATAAATTTTTACGCATAGAACTTTCTAAATGGTGGTTCACAAATTCGAAAAAATTTATCAATAATACTGATAGTACAGTGGCTACTATTGATGGTAACGCTGATGATAGTGATAAGTGTGATGTTGATAATCATGACGATGATGATGTATCAATCAATGATGATAAATCACTTCAATCTGAAACTTCAAAAGAAGTAGAATTAGTATTTTATGAAGAAAATGTACTACTTCAAAAAAATGAACAACAAACTAAAAAGCCAAAATCATCATCAACAATAACTTCCCCATCTATACAAGAATTATTAGCTCAAATAACAAATGTTAAAGCTATGCACGCTAAAATACAAGTAAGTTATTGTCAACATATATTAGTAACTGTATTATTCTTTTTAGATATTTTTCAAAGCCTAAAGATTTACTCTGTAGACTAGTCTGGCTATCTAATATACTAGGCCAATCAGATATAAGCCAGATAATAAATAGGAGCTATTTGCCAATATTTGGTTTCTTTTTTTATGGAGTCCGACGCATACTATTGGTTAAAAATGTGACTTGATATTCCAATGGACGAATATATATATAATTGATATAACTCGGCTTTTGTGGTGTTGTATAAAAGTGTAAAAGGGTGTATACTAAGGTTTATTGAAGCCTTAGCCATACGAAAATTCAAACCTCCTTTGTGTATTCAAAAACAGTTTGTTCGCACATTACTTAAACCCACCCTGGTAATATTAGCTTATTATCCAGAGTGATGAGGCTCTAAGTTGTTTTCACATTATTTCTTCATTATTCTTGTCTCCTCTTATCCTCCATTTCTAGTCTAGTTGACCTTTTATTTTTATATCTAAATGTTCGTAACAAGTATATTATGTGTGATCAGATTATTCAAAATGTATTGCGCTAATATATCACACAGTTCTGATAATCTTCGTCTTCCTATTATTGCACTATCGTAATAATTCTTAGTAAATTGAAACATTTATTTAAACGCATGTGACATGATTTGATGTGATCAGGGCTTAATAAATTGTTATCAGTACGAATGTTCATGAAACTTCACGCTAGATTATCACAGTGAAATTCTTACTGGTTACTTAATGCAAGTGAATGATAATGAAGTATACAATACACTAACTCAGGGTTTTGTGGCTTACATTTTGTGTAGTAGTTGGTGATATTACATATATCTGTCCACAAAAATTTAGTGGCAGAAAGTCGATTGTTTTAATTACAAATCCCCCTATATTATGATAACTCATCTCCGTTTTTCATAAAAGCTTTTGATGTGTTTTTATCATTCAAAGAACGATCAAGAGTTTTGGGTAACTGATTTAATTCTACAATCAACTTGAACTAATCCACTCAATTATTTTTCGACGATACACAGCCTTTGCATGTAAAAATGTAAGTAAGTAATAAGCTAGGAAGTTTTGAGCGTATCGTTATTAGAATTAGATAATCCATAAACGATAATCAAAACATGTGTTAACAATTCCAAGTAAATGTTTTGATGATCAAAACAAATCAAACTCTTCTTCATGTAAATATTTCTTTAGATTTATCTACAAGAGTTGTCAGCTGTTAAGCATCGATGCTCAACACCACCTCCTCGTCCAACCATATCAACAAGTTTGGTTTCATTGAATAAATATTATAATCCATCGACATTATTAAGTGATTTATTAGATAATAATAATAGTGATAATAATAATAATAAAACCACTCAAAATGTCAATTTCGCTCTATCTATTAATGATTTACCAATTAATAATACTACACCAATTAATTATGAGTTATCCAATATGAATGCGCAAATATCTGAAGAGAAAATGCATGCTTTAAGTGGTTTGGAACTACGTCGAAGAGCCTCCCATATGAATGAACAACTTGAAAAAGAATTAAAACAAGTGAGTTATTGTGTTCCCAAATTCACTGTATTTAACCTTTTCTTTCATAATAGTACTGTTGTTTCAGATAAATTTCTTCTTTTCGATCCATTAATTATTCTAACATGTACTTCATTGTTATGTTGGACCCCTCATACAGTTTATATAATTTTTGTATTCTGCGTCGAACATTACAATAATCAGTCCTAATGGGTTTTATTCCCTGAATCACATCAAAGAATTTTAGACGAACTGTAAACAGAATTATCAAATTATCTTCAGAATTAGTTTACTTGAAGAGTAGTCTAAATATTTTGATGAGATAGTGTATCTTCATCGGTTGGCACAACAGATATATGTGATACGAAAGCCCAAACACTTCGTACATTGAAATAAAATGTTGATCGGAGTAGAAATAATTAGAAGAAAAATTTCAAGACAGTAAAACTAATAAATAACATTAGTTTACGAAGTTATATGATGTTGTACTGAATCATAGTGATAAGTATAGACTATCAGGTTGAAGTTCTCACTACAACCGTGATCACTGGTTGGAGAAGTTCGATGATTATGGCTCAGAAAATCACTAACTCTTATCCTTAAAATACCCATATTTTTTATATTCTCTAAATCCCTTCCTCTCGAATATTAATGTTCTATGTTTATCCTTTTCTACTACTAATGATACTACTTTAACTTGTATTTTTCGTGATAATTTCATCTATCTGCTATCCTGATGTGATGTGGCAGTTTGGATTGATATACATACGTGCCACATTCTACATAGCTTCAGACTGACTGATTAAATCATATTTAAAAGTTCAAGTGATGATATTCATGGTCTAAACATTTTATAATCATCTGTTCATAGTTTTATAATAAATATATTTTTTATTATAAATCAATGAGTAGAAAATTGTATTCTTGATGTTTCGTCACTTAACATAAGCCACTTCTTCAGAACAAATAAATAACCGAAATAAAATTAACACAAGTTTAGACAGTACAAAGGAAACAATGCAGAATATTCTTCGTACAATCAGAATCATAGTAGGTTTGAACATGTCAATGTCACTTTATTTTTGGTCAAAGTGAATTTGTATGACCTTTCACTGTGTTCATTTGTGCTTCAGAATGTTGGTATGAAAAATGTGTGTATTTGTAACACGAAGTTGAGGCATTGAAATTGTGTGTAAATATACATAGATTATCTGTTAAATAAATAAGGTCAAATGTAGTTATTTGGATTAACAGTCTAGGTTGGATAAACAGTTAGCCCTTCTTTCCTACTGGACGCAGAGGGATATAACATTATTTGAAACGTTTCAGCTACTCACCTCTTTTTATAGTTGGGAGAACTTTTGCAAATTATTTTAATATTTTTAATATCAGTTTGATAATTATTGAAAATAGCATGTACTGCTATCGGTGACTTGCAGGTTTTCCAATTCTATAAGATCATTAAGTATTTTAGTGTAACTTATGTGTTCGTTGGCACAAGTCGAGATCTCATGGGAAGACTGTCCAGTGTAGAACGCATCACAATCGACACAACCTAATTTGTAGACACAACTTTGTGTAGAAGTGAACGAGATCTTATCTTTTATTCTAAGACGTTTTTTAAAAGTTTTAGTTGACTTATAGGAAGCTTTAATTTTGTACGTTTTCGATATCCGTTGTAATTCTTCTGTCGTACCTTGGCAATAAGGTAAAACTACTGTACCAATCCAAGACCTTTCAATAGGATTGTTATTTACAGAAAGATAGTTTTATTTTAATATATTTGTAATAATATTGTTAGGAAAATTATTAAATCGTAGAATGTTTATTTTATTCTCTTCTTTTTTTTGTTGCTTGTACTCTTTTGAAGTAATCATTTTGGTTAATTTTCTGAAAAGATCCAGGACTAGCGGAAATTTCGCATTTAATGAATTGGTTGAGTTAAAGTCAACATACCGATTTGAATATGTCAGTTCTCGGTATACGCTTAGATTTAGAGTTCTGTGAAAATTTCTTTAAATTAAACAGTTCAAAAATAATAATTCATTATGTTCATCTTCCTTTTCGAAAGTGAATTTAGTGTTTTCTAAGAACGATTTTATCTGTTTAGAGAGGTTTCTGTGAAGAGTCATCTTAATAATAACAAATATGTCATCAATGTATCTGAACCATATATATGGTCTGATGGTACTGGCAGAAATAAGCAAGTCAATATAGGGGATAACAATCAGAGATACTGGAGATCTATTGATTACTCCCTTTGACAGTGAATATTGTTGAATTCAAGCATAGTTTGAGGGATCACATGATTGAACTACTACTTAATAGATGTCTGTTAGATTGAGTATTATCATCTTTTAATAAACCATTATCGAAGTCTAAAGATCTATCTTTTAGAATGCTAATGTATCAAGATACAACATCATAGTTTACCATCGTTTCATTCTTGTTAATAGATAATTCCGAGATTATTGATTTGAATTTGTATAAATCCATTACAATATTAATTAGATTGTATTGATAGAGAATGACTTTAATTTTATATTTCTTAATAATCATCATTTCACTTTTATATTATATTTATTATAGTTAGATAAATATATTGAAAATTTACAAGATTTAAAAATACGATGGGATCAACAACATTTATGTGAAATAGAATTTCTTAATTGGTTACATAATAAACAAACTGAATTCGATCAAATTATTCATTCACAACATAATCTATCTCATAATAGGAAAATACCTTCTAATTCTGAGAATAATAATAATAATAATAATAGTTATTATTATTCACAATTATGTAATTCAATGGATACAGTATGTTTAGAAAATTTACTCAATGAATTAAATTCTAAAAAATCAATTATTAAACAATTAAAATATCAATCAAAATTATTGATTAATAATAATAAATCAATTTATTCACATAATATTCAATTAATTGAACATGATTATAAAATATTTATCAAAAAAATTCAAGAACATCTTAAACATCGTCGTTTACTTACAAATCAAGTTATAGAAGCTACTAAATTAACTGATAAATTACATACGGATTTACATCAAGTTGTAAAACGTTCAATAGGTATTGATATTGTACAATGTTCAATGGATAAGGAACTTAAAAAAATTGGAGTAAGTGATTGATTGTTTATAAATTGATTTAATGGGTTAGTTAATGTAGTAAAGTGTTGTTTGTTTTTAAATAAATTAATGTATAGTATTTTATTTGTATAATTGATGTTGTTACATTATTTATCATTTTGACAAGAATTAAAAGTGTTGTTTACAAATAGTGTGTATGTATAAATAAGTAGTATATTTGTAATATCCCAATGAGTAGAAAAATTAGATTTTCTGACGTTTCGTGGCTTAGTGTAAATCACTTCTTCAAAGAATAAATAACCAAGAAACGTCAGAAAATCTAATTTTTCTACTCATTTGGATATTACAAATATACTATTTATTTCTAACAATCTACCCAATGCTTAATTTATTTGAAATTATCAAATCAAACCTTGGTAATGATACCTATAAAGTGTGTATATATGTTTTCTTTTCGTTGTAAATCTACACATATTATGTAATATGATGCATCATTTTATGTTGTACTCTAATCATTGTTGTTTTAATTCATGTATTATACTTATGTATTTTATGTTACTTGTCCATATTTTGATTGTACGTTTTTCTTTCTTTCTTCATTTCTTTATACATATATGTAAAAAAATATATATACGTATATACTTTTAAGTGGAAACATTCTAATGGAAGATTCAATGATATCAACAAAACATCTAATCAATATAAAATCTCTAAACAACCATCTTTTGGTGTCAGTAATTCAAATTTATTAGTATCAAGTTCAGAGATAAAACAATCTGATCGAGTACCGACACCAATTCCATTGTCAGATGTACAACCTCTATCATCAATTAGTCAATCAGATTTTAATATACATAAACCTTTAGAAATAAATGTGAAAGGGGTAACTGATTGGTTATGGTATTCTGCTTCATCAGTTTTACCTGATTCATCTTTATTACCTATGGATGCTAATGAAACTTGGGAGATGGATCAAATTCCTGCAGTGTCTGATGTTAATGAAGAACAAAATCTAGATAGATCAAGATCATCTTCTAGAATTTCACTGACTATTCAACGACCTTGGAGTGCATTTAGAAAATTTGAACGACAACGTAAACGAGATAGTGTTGCAGAATTCAATGTAAATATATCAAAAGAAACGAAAGCCACATTTAAACATAGACCAAATAAAATATTTAGTCATATAAAACCAATTACAACACAATCTGCAGGAACTTCTTTATGGAGATCTCAATCGGCAAAAGTATTACCTCTTGAAACCAACATAAATAAAATCTCTAGTCAATCAATTTGCAACATTTCAACTGCTATAGATCCGTCCGATGATTCAAATATTATATGCGCTGAAAGATATTCAACACAAAGTCCTATGATTCCAATGCTATTACGACGCAGTATATCTCCCATAGTTAGTAAGACTCTGGAACATAGAACTCATAAGATAAAAAATACAAATTATAATAGGATTCCAATTCGATTCGGCAGTTCAGTTAGACAAAGTGGAATAGTCGATCTACGTTCGCCGTCTATTATTGATCAAAATAGAGAAGCTTCAAGTTACCCAAGTTTGTTTGACCCGCTTACTTCATATCCTCGTATTACTACTAATGCTACTACTACTACTGCCAGACATTCTTATTTAAATAAAATTAACAATAATTTATCACATTCTTTTCTATTTCGACCACCAGTTAATTTATCTCAGCAAAGTCTTCATAATCAACCCCATAGACCACTTCATTCAATTCGAGTCTCAGGATTAGTTAGTGGTTATGATTTCTCTTCTCCAAGTATTTCTGAATTTGAAAATGTATTTTGTGCTGGACGTCCACAACCAATGGGTGCTTCAATATCGGATAATTTACTGTCACCAAAACTGAAATCAACTAGTGAACATGGTCTATATGATTTAACTAGACGAAGAGCAACTGAACCATTTCAATTTCAAGAAACTCCTACCACTACCACTAATACTGTTGGATCATCTACCAGTTTCATCCGAAATTTACATAACATCACTTCATCAATATCAACATCTATTCACCATCACCAACAACAGTCGAATACAAATCCAGTCGAGTCAATTCGTGTAGTTCGACCACAAACTATAGCTCAATTAGCAGTTCAACGTTATCGTAATCAACAAAAACAACAGAGTCAATCCAAATTTAAACGTTAATCAACTTACTGTACTGCTGTTCAATGATGATCTTCCATTGAATATTTGCTTTATTCGTTTTTTTTTTTTAAAAAGAACTATTACATATCATATGTGTTCTAACCTAGCTTTGCGATTATTTTTTTTCTTTAATATCTCTCATAGTTTTTACCAAAAAAGTATTCTGATTTATTTCTAATCAGCGAATTTTTTTTACACAAATACATAAATATTTAGAAGCTAATTGATATCAATGAATATGATATATGAGATTTTTATTCAGTAGTAGTTTCGTTTATCTTTCATTTCTCCTCTTTTTTCTATTCTTTTTATTTAACTTTAAACATTTGTATAGTCATACAGGAAGAACTATTGTCAACAATGGAAAATTTAGTAGTATAATTGTGATATTCTGCTAATTATACAAGATTTTGTTCTTATGACAATGTATGTGTATAATATTCAGTTTTCCTTCGTGTGTTTTTCTCATTGGCCTTTTCATTTTATTTTAGTGTTTTATGTCCAATGTGAAATTTTATTCTTTATCTCTCCTCTACCAAGACATTTGGATTTTTTTGTATACTTCTGCTTTGAGATACGAATACATTCGGTGTATCTATCATGTTTTATCTGTATAATCCGACAGTTATGTACATATAATATTATACAGTGTGTATGTGTGTAAAGTTGACATTTGGAACATCCCCGAGTTGCTACTCAATGGTTTTCCAAACCGATAAATTCTTCCAGACAATCGTGTAGAGATTTTTTTACTCATTGCTTCTTTATATACAAAATGGAAAAGCTGGATTGACTTTTGGGAAAAAACTCCTTGAATTGAGATGATTTTGCGTGGTTTAGAAGTGAATGAATATGTATACACGTTGTTATTATCGTCATCTTTTTCAGACATTGAAATGTATTGATAGGATATAATTTCAAAGTTTCTTTTGTCTTCTTTTCTTATTTAGTGTGATTTTGTTTTTTTCTCCGTCCTTTCTATTTTCTTAGCAGAATTTCTGTGTATTGGTTTTCTCTTTTTCCTTTTGTAACGTTACTTTGTAAAAGTTTGTTCATTACTAATGATAATAATCAGATCGTAGTTCAGGCATTGGTTCAAAATGTAGAAGTAATCGAGAGAAAATAAGTGATACGTGTAAATAGGTATGTAGTTATCGTACCTCTGTTAGATGGCCGAAGGCAGTCGATGTGCGAATCTACTCGAACGTGGGTTATGTTCTACTTGGAACTTGTCAACAAACTGTACATACAATCCTGATGGAAATGATTCTGGTTGTGGGATTTGGACCTGCGGTACTCATTTTCATAGTCTGAGACGTTACCACTCAGTTAGTCGGGCTTTAACTGAATTTCGTTAGATTGAGTTATTTACACCGACTGATCGATGAATAGCGACCAATGTCATGTTTGCCCAGTTCTTATTGCTGTTAGAATGCCAATTTCAGTAGGTGAAGACATATAATCAAGAAATCATACCATTTTTTGATTTATACTTACCAAAACACTGATTAGCTCTCAGAATTCTCATAGATCGATGGTATGGGTCCAGTTCCGCCATCCTGAAATATATTTATGACGAACACTATAACTTCTAACGTGATATTCTGTTTAGATAACCTGAATTCAGTTGTCGTCGGGTACACGTTTCCCTTTTAATAGATATTTTGGGCTTCATATTAAACTACGTTCTCTTTTCGACTTCATCACACGCGAATAATATTTGCTAATAATTGTGAAGAGCTTGTAATGTCATTATATCTCATACTGTCAATTGTCATACAAGTTTTATATCAGTAGAGAACTGTATATTCAGCTTTTTTTAGCCAGTCACTCTAACGTGCGTTTACCGTTTCATCGTCATTTACTTTTTAGCCAAAACGATTTCTTTGGCGAATGTGAACAATTACTGTTTGTTGTCTATAAACCTTGACTTTATTCATTTATGCCAGTAGTCACTGATCAGTCACTCGAAATAGCGAAAAGATAAGTCAGCTTAAGTAAAGTTAACTTTCATAAAGATACCGGGATTCTCTAATTATTTTCACTGGTTTGTTAAAAGATTTTTCTAAATATCTATAATTCTGGCAGGAAACATTCGGTGAATAAAAGTTAAATATATGTAATAAGTGATTGACTCACTTTCCTTAGCCACAGATTTCATTTAGTTAAGGAATGAAACTATATGAAAGCTCGTGATTCAAAGTATTGAAAATCCAGTTCTTTATGATTAATGACATTTGTACTGGACACGTTAATAACAGGATTTCATATATTGAGAAACATTTTATCAATGGAATGAAAATGATTATATCCTTAGTCACTGTTAATTTAGCAGAACCGAATTAGAAAGCAAATGGAAGGAAGTATAGAGTTGTGTAGATTGTTGATTTTCCTTGAAATCATAGATCGATCTAAGTCAGACCACCATTGAAAACCTGGAAGCACTGGACGGCCGTTTCGTCCTAGTATGGGTCTCAACCGTACACATCCGCGATCCTACACGCCAGGAGTAGAACCCAGGATATTAAAGCTCTAGACAGTGGTCTGACTTTGATTGGTTCATGATTCAAATGAAATAAAAGCAGTTAAAAAGTTATATGATATTAATCACTTAAAATGTAATTGTTTATTCCGTTATATATGATTTGAATAATGATAATCATCAACTGAACAAGACATTTAACCTCAACACAATGACAATTTAAGATATAAAAAACCTACGAAGATCACCAGAATAAAGTAATTCAACGCTTACGTAGAAGTTAAGAAGCTATTTTATACATGAATTAGGAGCTAGTAATGTTATCCAAAATTAAAATGAGAACTCTATATTCAAATCACCATCTGGTTCAGAGAATTCAATGCACACTAGAATCATTCACTTAAACTATTAATCTCAATGATTTCTTAATGATATTAAATCGTCAAAAATAATGTAATTCTAATGTGTTAATTAGTCGATATGACCTGCCATCCTCATCCAAAAACCTATGAATATACAGCAAATTATTCTAGACCAATAAACCGTTAGTCAAGAAAAAGTATGCTATAATCCCAACGATTATACTTTTCACCTATTCCCAAGAGTATTTCCCGACTTAAGTTTTTGATTATCTCCACAAAAATCAAATTCGCCAAAGCAGTTTATATTAAGTACAGAATGTCTGATCGTCAACTTTATTTATTGTCCAGGTCATGATCAGGATCTAATTGTAAAACTTTAGATAATCCAATAAGAAGATCAAGTTTATCAGAACCAGTTATATGTTAGCGCAATATGCTTCAAAGAGTGTGATTACACAACCTTTTTAGATATTTATTTGTGAGAAATAAAGATCAACTGAACGATCGAAACAAAAGAAAGTAATGGGATGACGAGGACAAGCTTTATGAATCACACCACTGTGGATAATAAATCAGCATATTATCTGAGTACGTGTAGTGTAAGTAAAAGTTGTTTTCTAATACTCAAGATGGGTAGTTGAACTTAAGTATACCCATGGCTTCAAGAAATCTAAGTATTCACCCTAGATAACGTTTATGTAAAACGCCAAAGGTTGAATTAAGATCAATCTTATGACATATCAACAATCTATTTACCAATCGAAGGTATGTGTTTGTAATTTAGTTTTATTACATCTTTTGACGTTATTCTTTTCCGCAAACATTTTGGGGCATGTTCACACACATTTGTTTGTTTCTGTGTATGTACGTCCACGCAGACATGTAAATTAGTAAAGACAATGGGATATAGTACAATCCTTTACATGTTATTTAAGTTTTTGGTGAAGCATGGACTTTGTTTTCTTCAAAAATAATAATAACCCTGTATAATACGTTTTGCTTGTAACCGATGTAAGTTTTCATATTAACACAGGGCAGTTTGATTCATCTAACGGTAGAGTGATATAAACAGGTTTTTAAGTGTCAGAAGCTTAGCAGATGTCAACATACTGTTGAAAGGAAAGGCATATATTTCTTCGTGAAATTACTTTCCTACACTATTGTAAATGTTTAGGTAAGTCAGTAAGGTATTGTGATTTCGCAATGTCTAGATTCAGGACTACAATTTATCAGTCTCTGTTGGTTGTCTACATGCTTAGTGAATTTTCTCGATATTGCTATTTAGTTACAATTATTTAACATAATTGGACGTAGACAAGTAGCGGAATCCAAGACATACATCCCACTATGTTTAAAACCCATCAACTGAGCGTATTTCCATCCCAAAATTCTTATGTTTAGATTCAAACCCTAGTAAGTTTCGTTTTCGACACCAACGTGTTATTCATTGAGTTACTGAGTTCACTTTAATTTGTGTGAGGTTATTAATAAGACTTTGTGACTGCTCATTTTTGTGTTTCAGGATTCTAAGTGATTAATTCCTGTCTCCGCATATGCATCCTGAGCAAATTGACTCGATATTAATGAGTATTTATACTTAAGTAAAGTTATATTATTTGGTTATATTAGGTTGATCATATATTTTAATTTTACTGAATCCATTTTTTAAGATAACTATGAAAAGTATATAATCGTCGAGGAGATCAAACTAAATTTATGTAAGTTTAAAGAATAAAGAGGTTTTCTCTGAAAGATTTCTATTCAGTTATCATCCACTGACATTAGAAAGTTTTATCATCGAAATCAACTTTTGAGAACTTCCGGTTGATATGTTCTATAAACAGTCATCTACACTTGTGGTGTATGCGACTTATGTTGCTAGATATAAGTAGTTTTGTAGCATCAATCGGGAGTAAGATGCATGCGTGTAGAAGATTGGAATGAAGAGAAGAAAAGCAAACTTGAAGCAATCCAGATAAAAACAGCGATGAATGAACGATGAAGATTGTAAGAGAAAACTCATGGAAGATGTGAAAATTATGTATTTAATACAGTTTTCATATTTTAGGAAGACACTGCAATTTCCCCACCAAGTCTTCGTTCACTATACGCTCATTGTTCAATTCCTTTCTTCGTTTATATCTGTTATTCTAATTAGTCAAATTATCGACGTTTGGAATGCTGAAACTTTGTGTCAGATTCAGAAAATAACTTAATTCGAAATTGTATAGAATTACGTTTTTAAAGAGAACGATGATTTAAACACTGACATACTACGTTTTTGACGAAAATGTCACAGATCCGAACCACATCGTACCTACTTTAGCTTGGACGGTGGTGTAATATCACTTCTTTTTTTATCTAACTTAAAAGCGAAACTGGTCTGATAGTGGTCTTGGTGATTTGTGGGAGTGAATATACAAGACAAGGGACAACTGCTTGAAATAGGTCACACACATGTATTTTGCGAGTATCTTCAAATATGCTGACTCCATACATTTTAGAACTTACCACAAGTGTCCGTAATTCGTAAAGAAATTTGAGATATTCTGTTTTAAAGTCGATATATTCTAACCCCTCTCACTGTCGTGAGAAGGCATCATTAATACAGATACTAGTTGTCTAGGAGAAACACTTAGCTGCAGTCGTAACCCCTGTACACTCGACAATAAGAGTTCATCCTCGAACCTTAAGTTACTGCTTTTAGTTTTGCCACTTTCCAACCGACCTGCTTGGTATGGTAGTTTGATGCATGCTACTTATACTGACAGATATAAGTAGTAGGTAGCAGCAATCGGAAGTGGGATGCCTACTAGCAGAAGATTGAATTGGAGAAAACAGGAAGGGAAACAGATGGCAATTGTAATAACAAAATCAGAAGGGTCATGAAGCATGCAAAAGACAAATGAAGGAAGATGTGCAAATAATGTATTTAATGAATGGTATTTATATTTTATCAACGCACAATAAATTGGTAAATCAGTAAGTCATGGTTGCAGCTATGGTCAAATTTGTTAATCACCACACAAATATTGTGATTCAAATACCTGATTTTAGAGTGATACAGTGGTCGAAATAATCGGGTATTTATTTGTTGGCAATTAGTACATAAATTATTGAACATCGATTTATTCATTTAATTAGATAGTTAAACGTCTTCTCTGTTAATACTGTAAAACAATCCGGATGATCATTTCGTGTACCAATGAGAAATCAAAGTTCTTGT